TGCTTTCAAGAGTAACATGTGTAAAATGGGAATCTATATTGATAATGCAATACATGGATAAATAAATAAAATACTTTTTAGAAAACTGGATGTACCACTCTAGCTTTCACAGGCCTACAAGAGTTACTATATGTTTGCAACATAGTTCAACAGAACAGTGAAATAAATGATTGGACAGCGAAGGAGAGTATTTTGATGGAATAATCCAGTATGAAGCAAATATGAGGTAACATCAGCAATTGGTGTACACAGTGGGGGAGCAGGTATTGTTCATATTACTGAATATTAAAGTATTATATTAACTATTTATGCAGGGACGCGGGTGGCGCTGTGGGTAAAACCTCAGCGCCTAGGACTTGCCGATCACATGGTCGGTGGTTCGAATCCCCACGGCGGGGTGCGCTCCCGTCTTTTGGTCCCAGCGCCTGCCAACCTAGCAGTTCGAAAGCACCTCCGGGTGCAAGTAGATAAATAGGGACCGCTTACCAGCGGGAAGGTAAACAGCGTTCCGTGTGCTGCGCTGGCTCACCAGATGCAGCTTGTCACGCTGGCCACGTGACCCGGAAGTGTCTGCGGACAGCGCTGGCTCTCGGCCTATAGAGTGAGATGAGCGCACAACCCTAGAGTCTGGCAAGACTGGCCCGTACGGGCAGGGGGTACCTTTATTAACTATTTAAAAGGTACAGTTGGGTGGTACATTTGCCCCACGGTGTTCATACTGAATAGCTCAGAAATGTATCTTGTGTTACTGCAGAACCAGCAATCAGAAACTGAACAGATCAGCAGGTAAAACTTCTAATGAGGACAGTGGAAGGCTACCCATTTATTTATTTTCAGAAGCAGGATTTAAGATTGTAAGACAAGCCTCATGCAGGAAAAGGGAAAACAAATGCGCCTACGGCATGGTTCCGTACTGGGTTCGCTTCAGACCCGTGAAAACAACAGCCATGATCAGGAACATGCTTCATGATCTCTTGATCAATAGGACTTAGTGCTTAGAAACATTTGCTCAGAGATGTGTCCCTCTGAGTTCAAAGGAATTTTATCCCTGAATATAGCTGCAATCCTAATCATGCTCAGTAGGTACTCAGCCCCATTGAATTAAGTGGTATGGTTATGAGTAACCACGTGCAGGATATAGCAGTTCAACAATATAATCAATTACCTAGAATTCTGCTGGATTCTCCCATTGTACAGGTCTGATAGCCATCTGTTGGAGAGGCTTTGGCCCTGGGTACCCTACATTGAGCAGAGTTGCACAATGGCAAGCAGTAGAAGCTGGTCCATTGGCGCAAGTGGGGCACTGCCCCACTAACCTCTGCCTGCCCATAGCCAACCCCCACCTGCCTGCCTGCTTACTTACAACCAATCAGGGGGTGGCTGTGCCTGCCATGGCTCTGGCACCACCTACTTTCTCCCTATGTTCCGCACCAGCCAACACTGCCTACGATACTCCAGATCTATGATTCTATTACTGCCATTGATTTACATGAAAATTGGGCACTCTTAACTTTTTAGAAGTATTAAAAGTATACTAAGACCTAGACAACCTTTGGAAATGGGCACACCCTTGTCAAAATAATTCAGAATGTAAGGCAGACCTGCATGGCCAAGCCGAACGCAGCCCCAGCATTTCCTGTAGCCTGTCTGGTGCCCACTACTCCCTGGCAGGCAATCCAGGATTATCAAGTCCCAGAAAGGCCATAACATACATTGAGTTGCATTTGGCTTAGAGGGTCACAAATTGTTCAGATTGCTCAGCGACAAGAGAGCTACAGAGATCAGGCAAATGTTCAGAATTCAAATGCAAAACCATAGACTGCTGGGATCTTGTTTAATGCCCACAGAGTATGTCCTTTGCACTCATAAGTTCCCACCTTGAACCTCCACCATAGGAGCCAACTCCTAGGGGTCAAGGTCCCTTTGCCGCCCCCCAATAAAATATTTGAGGGGGGCTGCCCTCCCACATTAATGGGTACTGCCATTCAAATGATGTGTGCATTATGTGTCTTGTGACTGATTATGTGGGGTGGGGTTTACCTGCCCCCCAATATTTTATTCAAGTTGGCACCCCTAATCTCTACCACCTCCAGTTAAAGACAACCTTGAGCCAGGCATGGAAAAATATCTCTCTTAGGCTCTGGAGAGCCAACTAGAGTAGATAATACTGACCAAGAGAGGTCAATGTCCAATATTAGGCAGGTTTATACATTAATATGAGAGATTCTAATTTCCCATTGGGGCACCAAGCTTCATAGGTGAGTCTGGAACCATGAATCCAGGCCAATTTATCCCTTCCTGTATTTTACCCACAGTTCTGCTGGCTTTTAAGAAATTAGTCATTCCTATTCTAGGTCTTCACAGCTCTTCTATGAATAGAGATTGACCAAATGTATCCATTTTGGATTCCTTCCACTTTTCATTTTTTTTCTCCAGTATTTCGTTCAGCTCACCACATTTCTGCATCAGTTTGCAATTAAAAAAAAAAAAAAAGTCCTGAAAATTTGTACGCAATTTAATCTAATCTTTACATTTGTGCAAGCAATTCTCCCTAATATAATGCATTTTGGGACATTATTTTCACTTATATGTGCATTTTTGTGCACATTCCCCCCTAATATACACATTTTTGTATATACTGTTTGGTTAGAGAACTGTGTCATAAAATTAGGAAAAGTGCAAATTTTGAAGAACAGCTGTGCTTCAATTCACATACTGTTCCAGGAAGTCTGAATTAGGTAGGTTCCCGTTGAAATGTGAATGGGACCAACTTTCTCATTCCTTACCTATGGGTACTTTTCAAATCACTTGCATTTCTGTGGTTCCCAAATAAGCCTGGTTTGGAAGGAATCTAAAACTGTCTTGGCCTATTGTTCCACAACATCACACCAATGACTCACATTTCTCCACTATATATCCAGGATAATCTTTTATGTGCCTTATATGTGCTTATGTTTACTATCACATTTTAAAGTAATACAAAGCTAATCCGGGAGGATTACAGGACCCCAGTGTGGAATCAATTCCCTAAAAAGGGGAGAAAGAGAAGATACTAAATTCCCTGACATTTCTCATTTTATATTCCCGCAGTGGGATTTTCAGAAGTTCTCAGTCATAGCCAAAAATCTATTGCTTCTGAAACCTGTCCAATGGAGTTAAATAGGAGCAATTTTGAAGGATACTGCTGTAATCCTCCCCCAAATCCAACCTCTAAATTCTAGGACCAGTACACTGGCAGAGCATTCTTACTGAAGGAAAATTCTGATTGAGGTCCAGGAGAATTTTATTAAGTTTGAATGAGGTTGGCACATACATTATCTTTGTGATGTGGTTGTCACTGCAAAGCCACTCTCCTGTAGAAAGCTCCTATGCACCGTTGGTCATGTTCTGATCTTCGGAGTCATCTGAATCACATGAATAACTGGTCCTACTCATGCATGCCCTTAAGGACGGTCTGGAAGATTCCAGTGATTCCAGGCACAGATGATAAGATTTTTGACCAGAGACAACTATACTGGCAAAGGGTTGCTTTGGGGGCTCAGTTCAAAGGTCTTCCTTTAGATCGTTAAACCTCTAAACAACCTGAGACAACAATATCTCGAGAATCACCAGAATTCATATGAACCTGACCAATAACTTTATTGCTCTTCAAGCTCTCTTTTACGTCCCACCCCCACCCCATCACAAATCCAGTGGGCCTTTTTGGTGGTGGCCCCCATGACGTGGATTAGCCTCCCAAAGTCCCCACCTTAGACAGGCAAAGAAGACGATTTTATTAAATCAATCAATTGCTAATTATTGCTATACAGGTAATTTTATGCTGCTGTTGCTCTTTGAACGATTTTAGGCTGTGATTCAATGGCCCCTTGGACTGGAGCTCCCACTCCTCACCAGCGAGAAAAAGAATCTGCTTATGTTGTGGTTCAAAGCATATGTGTGCAACCAATGCCCCTTCCATTTGCCTGCTCTTCTGAACAAAGGCACATCAAATTGATGGGCAAACGTTCCACTTAGTGCTACAAAAATCTTGATTTGCTGCTTTGAAATGTGGACAATCTCTTTGTGCCTTTTAATAGCAGTAAGCCAGCAAAAAAAGCGTTTGCTGCCTCCATACCTGTGCTCCATTCCTTTCCTGGTCCCTTCCATCGGTCACCCTCTTTCCTAGTTTACTGCAGCAAGCAAACCACTTCAGATCAAGGAGGAGTGTCAGATAAAGGACCTAGGGAGGCAAGAGGCAAGTGGCAGAATGGTAGCAATCTCAACTGCACTGGTAGCACAGAAGGTACAGGGAGGTCGCTCAGGTCACAAGGGAAGAATAGTAACTGGGTGGTAGAGCATATACTTTGTATGCAAAAGGTCCCTGGTTCAATACTTGTCATCTTGAGGTAGGGCTGGGAAAGATTCCTGCCTGAAATCCTGCAGAACTGCTGCCAGTCTATATCAAGGTTACTGAGCAAGATGGATTGATGGTCTGGTTCGGCGTAAGGCAGCTTCCTAGGCTCCTAACCCTACTTACCAATGTGATTGCCCCAAGGTTTTCTGTCATGTGAGTAGGAGTTCCAGGAGGAAAAGAGCCCAATTTGAACTAGTATTTCATGGCCAGATGGAGGGATGCTGCAAGCTCTTCCCAAGTCTTCGAACAGGCATTGCTCAAAAAGGAACCATAGCATGTTGCTACAACTCCACAATGCAATTACTGCAAGCTCTGGTAACTTCATTACCAACAACCTACTGCCTGAGATGTTTATTTTTCTTCCTTGCCCAGGAAATTTTGTGTGTGTGTGTGTGTGTGTGTGTGTGTGTAGATGGAGAATACTAAATCACAAACATTTTAAATGTCAGAATGATTGGCCAGATCTTACAGATGTCCCACCTCTTCCGCCATTATGGAGACTCTCTCCGTTTTGCCGTACCCTGCTCTTGAAACATCAGAAGCAGCCTTTAAACAGCTTGTAATTGGTTCTTTCTTTTCTCAGATGGTGCAGCTCAAGCATGGGGAAGGGCCATGGCTCAGTGGTAGAGCATCTCTTTTGTATGTAGATGGTCCCATGTTAAATCCCTAGCATCTCCAGGTATGGGTGGGAAAGATCTCTCATGGAAATCTTGGATGGACCAATGATCTGACTCAGAATAAAGTAGCTTCATAAGCCCCTATATACAAACCTTCCATTCATACCTGCAGTTAATCATATGAGCCAGTAATTCATGGATCTCAATGAAGACAATTCACGTGGTCTCTTGAAGCTCCAAAATGTATCACAGTAACCACAGAAAGGGGTAGGTCTAAGATCCTTGGTCATAGTCTGAAAGCACACAGTGCAAGCTAAGCAGACTTGGGTCTTGACATTGTTTGGATGGGGGGCTGCCTGGGAAAATCATATGAACATGGGTGGCTTTGAGCTCCACAGAAAACAGGTGGGACGTATGTTTTAAAAATTTTAATATTCCAGGCTCTCCTGTTAACACTGTTCATGCTAAGGGTGAATAAACAAGGCATAAGCCAGTTCTAGCACAAACTTTTTGACCATGAACACAGACAAGATTTATATACATTTATATACATCTTTCAGATACATGCATTGTCTAAGCACCTTTATCAAGATCTTTTGAAAAGAGGCATGGCCAAGAGGTTTATGTCCTTTCACAATATAATATAAAGTGTGTGTATGTGTGTGTGTGTGTACACAGAAAGATGTTTTAATCATGATTTTTGAACAAGGGGGGGGGGGAAGAATCCTGTAAAAGTAACATTCAGGGTCCTTGACTCTTTGTTCCAACAGGCACTGAATTGAGCTTCAAAACTGTGTTTGCAAATCAACATATACGTATGGAGACTGCACTGAACAGAAACTAATGAAATTCCAAGGTGCTCTGGGATGCCTGTTTTATTCTGATCAGTGGTAGATTGCACTATTGACCAAGTGTCAGCCATAGAGCGATACAATGATTGAATAAAAGTGGATACATAATCGGAGGGGAGAACTTTGCCACAACCGGGTTTGTTGCTTTTCTCCTAATACCAAAGGACACGCTATTCCCCCCCCCTTATTTCTTACAAAAAGTTGGGTACCCCCTTTTTTTCCTTTCCTTCCCCCTTTGTTCACTTTTAAAATATACATACACATATAATCCCCGTTCCTCTCTTCCCTTTGTGGATTCTCCCCTCGCCAACCCGGCCCCCTTGATGGCTTCCTCAGATAAAATAATGCAAGGTTCCTCCACCGGAGATGCTGATGAAATATTTGAGGCCCCGATATTAATCTGTTATCAGTTGTGTAGGTGTGAAATGTGATGAAGATGACAGAGACTCCTGCTCAGCCGGCCTAAAGTAATTTGCACCAAAGATATTTAGATCTGTCTTTGGACACTGCAGATCGGTTATTGCAGGAGGGGGAGAGCCAGTGGGGAGCCTACCTTAAAACATATTTCAAATGCCAGGGGAACCGCATGAAAATTGGGTAATGAATGAAATTCTGATTGCAGAAAAATCACTTAGGAATGTGACTGATGCGGCTCGCTGATGTTCTATATGCAAAGCTGAAACCTGATATGCTTAATGGCATACACCTTTGTCCTGTGGCTTCGGCAGTGCATTCAGTTTTGCACTTGCCACCAATTCCTTCCGTATTAGAGAAGATACCAAGACTGATAATAGTATTCCTCGCTAAAAAGCTGTCATGATAGCTGAACAGGTCTGTGCCATGGGTGCTGTACCATCTATGGCTTAAAGTGGACCTGGAAACAAGCAGATATCCAGTAGCATTCCTCTGAGCTGATCAGTAAACCATCAGCATAAGAACCTACCAGGCCTAGGGATCCACCTAACCCTGTATTTCTATAACAGGGATGGGAGCATGTGGCCTTCCAAATGTTGTTGGACTACAACTCCCATCATCTCAGACCATTAGCTGCACTGGCTGGGGCTGATGGGAGATGGAGTCCAGCAACATCTGGATGGCCACAGGTTCTCCATACCAGAGTCTCTCAAGGATCTCTGAAAGGACCAAGTATGCCACCATGCACCCATGATTGAAGGGGCTTTGCTGCACCACAAGTGCGAGTGACATGGACACACCACGTGATGTGTTGATGTCATGTGCATATATCACATGGCATGCTGATGTTTTGTGTACTGGCCATAGGGCATGGTGCACAGACTGTGGGATTAAGGTGAGCTTGCCGCATGGCATGTGTGCATGGCCGCTGTGGATTTTTTGGGGGCCCGTTCTTGAATTTTTTGAGGGACCTTGCCTCCTCCCCCCAGATGGTGCCTATGGGAAGGATGCATTAATCCATTGTCTCCCAACATGGATGCCAACAATGTGCAGCTTCTAAGGATTGGGCCTGGGATCTTCTGCATGCAAAGCTGATGCTCTCTCACTGAACCTCCTTTGAACTAAGATATGCATAGTAGATGCATGCTCACTTACATGTGAAAACATTGGTGGCAGCATTGGAATGTAGACCCAAACATGCCCACTCCCATTGATGACTCTCCTCAACCAGCTCCTGTGTGAATAGTTTCATTCTTAGGTGCCTCAAAGTTCCTCATTGTTTTGGCTGCAACTGACTAACACGTTTCCCTCTCTGGAAATTCTATATTCTGTTTGCTGGTCACATTGGGATATGACAACATGTTAGCAAATGGCAAATTTGCCCGATTGTTCTTCTGGACTCATCAATGGCCCAGTCTGCCTTCCATTTTCTACAAGAAGAATTGCCCGGTCCTCATAGTTGTGTTTCCATTTGATACCTAAATCATTTTATCTAACAAACAACGGGCAGTCACTGAAAATCTATATCCCCAGCACGACCATATGCTTTACCACTTAGTAAATGGATGGTGACAAGTTTGTTTCAGTTTCAGAACCCCTGTAGTTCTTCTGGAGGTTACAATGGATAATGTGATGTAGTACTTAATTTTTATTCTCCAAATAGCCTAACTGATAATAGTACTCTAAGTGTTTAAATACATAAGACCTGCCTATGATACATCAGGCCAAATATTTGTCTAATCCCGCACTCTTAACAGTCTTACTGGGGAAATCACAACATGGAAGCAGCCATGCCCTATTGCCATCTTCCAGCATCTCGTACTCAGCCTCTTGATTCAGAGGTTAGATTGAGCAAAAACAGAAAAGCTGGTTCACTTCAGATGTTGTTGAACTACAGCTCCCATCAGCCCCAATCATAGCTGTCAACCTTCCATTTTTTGCGGGAATTTCCCTTATTCCAGCGCCGTTTCCTGCTGCTTCCCGCTGCTATCCCGGATTGTTAGATATCCCGTAGACCGTCCCCAGGACAGGTGAGGTTGCTGATCTCTTATTTTCGAGGCTGCTGATCCCTTATTTTCAAATCTGAACGTTGACAGCTATGGCCCCAGTCAGAAGTTCCAATGGTGAGAGATAAAGACAGATGTAGTCTGACAGCACCCAGTGGGCACTAGCATTAAGTTCTTGTGGCAAATAACCATTAACACATGCAATATCTGTGAATTCATATAATCCTTTTCAACGTCTCAGGCGGAGGTCAGTCCTAGACTTGCTACGCTAGGGATTGAAACTGGGACCTTCTGTTGTTCTCTACCAGTGTTAGGACAAACAGGGCACTGCCCCATCAACCTCAAACTGCCTGCTTGCCTGCCTTCTTGCAATCAGTCCAGAAGGTAGCACTCACTGTCAGCTTCCTCCTCCTTCATATCATTTTTGCCCCTGCAGAACTTCATAAGGAGGAAGAATTAGTTGGCTCTGGCCATCTTGCTGTTCTTCCTACCCCGAGGGGCACCACCAACATAGCTATGCCCTTCCAAATATATCTAACTGTTTAACTGATATGTCCTCCATTGTCCACCCACCTGCAAACACCCCCGCTGAAATTCCATCTAACAAAATGCTCCCCTTCTTTTCAATAGATGAGAAGCTCCAAATGAGTTCACCAAAGACCTTGAGAAGAGTAGAACAATTATCGGAATGTACATTGGTTTTACTATGAGTCAATTTGACACATACACAAATGGCAACAATATCATAAAAATCACTGGGGCCTCATTTCTCTCCTTTCCTCTTAAAGCAGTTGGGTCCATCCCCCCCCCCCCACCATTGAAAATAACATCTTCATCCTATCCATTTTTGAATATATGGTATCACATTTTGCCTTACCCATTCAATGCTGGATAAAATGTGGGCATGCACATATTCCTGAGACAAGAGCTGTGACTGAAAGCTATAAAACGAAACAATCTCTTTCAGGGTTGTTGTTTTATTCTTTCTCTCCCACCCACCCCTCTTTTTTTTCGAAAAAGGAAAATTGCATAAATAATACATTTGGCCCTTGCAATACCAAACAGGCACAATAGCTACTTTACAGCTTTCATCAAAAGAAGACCATCTTTTTTCATTTACATTATGAAACTGGTAATACAATATCATCAGCTCTGATTGGCTGAATCATCTTGTTGGCATGTTCCTGCTCTCCAGATAATGCAGCCGGGTCCTTGTGTCAATGGAATGTATGACTGGGGGAACATATAAGGGAAATTTGTCATTGGCTCATGAAGTAGCCTTTTTAAAAGTGGGGAGGAAAGGGATGGCGGGTTGGGGGAGAGAGAAAGCAATAATGAAGATTTATTGAGAAATGTGTGAGAACAAGCAAAAATTCCCCAGTGGGGGGAAGAAAGGGGGGTTAAAGCAACTGCCCGTGATGTTGTTTCCTTTGAATCTAGGGTATATTTCGCTGTTTGGCATCTGGGCTTATATTCATCATGTTTTATTATGATAGCCAGACACAAGGAGATGTCAACACACAGCATTTGGGGGCATGGTCTAGCAGTTAGACCAAGGGTAGTGAAAAATGCTTTCTTCTCTCCCCCCCCCCACCCCGCCTTGCAGAACCCCTGCATGACCTTGAAGAAATGATTTCCTCTAGGTAAGCTGGCCTGAAAATCCGACAGATGTGTCGTGGAGGAACATGTCACTTAGAAGCCATAAAGCACACTGAGGTCTCGGAGAAGACTTGCCTTGCAGTGACTGTTTTGCAAAATATAGAGGCCAATCACCCTGATGCCTTGCCTTGCTGTTGGCAGAAGCACCATTTAGGATCAAGAGGAATGCCATGGTGCATTTCCCTATGTGCGATTATTCCTCATGAGCACTGAGGAGAAGGTTCAGTGCCAAGGGTGTCCTCAAGCCTGCAGCTAGCCCTGCTTCTGCAGCTAGAGATGAATGGATGGGACACTGCCCTGCCAACCTCCATCTTCTCTCAGCTAGTCCCACCACCATCTTACAAGAAGTCCAGAGGGTGGCACTTCCTGTCAACTTCCTCCTCCTTGGTCTCAGTGTTGCTCTTGTAGAACACAACAGAGAAGAAGGGAGGATTAGAATTATTGTATTTTTCGTTCCATAAGATGCACCTGACCATAAGACACGCCTAGTTTTTAGAGGAGGAAAGGGGGAAAGCCCCGTTTTGGGGGGTATCAGCTCACAGACATGTCAGACATGTGCTTTTTGTGTAGAAGATCTCAGGTTCAACCCCTGATATCTCTAGCTAAAAGGCTCCAGCAGCAGCAAATGATGGGAAAGATTTCAACTTGAGAACTTGGAGAACTGCTGCCATTTACTCTGGTAAACCATACTGGGATCCATGAACAAATATTCTACTTAGTGTAAGGTAGCTTCCTCCGTCTTTCCCATCACTTTAGGCCTTTCTGCATACAAACCGCACAGCTTCCCAGGTAGAATGACAGGATCGTAGAGTTGGAAGGAACTGCAACTAGTCCCTTCATCTAGTTCAGCTCCCTGCAATGTAGGAATATGCACCCCTATGGGGATCAAACCCATGACCTTGGCATTATCAACCCCATGTTCTAACCAACTGAGCTAAGAGTATTCTCCTTAGTTATGAAAGAGCAGGGTTCAAATGCAATTTTAAAAATATTCCTATTTAACAATGCAGACATGTCTCACATGCTCACTTCTGTCAGGATCTACTTTTGTGGATCTTTCGACAAGATTTTCTATGGGATTTCCCACTTCTCAGAGGTGAACATCAGGGAATTCTTCCTCCTCCTCCTCCTTCATGTTCATAAAATAATATTGTGATCATAAAATAAAGTCGTCGGAAGCAGTGTTAGAAAGTGGAGAGGCATTCACATAAATGCATGCTTTGCAGCCGGTGAAAGAAATGTTCTGCCATTAAACTGAATTGTGCTTCAGTTACTTTATTCAACTAGAACCTTTGAAAATAAGTAAATGTATCTGGTTTTCCTATCTGATCAAAAAACACCAACGTTATTCTTTTAATGAATTCCCCCCCCCTTTCCCCCCACACCAAAAGCAGCTTGTTACAATGAATCTTCTGTTTTAACAAATGCGCTTCGCCAGTTTTACGAAATATCTGCTACTGAGGGTGCATATACTAAAAGCAAAGGAAAATAATGATTGGCCAGAATCCGGCATAGAGTTAAACTATTCTTAAAACTGGGCCTCCACAACTGAGGCCAAACCAAGATGAATACAGTGGGTGCTCAGGTTGCGAACGTGATCCGTTCGCAACCTGCAGCGTTCACAACCTGCAGCGTTCACAACCCGCAGCGCCACGTCTGCGCACATGTGGGTCGCGATTTGGTGCTTCTGCGCATGCGCAAAGCACAATTTAGCACTTCTGTGCATGTGCAAGTGCTGAAACCTGGAAGTAACCTCTTCTGGTACTTCCGGGTTTCGACGTGTCCGTAACCTGAAAACGCGTGACCTGAAGCGTCTGTAACCCCAGGTATGACTGTACAACCATCTAGTCAAGCTGAAATCTCCCCCCACCCTTCTCTCTCTCTCTCTCTCTCTCTCTCTCTCTCTCTCTCTCACACACACACACACACACACACACAGACACTCTTGACCAACCCATTTGCAGGTAGCAAAATGGGGGGGGGAGGAATTTCAGCTGATTTTTCAAGACTGTGGAATTTAGAGGTAAGGGATAAATTTCATTAGGAAACTTCCTTGTGAGTTTCCTTCCCTGTACCATTAGATTTGCCATTTGGAAGGTTAAAACCCCTTCCTTCCCTGCCCACCACCCTATCATCAACCAAATTCAAGCCAAAGATTTTCTAAGGGGAACTTTCTGCTCTGCATTTTCAGCCCATCATCCAGGTATGGTGGCCCACTGATGTCTCAATATATCTCCTAATTTTACTGCCTCTCTGACTGCAAATTGAGAGTATATCAGAGCTGGCCAAAGATTTTTTTCCCCTGCTTGAGATAAAGGGCAGTATACAGTGGTACCTCGGGTTACAGACGCTTCAGGTTACAGACTCCGCTAACCCAGAAATAGTACCTCGGGTTAAGAACTTTGCTTCAGGATGAGAACAGCACAGCGGCAGCAGGAGGCCCCATTAGCTAAAGTGGTGCTTCAGGTTAAGAACAGTTTCAGGTTAAGAACAGACCTCCGGAACGAATTAAGTTTGTAACCCGAGGTACCACAGTACCGGTCTATTTGGCTTCTGTACATGGAATGGGGAGGGATGCCATCTTGTCTTAGTTCAGCACTCAAGAATATAAGAGCCTGCTGGATAACACCAATGGCCCATCACAGCAGCCAACCAGATGCCTGTGGGAAACCTATTCAGAAGCATTACTATCTTTGACTATGGAAGCAAAGCACAGCCATCACAGCTAGTAGCCCTCTCCTCCTTGGATTTGTCTAATCCCTTTTTAAAGCCATCTAAACTGGCAGCCACCACTGTTTCCCTCGGAAGCAAATTCCATAGTTTAACTATGGAACATAGTTAACATCTTGTTTATCTGTCCTGAATCTTCTAGTAGTAAGCTTCCTGGATGTCCACAAGTTTGATGATGGAATATCATCCTCTACCAAACCTGAGGCAACAGATTCCTGGGTTGCTCCTGGAGAGTCTGCGTGACAACAAAATGAGAATGAAGTTACTGACACAGGCAATGCACATAATTTAACCAAACCTCATTTCCCTGTCTTCCCAAACCAACTAGGTCAGTTTCCTTAGACATGCAAAGCTCTGGACTGTCTCACACTGGGCCAGCCCAAGATATTTTGCTACCTGAAGCAAAGGACAAGATGGCACCCCTCTCCATTCCATGCACAAAAGCCAACTAGACCAGTACAGTGGTACCTTGCGTTACGAACTTAATTTGTTCTGGAGGTCCGTTCTTAACCTGAAACTATTCTTAAACTGAGGTATCACTTTAGCTAATGGGGCCTCCCGCTGCCGCCGCACAATTTCTGTTCTCATCCTGAAGCAAAGTTCTTAACCCAAGGTACTATTTCTGGGTTAGTGGAGTCTGTAACCTGAAGCGTCTGTAACCTGAAGCATCTGTAACCTGAGGTACCACTGTAATTAAATCGTACTGCAGTATAGGCAACTAACTGGATGGTGCCCACCATTGCTCTTCTCCATCACAGCAGGTTAGCTATGGGGGTACAGGACAGGCCATGTGGCACACAGAAGATGTCCAAGGGGCTCAGGAGAAATAGGGGGATCTGCTTCCATTGTCTCCCAGCATTTGCCACCTGAGGTGATTGCCTCTGTCTAATGATAAGGCTGGCCCACAACACACAAAATTATAGACCTGTGAAGTTTACAGCTAACAGGAGACTCCAGTCACCTGCTTTTTTATATAAGTACATTTTTCAGTGTAGTACCTTGGCAGCATTGTGGTTTACCCAGAAGCATACCTCATTTAGCTCTTATTTTTAAGCCAACTGTATTTGAAAACTATGTTAGTATCTGGCAAATGCAGGGAGACTTCAGGAAAATATTAAAATCACTATGGGAGTGACAGGGAAAAATGGAGTGAGACAGATTCCTCTGGTCTGATCCTTTATGATTCTTTGCTGGTTATTGCGTATATAAATTTCAATCCCCTTGAACAAGTGGAGGAGGGGAGTCAGAGAGAAGCGCATGATTATCATATCACTCAAAGCAGCACAACTTTTAAAAAATCAGCTCCAATATAAATTCACTCTATATAAAATGACTTTTAATATTCTTTTTCTTAACATAAGTATTAAATTTTATATGATTAAAAATTTATTTACTTGCTCTTTTCCCTTAATTTGGATTTTTATTTGCTATTATTGCCGGTCCCATCTGATCTCGGCAAAAGGAAAAAATGGAAACCTCTCTTGCTGCACATTATAACACGAAAGGATGTTAAGACAAGAGCATGCCATTAACTGTGACACACTGTTAGGCTTTGAAAGTCAACTCTTTAAAAACTAAATTAAAAGTGACCTTCTCAACAGGGTGGGCATGGCCCATCATGCAACTCTGCGGCAAAAGGGGAGCCCACGTTTCAATGGCTAGATTAGTAATTCTGTCAGAGAAGGCATGTGTAGGACAAAGCATCAAGTCCCGGTGTGTGGCCTTCACATTTAAGACCTGTGTTCAAGGTCCAGTTCTCCATGAGGACGTAAACCTGTGACTGGGCTGCTCCAGTTCACACTGCAAGAGGGGTTCAGTTTCTTCCTTGATGGGGGGAGGCTCTGCACATAGAAGGGCTGTAGCTCAGTGGTAGAGCATTTGCTTAGCATGCAGAAGGTCTCAGGTTCAATCCCCAGTCGTATAATTGGAACAGACCCCTGTCGATCATCTAGTAGTCCCATCCCCTGCCCTACAAGAATATGCAGCTGTCCTGTGCGGGGATCGAACCCGCAACCTTGGCATAACCAGCACCACACTCTAACCAACTGAGCTATCCAGGCTATCCCCCATGGCATCTCCAAGTAAGGTTAGGAATGCATCCAGTCTGAAACCATGGAGAGATGCTGTCAGTCAACGTAGACACTTGTGAGCTAGGTGGGCCAATGTACTGACTAGGCATAAATAAGCTTCCTAAGTACAGAGTACACACACACACACACACACACACACACACAGCAGAAATAACATTGTGTACAGCCCTTCTGCGCTTCACACAGACAGCAGAAGCCTGCCAATTATTTGTTCTCAGACAGCAGGGAAAAACATACTTCTTTTCCCCAAGTCATAAAACCAGGGGGAACGTTAAAAATTTATGTTTATCAAATAAAACACACAGCCTCCTCATTGTTCTGAAATCCTGGAGAGCAGCTGCCAGTCAGTGCAGAGAATACTGAACTAGATGGACGAATGTCCTGACTCAGTTTAAGGGGAGTTCCTATGCTCCTACACAGGGAAAGATTTGTTAAAGTTAGGAAAAATAAGGAGAAAATTGACAGGAAGGAAGAAACTGTGATGGGATGAAAGCATAGGGCAATTTCAGGAGGTGCCAGGGGGCCACAGAAAATTGAGTTGGAGGCAGCACTCCCAATTTCCCACCTGTGCTTTAAAATGTCCAGATCTGGATTCAGGCCTGGTAGTAGATGAGTCATGGCCATGGGAACCAACAGCTTTTCATTGCACTCTCAGGATTCTTGCGTGAAGCCTATGGCTTTACGCTTTCAAAAGAAATCAGCCCTCATGATTGAGGAGATAAATTTTAATGTGCCATGCCAAGAATTTCCAAGGTGGGTTTCACCGGTGGCAATCTAATGATGCACTGCACACAGTTACCTGAGGAGTCACTGACATTATCATATCCTTCAAAATAGACGGCTCGGTGGATCTACATTTTCCTACCTGAGCAGTTAGGAAGCCTCTGAAAGAGGAACAAGTAGGCCTATCAGAGATAATACCTGTGTAAGATGGCTCAAAAAAATGAAGATCATGGCCACTGGTCCCATCACCTCCTGGCAAATAGAAGGGGAAGAAATTGAGGCAGTGAGAGATTTTACTTTCTTGGGCTCCATGATCACTGCAGATGGTGACAGCAGCCACAAAATTAAAAGACACCTGCTTCTTGGGAGAAAAGCAATGACAAACCTAGACAGCATCTTAAAAAGCAGAGACATCACCTTGCCAACAAAGGTCCGTATAGTTAAAGCTATGGTTTTCCCAGTAGTGATGTATGGAAGTGAGAGCTGGACCATAAAGAAGGTTGATCACCGAAGAATTGATGCTTTTGAATTATGGTGCTGGAGGAGACTCTTGAGAGTCCCATGGACTGCAAGAAGATCAAACCTATCCATTCTGTAGGAAATCAGCCCTGAGTGCTCACTGGAAGGACAGATCCTGAAGCTGAGACTCCAATACTTTGGCCACCTCATGAGAAGAGAAGACTCCCTGGAAAAGACCCTGACGCTGGGAAAGATGGAGGGCACAAGGAGAAGGGGACGACAGAGGACCAGATGGTTGGACAGTGTTCTCGAAGCTACCAGCATGAGTTTGCCCAAACTGCGGAAGGCAGTGGAAGACAGGAGTGCCTGGAGTGCTCTGGTCCATGGGGTCACGAAGAGTCGGACACGACTAAATGACTAAACAACAACAACAAGATGGCTCAGGCTACAATGATATCCCTTGGGATTTTTTTTTTTTCAACTGAACAAAAATTACCAGAGATGATTTCTACGATTCTAGTTGCCTGGCATTTCTCTGGCCTCCGCAGTCCAACGGGGGAAGCCCCTTTGGCTACTTTCTGAGCAGCAAGGGAGGTCCCTGGACCAAGCTTGCTGCCCAAGTAGAAGATCCTGCCCATTCACCCAATTGGTGAATTGCGAGTGGGCATGGGAGCAGCCCACTCAGCGGCATATAAGGAAAGCCCACAATATACACTACAGCCACTTCTTTGTCAGATCTCCCTCCCTCCCAAATTTGCTGACACATTTTACTCTGTTGGACCTCGCTATGGCCCACAATGGCATCCCCCAAGAAGGGCCATTTGGAGCATAAAAAGATGCTTTATTTCAGTTCAGACTATTTGTCCATATAGCTCATCTAGTCGGACACTGGGGCCTAAAAGAGGCATTAGTGTGGCCCCTACTGAACAGAACCTCCCTGTTGGTCTCAGATGTCATATGGCAACTACTGTCCCATTGCAAATATCCCCTTCTTCGGCAAAGTCCTCAAGAGGGTGGTGGCTGGACACCTTCCGTTCCTGAAGGCTATGGATTATCTAGACCAGGGTTTCCCAAACTTGGGTCTCCAGCTGTTTTTGGACTATAGTCCAACCATCCCTAGCTAGCAGGACCAGCGGTCAGGGATGATGGGAACCGCAGTCCAAAAACTTCTGGAGATCCAAGTTTGGGAAACCCTAATCTAGACCTGTTCTAGTTTGGTTTCAGTCTAGGGTTTGGTCACACTGGTGGATTATCTTCTCCAGGAAAAACACAGATGGAGTCTTACCTTGTTGGTTTTCTTGGCTTTTTCAGTGGCTTTTGGTGCCATCAGCCATGGTAAACTATCAAGTAGATCCTGCAGGATGAGAAATGGAGATATGTTGTTACAGTGGTTCCACTCCTATCTGCAAGGGTAGTTCTAGAACGTGGCAGTGAGGGACATCTGATCTGTTCCATACCATTTGTGTTGTGAAATACCAAACGGTTCCATCTTGTTCCCTGTCCTATTTAACATCTACAGGAAGTCACTGGGTGATGGCAGCAGGGGGGTTAGAGTTGAATGCAGTCAGTATGTTGTTGACATTCAACTCTACTTCCCTCTTTCATCTGGGTCCAGAAAGTCTGTCCAGATGCTAGGCCATTGTCTGGATGCCGTACTGGATGGATGAAGGCCAGTATAACAGATTCAGTCTCAACAAGACAGGGGCCCTGTGAATAGGTGGCTCTCATGTTGAGGAGTTAAGCAGACAACTTGTAAGGCAGGAATCTCATGAAGGAGCAAGTCCTGAATCGAGCTTTGTTGCTGGAAGCTCATGTTGCCTCGGTGGCTCAGAGTACCTTTAGCCAACTTTGGTTGGTCTACCAGAGATTTCCAATTTCTGGACAGTGATAGCCTGACCACATTAATCCACCCCCTGGTAATCTCCCAAATGTGCTGTGCTCTACATGAGGGTACCCTTGAAGACAACATGGAAGCTACAGCCACTACAGAATGTGGTGGCCAAGCTGCTAAGGGGAGCAACACAGAGAGCCAAACGACATTAGATTTAAAAGAATTGCATTGACTGCCAAGAAGCTCTGGGTCCAATTTCAAGGTGTTAGTGATGACTTAAGGAACCCTGAATTACTTGGGGCCTGGATAACTGAAGGGGCATCTCTCTATACACTGTTCTGCCCAAACATTATCAATAACATGTTGCTTTTATTCAGATTGTATGTATATTTTAATACTTATTTATTTCATTTATATGCCTCCTTTTTCTCCAAGGAGCTCAAGATGGTCACATGGTTCTCTCACTCCCCATTTTATCCTCAGAACAACCATTTTAGCTCAGCTGGTAGAGAATGAGACTCTTAATCTCAGGGTTGTGGGTTCGAGCCCCACATTGGGCAAAAGATTCCTGCATTGCAGGGGGTTGGACTAGATGACCCTCATGGTCCCTTCCAGCTCTATGATTCTATTTTATGTTCTATGTGTGTTAGGTTAGGCTGGTCACCCAGTGAGCTTCATGGCTGAGTGGGTATTCAAACCCTTGTTGCCCAGGTCATACACCAAAATACTAACTTTTACACCACAGTGATTTTCTATGTTTTGACATTTAGAGTTGCAATTTTGTTTGGTAAACTGCTTCAGGATCCTTGGATAGGAGGCTGTCTCTAAACCACCACAACAGCAACAATGTTGATTTCAGTTAAAAGGCTGGCTTATGTAAGTGTGTCCATGTACCCACTGGTTGTAAAATAGGGAAATTTCCCCCCATCTCATTCATCTGAAACTTGACAAGTCTGATCCCTCGAAGTTGTAGCAGAAGGCCTGGGGGAAAAAATTATGCCAGCTGGATGGAAAACACAGATATTACTAGCAGCAGAAGAGTCTGCCATTGGAAGCAATGGGAAATTAAAATTAATGGAAAGAATCAAAACCAGTGGGAATAAGGATGTGATTTCAACAAATGAATAACAAAATGAAAGGCATTTTAACAACAAAAGCAAATAGAGTAGAATAGAATAGAATAAATAAATAAAATTCTGGCAGACCGCTGGCACTTGCACCACTCCTTCCATAGGAGTTTGATAGCCAGGGTTATACGAGAACTAAAAGGATGTTATTGTGCTACTCATAAGGTTAGGCTCTTTGGCCATCCCCGCTGTAAAAAAATGTGCAGCAATACAATGTACCTACTGAGTATTCCATTTCCCGGACTTTATTTGCTGAAATAGAAGAACGAGAGGAATCTGAACAACAGTAAATATCACATCCGAGGCATTAGAGAGTGGAAGAAAAGATTGACAACGTTAGCTCGACTGCTCCATCCTCCCCCTGCCAAAGCACAATTTAGTCTGTAGATAGATAGACTGAACTTCCGTAATAGAACTCCTATCTGCGGTAACTATCTAAGCATTTATACTTCACACATCACGGGTAGCTATCAGAGCAGTTGTGACTTCTGGAGCTAAAGGAAAATGCCTTGGGCCTGGAATTTGCAGCTGGAAGGAAAGAGAATAAAGAAGAAATAAAGAGAGAAATCAGATTCCGGGGTAGGAAAGAAGGGGTTGCATGTGCTGTGTGTCTTCTCAGTGTATTTCAAGTGTCCCATGGGATGTCCAGTTTGGGTGTTGTGTGGCGCCTTCATTTATGTGTGCGTCTGTGTTTTGGGTGTCTGTGCTGATTGTGTATGTGGTTGATAGGAAGTGTTATGGTTATGGTTTATTTGGGTAGCCGAAGCCATTCAAAAAGCAATATACATAAAAAACAAAACCAAGTGCAATACACTGTTAAAATAATTATTAAAACAAGGCATTCTGTGGAATAAAAATTTTCTGTGCTAAAGAATTGGACTTCTCATCCCCACATACTTATCACTTTAAAATTGCCGACATAAAGGCAATGCGTCGCCCTCACATGCACAGACTCTCTCTTCACATAGAATTTGGTGTTTGTGTCCTTCAACGGAATGCATAGACCTGAATCACAAAGCTTTGGTGAAAAAAGGAGACTCAGCACCCAATCAGATTCTGAAATCAACCAGCTCCCGTTGAGAAACTGTGTACTCCCAGGTGTTGATGGTGGAAGATCACGCACATAAAATTCAAGATGTTAAGGAAATTTCCCTGCCGTAATTGAATGTCTTTGTTTCAGTATGGTTTGAATGAACGTAACTGGGTGTAGAAACATTGGTCACAATTCACTCAAATTAAAATTACACTCACAGACCAGCTTTAAATGTGTTTACTCAGAAGTAAGCCTTATTTTCAGGGGGACTAAAAAAATAATCACAAATGGATGTGGTAAGGTTGAGAACTGAATTTAAGACTGGAAAAGTGGGAAACAGAGAGAAACTAAAATGGAGAGATTCGCCCCTCCCTACTCTCAGGTTATCCTAGCTCTGCAGGAATCAAAGAGTTGTTGCAAATGGTGTAAAGATCTACACAATACCTCCCATCGTAGTATCTTGCCCTCTTGCCCTGGTACAGCTCCCTGCATTTTTAAAAGTGCACTAACTGGGAGCATGAAAAACTCTTGTGCAAACATGCCCTTGATATAACGACACAAATCCAAATTCAGAATGCAGCCCTTATGCTTTTTAAAGCAGACATATTTCACTGATTAGAATATATAGCCCCATTGTCATTACCTGTTTTAATTAAACTGTACAGTCTGAAACTTACATGGTGACAAATCATGCTAATTACGCATGCCAGAGTTACCTCCTGAGACTGGTCCATATGTTAGACTCTGCCGTTTATTGTTTAATTGACAGGGGCACTGAGGAAAGTTAGAAGCCTCATGTTTTCTACGGGATCACACTGCTAACTACGGAAACCTTGGTGCGGTTAAATGGAGGGGTGGGTTTTTTTGTTTGTTTCTTTCAGAAGCACTAGATATGAGAAGTCCCTTGGTGCACCCATTCCAGTGGCAAACACTTCACTGAGAGTTTGCTGAGAGAATTAGAAGGTTGGTTGCAGTAGGAATAGCTGGGGGTTGGGGTGGGTCCACATTTTAAACCGGGAGAGGGGGAGCCTTAGGGCTGGGGGCGAAGTCTGCTCTTCTGCACTGTCCACAGGCCACACCACTCACCTGCTCTACTTCATCCCATCCCTGGGTGTTTTTGCATGGCTGGAGTGTGTCCTTCAACTCTGATAATGCCTCTCGCTCGCTTGGACGGAGGAGAGAGAGAGGTGTGTGTGAGCATATGCATAAATTAGCCCACTGTACAAAGGTAAAACTCATACCCTCCAACATTTCTCCAATGAAAATAGGGACATCCTATTCCATCATCATCATCATCAGAGCTGCACTCTGGGCAGCTTCCAACATATATAAAAACACAACAAAACATGAAACTTTAAAAACTCCCCTATACAAGGCTGCCTTCAGATGTCTTCTAAAGGTTTTCTTCTCTTGGGGGTCAAATAACTCCATACCTTTCAACAATTCTCCAGTGAAAATAGGGACATCCTCAGGAAAAGCGGATCATTCTGGGATCAAATCAGAAACCGGGATGGCTTCTGTAAATCCGGGACTGTCCCTGGAAAATAGGGACACTTGGAGGATCTGAAAACTTGCATCCATTGCTCTGTCTTCTTTCACCTCTGGCCCCTCCCATTAATGGGATGTGGCCCCCGGGAGGTTTCCCAGATGGGAATGTGGCCCTTGGTCTGAAAAAGGTCCCCACCCCAGGGCTCATGCATGGGCATCTAAAGGTGTTGGCCAGGCAGCCTGCTAAGTTTTGGGGATGGGGTGAGGAGCAGGGCCCCCACTCCCTAGTAGTCTGGTAATGCCCCTTTTATTTGAGTAATCTAGAGGGTGCAGATAGAGGACCTAAAGCGTTCCACTTATGCGGAGAATTATGCTTTTAAGTGGATGTATTTCCAAGAGGGATTTCAGTTTTATCGCCAAAGTGTTGCGTCGAGCATGCTTTTAATCAGCGCTCTCTTATCTGCAGACCACTGCATGTTGTCCTTTCCCAAACCCAGGCTCTTCTCCCTCCCCACCAGGCACCCGCCCCATGCATCCTTCCCCCAGAGATTAATGTGCCCTCAGTGGGTTACAAATTTCAATAAATAAACACTCTACTTAGAATTATGAAAATGCAGGCAGCAGCGTGGGATTTCTAGCAGAATATCTACTTTATGAATCAGCACAGGCTTTTTCTCCCCCGCAGTTACATGTATATTAATAATAAAAAATAAGAGGCAAACAAACACCTCGGAACACCACTGAAGGGAAATAATTTTCGTAAGATTTTTAAGTTGTGGAATCAGATTAGAAAGGTGCGGAGCCGAGGAAAGGGGGACATACATCAACAGGAGGAGAAATAGCCTCGCAACAGGGCTGTTAAAATGTGGAGCATAAAACAAGGAAGCTGCATTACACCCAGGCAGAATATCGGTCCACTTAGCTTGATGTAGTCTGCACTGACTGGCAGCATCTCTCCAGTATTTCAGGCAGTGGTCTGTCTCAGCTTTACCTGGGCATGCTGGGGACTGAACCTGAGACCTTTTGCATGCAAGGCAAGTGGCTCTTCCACTGAGCTAGGTAAAGGTAAAGGGACCCCTGACCATTTGGTCCAGTCGTGGCTGACTCTGGGGTTGCAGCCCTCATCTCGCTTTATTGGCCAAGGGAGCCGGCGTACAGCTTCTGGGTCATGTGGCCAGCATGACTAAGCCGCTTCTGGTGAACCAGAGCAGCACATGGAAACACCATTTACCTTCCCGCTGGAGCGGTACCTATTTATCTACTTGCACTTTTTGGCATGCTTTTGAACTGCTAGGTTGGCAGGAGCAGGGACCGAGCAATGGGAGCTCACCCCACCACGGGGATTCGAACCGCCAACCTTCTGTTCGGCAAGCAATACGGCTTTGTCAGTAAACCATGAGACTCTGAATCTCAGGGATGTGGGTTCAAACCCTTCGTTGGGCAACAGATTCCTGCACTGCAGGGGTTGGATGCTTGTGGTCCCTTCCAACTCTACAATTTCATGATTCTAATCTATTTTTTGCACCCAGCCCATCTGGCTGGGTTCCCCTAGCCACTCTCCAACACAATATACAGAAACACTACCACCACCACAACCACCACAACACAGAACACCAGACATTAAAAGCATAACAATACAGGGTTGCCTTCAGGTGCCTAAAGAAAGTCATACATTTATTTATCTCTTTGACATCTTCTTTAGTAGATAAGTACAGCATAGAAGGAACCAGTTCTGACTTAGAAAGTGGAAGGGTTTTGTTTCTTGCAGAGCAACATGATGTTCTATTTTATACTCCACTCACCTGCTGCCACCATGTTGATCTGTCAGCCCTGGGTGAGAAAGCCTCAGGGACAATTAAACATCTTTAATGGTGAAGTAGGGACAATCGGAGTCTGTGGCTCAGTGGCAGAGCCAGTGGCACGGGGTGAGTTGCCAGCACCCAGGGCCGTGTAGGAGGGAGGGAAACAGATAAAGTATGCATGCAAATTAAACCGCCTTATGGCGTCCACATCACACACGAGATCATGGCCACAGAAATAAGAAAATAAGGGTCATTACATTGTCCGGAGAGGTCACTTCCTGGTTCGCATGGAGAAGCCATTTTAAATAGATCCCAATGACGGAAGCACACAGCTGTACTGAGGCAGCATGGGGTGTTGAAATTTTGCACCCCTAACGATTTTGTGCCCAGGGCCACGGACCCTGTGGCCCACCACACTACGCCACTGGGCAGAGCATGTAGCAGCTTGCAGGTTCAATGTTCCACCTCTCCACTCAGGTGGGATCTGAGACTCTCAGCAGGACTGATCTGCATCCAAGTAACTGGAATTCACAGGATAGTCAGTGTAGACCAGGGGTGAGGAACCTCAAGACCAGGAGCTAAATGTGACCTTCCAAGCATTTCTTTATGCCCCTTGGAACTCTGCCCAGGCCCACAGCCTCCATGCCCATACACCTCACTGACCCTGGACTCTCCTCTAATGGTTTTACCTGTGTCCTTGAATTGAGATACTAAATTTTGCTTGCCTGGATGGCCATATCCACTTTTGCATACATCCACTGGTATGAGGTCCATGAGCAGAAGAAGAATCCTGCTGGATCAGGACAATGGCCCATCTAGTCCAGCATCCTGTTTTCACAGTTGGCCAACCAGGGGAAATCTGCAAGCAGGACTTTAGCACAACAGCACTTTCCCTTCCTGTGGTTTTTGGCAAGTCGGAAAGCACTGGCCATCACAATTACAGGTAATGCAAGATTTTTAAAATCCACGCACTGACTGGGCTATTAACAACCAGACTGTTCACTTTCTCAAAACTGGCTTCTACAGCCACTGTCCAAATCAAATGGGAAGCTCCTTGTAATAATTGATGCATAATGTTGGACTCCAAATCCCATCATTCCTAACTGTTGGCCATGCTGGTTAGGGTTGATGGGATTTGGAATCAAACATTAACTGGAAGCCCAGAGTCACTGTCCCTGGAGTAAACAATGAGATTAACAAGCAGAGGTTGGTGCAGAATGACAATGAGCCTGACCGCACAGCACAGAATCATTATTGCACCCAGAATTTTATTTCAAATAATGTTACTGCCCCATATCAATCAGTTGGGGAGGTGCCATTTTGATTTTCTGCTTCTGCAGCAAAATATTTTCAGCCAGCCGTGCATATTTTGGTGTGTTTTTGTTGGGTTTTTATAAAGAGCATTTCACAATCGATCGTCATGTTAACAATTTGCCAATAATAATACAAAATAAAGCACCCCCTTAACTGAAATTTCACAGGAACGTGGAATTGAATGAAACTGCCAAATAAATCCCCATCTTTGTTCAAACACAACACAAAACACAATGGATCCTTGAAAATCCATGGCTCCATTTGCCAAAAACTGGGTCTCATGGAACTACTAGGTTTTCCTGCCAAGGCACAGTCCTAGCTGTTGGAAAGGCTTAGTGGAACAATTTCAGCTAGAACCACATGCTTCATAGCCCTTTTTACTACAGGTAAGAGAGCTCTGAAAGCCTGGTCTGGCAAGCCAGATCATGAGCCTAAGGAGAGCCCAATTAAAATCAACAGATTCTCTTTGATACGCCAGAAAAGGGAACGTGCACTTAAAATGGAACTCAGCAGTTAACATGAAAGGCAATTTATTCACTAAACATAATTACCAAAGAAAGAGTAACTCTCGACCAAAGGGGGTGGGGAATCAACCTGTTGAGTATACAATGTGGTCACAACAATCACAAGACACTTCCCCCAGCAATTCTTCTTCCTGTCTGTCTGGCCATCCTGTAAGTAAAAGAATTTGACTCCATCACACTGTGTCACCAGGCCAATATGAATGGAACACTAGGCACAGTAAGAAGATCAGGAGCAGATCAGAGATTTATGGCGTTCTACATCTCCTCCCTTTCATCACAGTTAAGCGATACACCAATGCCAACCAGAGTTCCCTCTTAACCAGAATTAACACTAGTCCCTCTAAATAGGTTGGACACAGCTCACCAATGCAAGGCAGTTGATTCAAGGCTCTATAAATCTTTCTTTTTGATGCATGCATGGCACTGCATAAAATGGGAGTGGGAGGCGTAGGAGCCATCTCCTAGTGGCCTGATCCTGGGGTCCAACAAGACTCTGAGAAGGACTCAAAGGTCTAGGGAACATTCCCCATGGCAGAGTCTTCAGTAGCTTCTCCTGTGCTCCTCTAGCTGGAGAACACAGCCATGCCACCATCCTTGGACTCAGGGGACAAATCCCCAACAACCCTTGAATCTATTAGTATTCACAGAAGTCAAAGGATACAGAAGCAGGCAAGGACCCTTAAAAAAAACAAAAACTGGCTTACTTCATGGAGTTGAGACTCAATGCAGAAAAGGGTTTGTGTGCCTCTGTAAGGCCTCAGATGATTCTCTGTCCTGGTGAGGCAAGCAGGACTCAACCACCAGGGCCCACTGGGTGCTGCCCAGGGTCCTGAATTCTACTTAGAAAGACCTTGCTTTTGTGCTTGCCCTGAAGACACTAGACTTGCCCACTTCTTCTGTGAGCTGTAAGTCTCAACAGAAGAGGAAGCCCCCAGCACTCACTACCTGAAACAGCCACCTCACTCTCCCAAATGATCCATTATAGTTCAGCAGTTGGCTTGCAGAGGCTGGACTTTACTGCTCACCTTTGCGTGCACGCACACACACACACACACTGTTTAAAATTGTGTTGGTTTGGTTTGCTTCTGCTGTCTTTCATTATTTCAGTTATCTGCTTTGGAACTGCACAAGGAAAGATAGAATATAAGTATTGTGATGAGTAATTAAGTTGCATAGGCCAGTTCTGGATGAAAGGAATCATTGCAGAGAATAGGCTCTTGGAGAGGGGGAGAGGCCAATCTGGTTGCCATTTCTCTGTGGAAAAAAAACCTTCTTTTGAACTATTCAGAGAAGAGAAGAATAGCGCACTGCCGAACGCAAATTTGCTCAACAGGGCTCGCTTCCAAGGCAAGACGGATAAGATGAACCCTATTATTCTGATTTCGAGAGAGCATGTAGGTGTGGCGGGGGTGTGGTGTCATTACCCCCAATTGCTTTGTTTGCTTGAGACTCAAAATTATCATTTATCCCAAAGAACAAGAAACATCTCCTTTGATTCCCCGTAAGCATGTGAGAGAGGAGTAGCGATTGCGAATGCATGTGAAAAGGCCATTTAGAAAATTGGTAGTGTTTTAAAGTTTAGTTGTTCACTGTAATTTCTCAGAGCCATGTTTTTCATGAGCTCTCTTAACTCTCCCCCTTCAGGATAAGTTTGTTCAATTCATTAGGAATAGCTTTCAGCTGTTCAGTAAACTGTTATTGTCTGTATTTCTTTGCAGTAAGAGGTCACTCGCTGCTGCCATTATAAGCCCCACCACTCCTTTCTTCAGCTGTTTGTTGTAACTCGGCAGTTTCTAAATGAGAGCTGAAACTTGTTGTGTGTGGGTTTTCTGCCCAGATGCACTTAGTGTGTGCCAGCGTACACGCATTAACAACACAGACATGTTGCTGTTTAAAACATGACTATTCTGCTTTTCTAAGGTCTGCAGACAGCTCACCAAAAATGCGTGCCAAAGGAAATTAGAAACAGGAGAAACAATGACAGAGAAGTCCTCTGAAAAGTCTGCAAAACTCTGGTTCAGACAATCACATGCAAAAAAAAAATGTGGTTTACGCTCTTGCGAATGAGTACCTGAGAATTGCATGACATGCCGCTCCCCCCACCCTCTTCTCTTGCATTTAAAGAACTATGAAAGCTTTCAGTTTAAGAACAAACCATGGTTCCTTGTAGCATCCAAATTTTATGATTCTAAACTTCTACAGCAACAGAGGATCTGAAACCACAGCTTGATTCTAGTTTGTTGTAACAAACTTTGGATGGTAGTCAACTAAGCAGACACAATGAAAGTAATGAACATGACTAAGTTAGGTCCATTATTTCCATGGGTCTACTCTGAGTAAAACTGAGATTGATTCCTCCATCCCTAGTTCTATGTCCAAACTGTGTGACTTCCCCACGAACATTACTCTCTCCCAACAAGTTTCTGCATTGATCTGCAATTTAAGGTGGGGAATCTATATGAAAATTTGCACTTACTGTGTACTTTTAAGCCTATTACCTGAAAATGAAGAGGCAAGAAGTGCATCAGAACATTCAGGAAGCATGGAAAACAATGGGTAAGTAAGTCTGGAAGGTACAAATCATGTCTCTTCTACTGGAATTTAACAAATTCTTCAACCACCCCCAGTAAGAACAAGCCACAGTTCTCTGAGTTCAGATGCACTGCAGAACTGTGGCTGGTTCTTAGTGTCAAAGTTACGTCTGCAATCCTATGCACACTTTCTGATGAAGAGGTTCCATTGAGTTCAATGGGGTCTACTCTGAAGTACACAATTACAGGCATAAGATTATATATATATATACATACACACACTGCACATTTCTTTTAATTTTTTGTTCCCCTCTTCATCCAAAGAGCTGAGGCATATACAATTCTTCTCCTATTGTGCTTAGAAACTTCCCACCAGTACAAACAAATTACACCAGGGGTAAGGAATCACTTTCAATCCAAGGGCCACATTCCATCACAAGGAACTTTCTGGGGGCCACAGGCCAGTGGCAGGTGAGACCAGAGGCCAAAGTGGACAGAGCAACAGGTGCAACTCTTACCTTTCTACAGTAGACTACATCCCAGCCACTTAAAAGTCAGGGGTTGCTGAACACCAACACCCTTCCTTCCTTCACTCAGGTGAGCAAGAGACATGATTACGGTTCAAGGACACATTCCAGTCTGGCAAAGGCACTTGAGGAGAGCACAGAGCAGCACTGGAGATGGGGTGGGGGTGGGGGCTTAGGGAGAGTCCCAATGGCCAAATAAAGATACCTATACCTATAGCCAGGACTGAAGTCCCCCATCCCTATATCACATCAATGCTTTTGTCATCTTCATTGGTTCCCAGTCTATGTCTGGGCTCACTTCAAAGGGCAGGTTGTAAATCACAGCTTGGGAGCCTGGCATCTGAAGGATCAGCTCTTATTCTATGGCCCTGTGGTCATCAGTTCATTTGAGGCCCTCATCTGAGTGTCCTCTCAAGCCGGGCTATGGTGGGTGACCATGAAGGAGTGGGGCTGTTTGGTGGTGGCTCTATGGTTATGGAACACTTCCCCCAAGAGTATATACCTGGCGTATACTTTTCTATTTCTTTGATGCCAGGTGAAAACCCTTTTCAAGAAAAAAATGAAATCCAAGGCCTTTAAAAATGTGTTGCTTAACAGGTTTACAGTTTTAACAGCTTACTGTTAGCATTCACAATGGTACAATGTTGTGCTTTAAACCCCATAAAGATTATTACTTACTATTGTTATCAATTAATTTATATACTGCTTGATACAAAAGAGGCTTCCAAGCAGATTACAAAGTATAAAAACCAGTTAATACAAACAATAATCATCCATAATTAAAATGGATAATAAAACAAACCCATCAGAACATTAAAATGTACACATCCATAATTAAAATAGATAATAAAACTATCCCATTGTGATTTTTTTTTGTGGTATTCATTCTTTTGATGTTATGACTTTGGCTGAATTTGTTTTAATCTCTGGTCTGTTATTTGTGGCTGTGTTGTATTCCGTGCTGTTATATGATCGGTCTTTTTATTGCATTTTTTTTTGTAGTGTTGAATTATTTTCACGTTGTTCGTCGCCCTGAGAATTTTTTGTCACAGGGCGACTAATAAATGCAATAAATAAATAAGATGCGATTGTGCGGAGCAGAGAGATCAAGAAGTGAAAGGCAGAGATAGAGTAGAGAAGGCACTTCCTAGCATGATGGGGAAAGTTATATCTGATAACTGTGCGCTGGGGGCAGGAGCACTCCCAGTAAAGAAGTTTGCAGTTCTCCACCTGGCCCCTTTGAGCTTTCTCCATCAACTTGGTTTACAATGCTGGAAAGCGGTTGCTTGAGAGTCCAGAGGACTGATTTCCCCCCACCAATAGCGAAGTATATTGTGGGGGTGGGGGAAGAGAATTCAGGTTTTCAATCCTAAATACATTTACTTGGGAATCAAGCTGGTTGAACTCAGTGGGCATATTTCAGGAAGGACTACAGCTCAGTAGTAGGACATCTGCCTTGCATGCAGAAGGTCCCAGGTTCAAGTGCCCAGCACCTCCACTTTGGGCTGGAACTGTCTGGAACCAATGAGAGCCATTGCTGGTCATTGTAGCCAACACTGAGCTAGCTAGACGAGTGGTGTCTGACTTGTATTCCTGTGTAACATGTGATGGGAAGTGCCCTGAAGAGTTTCTGCCAGTAGGAATAGCAGACAATTACTGGACTAGATGAGCAAACAGTCTGGAATAAGGCAACATCCTATGTTCTAAGAGTTAGACGCTGTTGGCCAAACAAGTACATTTGTATGGTGATGTTCCAGTACAAAGTACAACACAGGAGGTACCATATATCTAATGAAAGATGCAGAATTAGAGATGGCTTAAGCCTCTGAGAATGGTCAGACCACACCTGGAATGCTGTGTCCAGTTCTGGGTGCCTCAATTTAAGAAGGATGTTGACAAGCTGGAACATGTGCAGACGGCAACCAAGATGATCCAGGGTCTGGAAAGCAAGCCTTATGTGGAACGGTTGAAGGAGCTGGGTATGTTTAGCCTGGAGAAGAGGAGACTGAGGGGAGATATGGTAGCCAACTTCAAATATGGTTCTGCACTTAGGCAGGAAGAATCAGATACACAAATGTAGGATGGGGACACCTGGCTTACTAGCAGTACATGTGAAAAGGATCTAGGGGTCTTAGTAGATCACAAGCTTAACAAGAGTCAACAGTGTGATGCAGCAGCAAAAATAGCTAATGCTATTCTAGGCTTCATCAGCAGAAGTATAGTGTTGCAATCGAGGGAAGTAATAGCACTGCTCTGTTCTGCCTTGGCCAGACCACACCTGGAATACTGTGTCCAGTTCTAGATGCCATAATTTAAGAAGGATATTGACAAACTGGAACGTGTGCAGAAGAGGGCATCCAATAAGATCAAGGGTATGGAAACCAAACCTTATGAGGAACAGTTGAGGGAGTTGGCTCTGTTTAGTCTGGAAAAGAGGAAACAGAGAGGAGATATGATAGCCATCTTCAAATATCTGAAGGGCTATCAGATATAAGATGGAGCAAGCTTGTTTTCTCCTGCTCTGGAGAGTAAGGCACAAATAAATGGCTTCAAATTGCAAGAGACTGACTAAACATCAGGAAGAACTTTCTGACAGTAAGAGCTGTTTGACAGTGGAACAGACTCCCTAGGGAGGTTGCAGACTTTCCTTCATTTGAGGTTTTTAAGCAGAGATTAGATGGCCATCTGTCAGGAATACTTTAGTTTAGATTCTTGCATTGCAGTGGGTTGGACTTGACCCTTGGGGTCTCTTCCAACTCTACAGTTCTACAATTCTATGAATACGGTGTGTGTGTGTTTTGGTTTATTCAACACGTTGGTTGGTTCCAAGACTATCAGCCTGCCCTTGCAACCTCAAAGGGTTGTATTTAGGAAAGGACTATAGTGCAGCGGTAGAGCATCTGCTTTGCATGTAGAAGGTCGCAGGTTCAATCCCTAGCATCTCCACAGATGACTTGAAATGCTCCCCTGCCTAAAACCCTGGAGAGCTGTTGCTAGTCACTGTATACAATATCAAGGTAGATGGACCCATGTTCTGACTTGGTAGAAGACAGCTTCCTTTGATCAGAAAAGGACCATGAAATGTTGGCGCTTGAGCCAGGCAATCCAAAGCAAGTTGCCATGGTGATTTTAGGGGGGGGGACATTGTAATAATAAGCTAAATAATTGGCAATTGGCTGCCCTTCACTGGTACTCCAAAGCCTGCCACCTGCAGCTGACTCCCTGCTGCACACCAAATGCTCAGGATCAGACTGGAGGTGCAAGACATGCGCAGTCAAACAGCCAGTTCAAACAGCACTAGGGCGGTGGGGGTCTGAAATCAAAGCCCAAACGGGTTGTGTGAAGGCCAGTTCACTAGACTTGCCTGCATGTAGCAGACGCTTCCTCGTTTTGGCCCAGCTTGCTTTAGCTACATCTCTAAAGCTGCCCGAATCACAATGCACAAGGGATAAGGTGAGATTTGTTCTGTGCCTTGGCTCAGTCCAATTCCAGACAGGCTGTGATGGCGCTGCCAACTTGCAATATATTTTTGCTCACGACAGTCTGTTCAGACAACCAGTCTCCACGGCACAAAGCCACGCGTCTTGTGTGAAACTGCCGCAGATTAGCCCATCACTTGGGAAGAAAATGGAGCATTTCAACAACCCGGCATAGAGGTTGCCTGCCACAGATTTGGTCCCATGAGCCCCCTCTACTGGGCTAGCTTGGGCCCAGTTTCCGTAGAAAGCAAAGGCAGCTTCCAAAAGGAAAGTGAGAGATCAGAAGCGAGGAGGAGGCAGCATTCTCAGATTCCAAATGTGCTCTCTCTCCCAAACTTTTTGTTTGCCTGATGGCCTTGGGCTTTTTCTCCCCCCACTGTAGCTTTCAAATCCGTTGGCAAACAGCTCACTGCAGCTCTGTGTGTAATCCTTTGGGGGTTAAAATAAAGGTAGCTTGTGAACTCTGTTCTCCTTCAAAACTAATGGACTCTTCCCCCCTCCCCCCTGTGCTTTACACACACACAGACACAGTTGCTCGCCCCCCCCCTTTCTCCCCCAATATCCCCCTTTGTCCACTTTTATGAATTGAAACATGCACTCCCAACGTGCACACACGGGGAATCCTGCCCATTAATTAAAGGACTTGTCAGCCCCAATCCTGGATTCTTACAGTGTAGGAAATGTCTCCCCTTTTAAGTGCAAAACCATAACATTACCATTTCCCCAAGTGCTCTCTGTTTTAGGCTGCTTTCCTAATTAGAGGGATGATAACAGCCCCGCTGATTGGCATTATAAAAGCACTAGTTTGGCTTCATCTGTCCCAGGTGTGCTGTGTAATTTTTTCCTCCCCCCCACCCTTCTCACCGGTTCAGAGCAATACCTCTCTTCTTCATTGTTCCTTAAAGTTTTCATCTGAGGAATTAATTCAGATAAAAAGACATTAGAAAAGAACCTCTACTGCCAAAGCCCATCAGCGAAACCTTTTATCAAAAGTACAAACTATACAAGCTAGATATTTTTTTTTCCTTTTACCCTTTTGTTTCTGAGGGTTAAAAAAAGGGAGGAAGAAGAAGGAGAAGAAGAGGAGGAGGAGGAGGAGGAAAGGAGAGCGAAGGAAGGGAGGGAGGAGGGGAAAAAAATCCAGAGTTCTGTCAATGGACTGAATGCACCATTAAAACTGGCGTCACTACAAAGGTTAGCGTAGATCTAACTGTCAATACAGTGAGTGGAGTGGAGTCCGGTAAGGGGAGGGAAGGGAGCTTTGGTGAGAAAGAGATACTTTGATATTTTGGGATGTTAGAAGGGTGAATGTGAAAAATTGGAGGTTGGGGATCTAATTACCCAACCATAATTGGGGGCTAGGGAATAAGCTGCAGTCCTCTCAACTCACCGCAGATCAATTATGTTAAGAGAACATCTGTAAGTAGAACTTAATGAGGTCCATTAGAGCAACATGTACAGCCTCCTCTAACCGTACTTGTCAGCTTCTTGGATGAGCCAAAGAGAGCTGCTAACTAGGGACCTGGTGGAGGTGTTTAAATACTGAAGGAGGAGAGCTGGCCCGTTCAGGTCTTGCGCTCAGCTGGGGAAGAAAGTAAGGAAAGGGGGGAGGAAAGAAAGAAAGCAGGCAGCAGCAAAGCGGAAAAATCTGGGATTTTGCTCCCATTTGATGCTACTGGAACTCAAGTGGGGGAGAAGAAGGGGAGATGTGGTGATCAAGTATAGTTTTTTGCACTTCAACTGAGGGGGTGCGTGCATCTATTTTTTTTTCTTAAAGAGGGGGAAAAAACCACCAGGATTTGGTATCTTATTTTCTCCCTCCTTGCATGTTCATTGTCTTTTTGCTCCACAATAAGAGGTGTACATCACAACGGGCATCTCTCTCTGGGACTGTACAAAAATATTACTGATCAGAGGGGAGGGGAAAATTATAATTTCAAGAATTGGCAGGTGACTTTTTTTTTTTTTAAAGGACAAAAGTGTCCAAGCTGTGAAACTTGGAAGAATTGTTTTACGTTATTGTTTTTTCCTGCAGAAGGCTTCTCTTGCACAAAGGTAAGTCTTTCTCTCTCTCTCTTTTTAAAAACAAAATCTTAACATCCTTTTTAAATAACACCACCTTGCAAAATTGTACGTGCATTTAAAAAAAAAAAAGGAAAGTGGAAAAAAGGAAGATGTGTGGAGAGATCCTTCAGCAAGGAGGGTAAAGGAAAAAGGACCCTAGTTGTTGGTGATGGTTTTGAAACATTTTAGGGGGAAGAAAAATAAAGATTGTGATGTTTCACAGTGTGTCCGGCCTCCATTTGTAACTACACTGGACGGAGGGAGGGAACCGAAAGGAATGTGTTTTTTGTCCGTCTGGGTTTGAGTCTTTAAGAACGTGAGGAAGTAAACAATACCGACAAATCCTGTTTCTGTGGCGATCCCGGTTTGAGGTGTTTGGAAACGGCAGAGCTGGAAGCGGAGGGGAGAGCCCGAAAGCAGCGGAGCTGAGGAGGGTTTCTGGTCCTCCTCGACCCAGAGTCGGCGTGCCTCTCTTCTTCAACTAGATCACTTTGCTCTCGCCTGCATCTCTGCCTCCTCTTCTCGCCCCCGCCCCCCCCTCACACACACCTTGGGTACTTTGGTTTTTCATCTCCGACACAACACTACCGATCACATCTGTGCAAAGTGCTTTTTAAAGTAATAAACCACTTCGTCTTCACTTTTCTCCCCTCTTCCTTCTCCCCACCCACCCCTTGCTTGTGTGTGAATAATTCATATGATTCTGAAGAAAGAGGGAGAAACTGCTTTTCCTCTTCTTACTCCCTTCTTATTTTGCTATAGCCTCTACTCTCCTTCATTCCCCTCTTTTTATTTTGCTATAGCGCGCATATATATATATATATAATTTTCTTGCTGTAAATTGCATGATTGGGGAAAGAGCCTGCTTTCAAATAATTTAATTCATGACAAAACCTAATTACTGTCAGGTAATACCCTGTCAGCTTTAATGCATTTCATCAGTCATAATGAAAAGAAGAGCATTTTATGACCCATCTAATTATCATTACATTTTAGGGGGAAATGAATGGCGTGGAGCTGAATGTTAACTATTCTATTTTATTCCTTTACACATGTGGTTTGGCATATTACTCACCAACCCCCCCCCCTTCTCTCTCTTTATTTTAAAAAGATCCCTTGATTGGTGGAGTGGGAGGGGGGAGAAACAAGGAACGATTGCAATTAGATGCGGAGCTGTTTGTTACACGCGCGCACACGCGCACACACAGCGCCAAAAGTGACAAAGTGCTTAATGTCTATTGCAGGATGGTGTTGACACCGGGTATCTTATTGCCACAGTCCAAATAGAGTACTAATTACTGCGCATGATGTCACCGTAGGCAGAGGAATAATCCCATCATTTAATTAGTTGAATGATTTAAACAAAGATTTGCATAGATGCACTAATCAGTTGCCATGAATTACGGAGGCGCCGTTGCCAGCGAGGGGTAACAGATCATGGCGGGGGGGGGGTTGGAGAGAGAGAGAGAGAGAGAGAGAGAGAGAGAGAAGGAGAGGAGGAGGAACGGGCAGAGGGGAGAGAAAAGAGCGCGCGAGAGAATTTCATCTCCTTTAACATAATTAATTTAATTGTCCTCATTAGCTGTACCATTTGTTCTGATTTTATTTCTCCCTTTCTTCACACATAACCTCTCCGTCTCTCTCTCTCTCTCTCCTCCACCTCCTCTTGAATGCTTTGGCAGAGAGAGAGAGAGAGACGCGCACACACTTTGCTGGGTCACTTCGGAGAGGGGCAGGTGGGGTGTTTGTAGATGCAGCGCGTCAACAGAGGCGGTCTGGAGGGTTCCAGGCTGGGATGAAAACTCGCCCTCTTGCCTGAAAGGGAACCGGGTGTCAGGTCTCGGCTACCGCCTCTCCCTCGTCACTTGTGCAAATCGGATCAACAGGAAGCGTGTCGGGGGGGGGGGGTTTGCTGCTTTTGGGGGCGCGCACACACACACACACATCCACGCGCGCGCACTCCTGGATCAGAGTGCACTTTGGGTTTCGCAGCGCTTGAGCATGAGTGCCAGCTTGCTAAATTAAATGAAGAACTGTCCTAGGCAGAGGCGGGGGGGGGGCAGAAAACCCAGGAGTTAAATGTGTGCCTTCAAGAGAAGACACATTGCACTCCTGCTTTGGCTTTAATTATTATTATTATTCTGATCAGAATTGCTGGATTATCGGGAGGGGGAGGAAGAGGGGGGAGAGAAGAGGGTGAAGGAAGGATGTCAAATCTCTCCAAGGCCTTAAAAGCTTTTCTTGGGGGTCTTGAAAGCACCCTCTCTAATAATAGGTGTCATTCATTTTTTATTTTTTTTTAAGGATGGGGAATTCTAAGCTGACATCTTAAAAAAAAAGGCTTTGTGACAATCTTAGTGTGAGGCTCCTAATGGCAGACAACAGAGGAACACTTTGAAGTCTGCAAACTGCATTCACAAATTCTTAATCGGTTTTTACCCCCCTCTCCCCCCTTCTCTACCAGCTGTGGGTTGACTCTTAAAAAACAGAAGATGCCGGGGGATCTGAGAGGGTGGTGGTTATTTACACAATAAATAGGCTCAAGCCTGAAAAAGGCAACATATTAAGGCACGGCAGCAGGGCTGACAAATATTTAATATCCTATGTTTTTGAGGGTGGGGGTAAGGAATCAACATCTTATTGCAGTTTGTCATTTAAACACCTCTATTGTCTCCAGTGCCTCTGTGATGCGCCTTTGCTCAGGGCAGCAGTCTGGGGCAAGAGCTTTCCTATACATGCTTACTCAGGAGTAAGTCCCGCTGAGTTCATCGGGACTGACTCCCAGGTAAAGTGCCTTTGCTTTGGTTCGATGGAGCATGGAGAGGGATGGTAGAACGCATCTCTGTCACACCCCTTTATCTCCCCCACCCTAAAAAAAATGAAAAAAGGAAAATTGAAAGGATCCTTTAGCTCGGCCCAGTACAGGCTTTCAAACCACGTGCAGTGGGATGTACTGTTTGTGCAAGTGTCAAAATGCAGAGGAAACTGGAGGTCAAAGTGCGGTCCTTTGTTCGCACTTCTGTAAAAGCGCGCTATTGGCAATTCCTCAGTTAGCGCGGAAAAGTTTTGTTGCGCACGAAAAGGAAGACTTTCTTCTCACATAACGGTCCTGAAAGCACCACTCTAATCCCCACCCCCCGCTTCCCCCCACTACTCCTCTCCGGCCACAATCTCACTTTTACTCGGGAGTAATAAAGCAGTGCGTGTAACCATGCATGGGTGCTGAGGTCTGCAGACGTTGCAGAAATGGTGTTTAAAACTGGGTGAGTCGAGACGTTTTGCTCACCCACTTAGGACAGAAGGAAACCAGCCAGCGCGATGGGGAGGGGGGAGGGGGCGTTAGAGCCCTGCAGCCGGATCCTATGAATGCTTATTGGGAAGCAAATTCAAACCAGAGGCTTCTTCTCAGGGTAAAGCTGCGCTTCGGTTGGGCAGCGCGGAGTTGCTCTCTCCGCGCCAGAGGTCACTTTGCGCGTGAGCCGGTGGGTCGCTCGCCGGCTGCCGCTGTCCCCGCTGCTCATGTCTAGCATATGCATATGCTTTTCTTTTCCATTCCACCCTCCCCCCTCCCGCTGACTTGAACTCGCAGGCTTGTAAATTTTCACCCTGGGAAATTAGCGACAAAGCCCAATCTGTCTCCCGGCTGCTTTGCACTTTGCGAGAGGGAGGTTGTTGCAAAGCCGCCGATCGAGGTGGGGGGGGCGCGTTGGAGAGAGAGAGGAGAGGGAGGGAGGGAGGAGGGAAAGGGGGAGGAGGGGGGACGAGAAAGATAGGAGGGGGCACATATGAGAGAGTCGCGGTAAATAGCCTGAAACCGGCCACGAGCCGCAGCTTCGAGCTCGCACGTTCACACGCTCGCGCTCTCTCTCTCGCTTTTGCAAGCGCGCAAGCGGCGCTTGGCTGTCTCCCTAATAACAAGAGTGACCTTTTCCCCTTTGCTGTATTATGTCTGGCTGGTTAAGGGATTGCGTCCTGCAGTTGATACAGCCTCTGACTTCCTACAGCTCGGCTCCAAGCACGCTGCTTTAGGTAAGTTGCCTTTTAAACGGGGGTGGGGGGTTGGTTAGGGGGTGGTGGTGGAGGAAATCAGCCCTGGACTCCGGAGATCCACCGATGCCTTTCCAAATCTCTCTTTCTAGGTAGGAGGACACCTGTAGCTCTGCCGAGGCCAACCCAATTAACTTGGCGGCTCCGCGAGGACTTCATGATTATTATTATTATTAATACCAATACTAATAAAACCCAGAGACAGGCAATCGCGTCCTTGCTATCCAACCCTCCCGTCCTCCTTTCCCTTATTACTTTTCTTTCCTGTCTGCAAACAATGCTCCTTTCTGACCTTCCCCAAAGGAAGAACCAGCTCCATCCAGAGCAGCGCCGGGGTTTCTTGAACTCACCTTGCCTTGCTTTTAATTGAGAAGGTAAGTTGAGGCAGCGGTGTCCACGCCAGCTTGGCCCCGGGGGCAGATTTTTTTTGGGGGGGGGGGGTCCTGTTCTTTTCCCCCTCCCTCATAAAGTCGGGATCCTGCTCCTCCTCCTCGACTCTTTCCCGTCTCCTCTCCGCTCCGCAACTTGGGGCTCCCCAGCTCCTCGCTCTTTTCCCCGCGGCGTGTGCGTGTGTGTGCCTGTGTGTTTAAATCAGGGGAGGTTTTCCTTATTTTTATGATGACGAGAGAGAGATGCGAGATCGGGGGCTGCAGGAGGCGAAAGAGCGGCGCGATTGGAGGGCTGGCGAGCAAGAAGCGCAGGCGAAGTTAAACAATGAAACGGGAGCAAACGCCCGCTCGCCCTTTCCCTTAAACCGCGTCGCCAAATCCGGCTGGCGCGCTCCTGGTTGCCAAACAGCGCGAGCGTGAAACGCGATGGTGAGAACCGACTTCATCTCTCCCCTTCCTCCTTCTCCTCCTAAGAATCGGATCCCTTTTCTTTTCTTCCTTGCTCCCCATGGTTTTATTTTTAGTGAAGCTTGAAGGGAGGGGGGGTTCCTGTCTTTTAACCCTAAACACCCTGCAATTTTTAGTGGGAGAAAGGCCACCTTTTGCGCATGGGTTTTCTCGACTCGGTGCAGCCTTGGCCGAAAATGAGGAAAGAGGTGGGGGGGGGGGACGGGATCAATCCGATGGGCAATTGTGATATCTAGCCCTCTTTTTCTTGTGATGGTGCATTTCTCCTCTCGGTCCCCCCCCCCTCCCCGCCCGGCCACCCCTGCTCTGCCTTAGAGCCCGAGACAGGCTTGTGCAAACGCTGCATGTGACGGTTTAATCAAATCCATTTGTTACCGCCGAGCTTAAAAAGAAGACCGCGGGGGCGGATAGAGTTAGGGACGCATGTGGCTCTTTGTAGATCGCCACCACCATTGCAAAGATAGATGTGTGTGCGTGTGCATAATCTCGTCCGCTTGCAAGTGCCTGCCGTGTGTGTTGGTAGAGGTGTCGCTTTTTCCAGCAGTCGCTTCCCCCACCCGCCATCCCTCCACCCCCTTTCCAAAGTGCACTGCACAATAGCCCTGTTCTCTCTTCGCTTTTCAACGCAAACCTCTTCCACTTGACCCAAACTACGGGGAGGGACACACACACACACACACACACACACACTTGCCGCTTCTTGCTTTGCTCAATGCGAAGGAGCTACCCGAGAGTCCTTAAATCAACTCATGCAGAAAAAGGAGAAAAGTTTCGGTAAGGTTGCCATCGATTGTTTCGTTGCTCTTTTCTTAAATAGATATTATCTCTCCTCCCTTACCTTGACGAGCGTTGAGCAGACGTGCATTTTCAGTTTGGATGTTTTGGAGAGGAGGAGGAGGAGATTTTGGGGGATGGAGGGGGGTAATGCCTTTCCCCCTGACTTCAGCTTGTGTTATGAAATGCGCGCTGCCGCTTGGTTGGGTAGGCGAAGGCTTTTAGATTTTATTTTTAAGCCAGTTACTTATTTATTTTACTTTAGGTGAAGCGACCGCAGAAAGCTGCAAAACACTTTCTCCTTCCCCGTCCCCCTTCCCCTGTAAAACAAAACAACATAACAAAAGCCAGCCCACACGCCATCCTTCTTGTGGCTTTGCAGGGGTGGGCAGAGAAATTAGAGGTGCCTGGCTTGTAGCTAACATTGCAAGGGGGGGGGGGGCTTCTTTGTTGTTAAAGAGAGTGTTTCCTCTGTCGTGGCTTTTTATTTTTTTTTATTTTGCATGTGAACTGCATCAAAATTGAGCTCACTCTTGCAAATCTCTTGTTGGCCTTTGCCAACCACTAGCACTTTGCTGCCATGGTAACTGTAATTAAACTGATAAGAGTGGAAAAATGTCAGTATCTCTCTGAGTCTTACAGCTGCATTGGAAGAAAGGAGGTGGGGGCTGAGAGAATAAAAATTGGCTTCCAGCAGCACCACATTGAATTGGGAGAGAGGTGAGGTTGGAGGGGGAGAGGGAATGAGAGGATAGGAAAGGGGTGGTGGAGGAAATATTGTGTATTTAAAAGGGTATATGGGTAAGAGACTTTAGGAAGAAAATATCCTCTTCCTCTACATCTTGGGGGGGGGGGGAGAGGTGTTGGCACTTGTCCATTCTCCCAGCTCTCTAAGAAGGGTTACAGGGAAGCTCTTAGGCCACCAACTAGCTCTCAGAAATTTAGACGATCATGACAAGTTGGGGGGAAGGAGGGGGCAGCGCTAAAGAGAGGCAGAATGAAACCTTTTGTCGTCTTGGCAGTTGCCAGATTCTTCCTTCTGAATTGGTTCTCCCAGCTGTGGGGCTGCTGCCTGTCTTTCCCCCCTGCCACTCACAAATAAGTTAGAACACTTTCCCCAGCCTCTCGCTTCAATGGTGCTGTTGCAATATATATATAAATATAATTAATAATAATAATTGTTTGTGGGGAGGGAACAATTAAAGTGCAACGTAGGAGTGATTTAAGGTGGTGGTGATGTTCCTGGGTGCTAAAGAGTTGCAGTTACTTTTGTTGTATGAACTACAAAATCTCACCCTCTGTGTGTGTGTATGAATAGCAGAGAACAAGAGACCACAATGGAAGCAATCGAGCGTTAGGCTGGCTCACAATGCGATCCAGGCAATTAAAAGCTCACCAGAGTTTTTAAAATGAAATGGCCCCCGCTTCTTCCTGATCACCATGCTGCACAGGCTATTATTTGTGCATCTCTCTTTTTTAATTATGCTTTCCCTTAAACTGTCAAACAACTCAGAAGTAGCAGGGGCCTCAGGGGCAGAAGGAAAATTTCCAAGCACAGTCGACCTGAATAACTGACTCCTGAGCTGCTGGGAGTAAAGTCTTTGTTTATTTATCAAAATGCCTTTCTTCAAAATAGGCCTCCACCCCCTTCATCCCAAACCTCTCTGAATAATTGTGTGTTGTGGAGGGAGCTCTGAACGGTTGCTTTATTGCTTTTGATTGGTACTTCCCCTAACCACAAAACTTTGATATTTCTGTTGTTCGCGTGTAGTCTGAACATAATGTAAGAAATCCATAGTGGGAAAACACCTTCGTTAGGCCAAACTGTTGCAAGCAAACTGTTGTTCCTCAGGCTAGATGGCGAACAACTTGTTTTGTTTACTGTCTTGCCTGATGAAGTGTTCTGGTGAACTCGAAAGCTTGCACACTACTTGGTTAACATTATGGCAACTGGCTGGCCTGTTGCTTTGCCATTTCCCTCAAGTAGACTTGGATTCTTCTTCTTCTTCCTATGGTCCAGCATGGCTGCCTTGTTGCTCTTCCATTTTTAAGTTGTAGCATCTTAGCTTCGGTTGTGTTCATAGTGGATACAACCGAATTGTTTTTTAAACTTTGGAGCAAGTACCACCTAAATCAATATGACTTACTTCTAAATAAACATGCATAGGATTGTTTAGCTACTTAGGAAGTATCTAGCAGAAGTTGTATAGTTTTGCCTCTAGAGAAAGCCTTGGCCACTTACATGCTGACTCCGAAGTCTCCTTCTAAATGTCCCATTGCTTTTTAAAAATACCAGATGTAAATTTCTGTAGGGTTAGGGTTCGTCTGGAAATATTGTATGCAGTAAACATGGTGTGAACTTTATTCCTAATGATGCTACTGGGGTGAAGGAAACAGCCGTAGTTCAGTTGCCTTAAATAACGTTTGCTGCAAAGTTGACAAGAGTTTTAAGACGGAAGGATTAAGCTATGGAGCTGAGCTCAATGCTTGCTCATTTTTGAGGCCCAAGCAATTGGAGACAAGTCAATATTTTCTTTTTGGTTTTCTCGTGCATTATATGTAAACCACCCCCACCCCATCCTCCTGATTTCAGCAGGAGTGTGTGCTTAAGGCGACCATTGAGATCAATGGTCTTGAAAGACCTACCTGTAGGAATCTTAACAAAAAGCTTTAATCTGCATGCCCAGCGCATTGCCTGCAACATCAGCAGAGCATCCTAGTTTATGTGATGGTTTCATGCATCTCATTCCCAACCACAAACTGGTGCAGCGAGTCTTGAGCCCTATAGGATGGGCAGAAGTTTCAGGCTTCCTTGCACTGCAAATCCAAAATTGAGAGTGTAGTGAATGGGGGGGGGGGAGGCTGTGTTGGGCAACAGAATTGTCTTAATCTGCAAAACCTCCACCTTAAGCCAAGCAAGTCTAAGGTGACTATTTCTCATTGAAAACTTGGCAGGCTATTGAGCTGTGACTGTATTAATGTCAAAACCACAGCTCTGCTTATAAAAAAGATGGCCAGTGGTTTGCTATAGTCTTCAGGGAAACCTGGCTTTGATTTAGCACATGCCACTTCCTAAACTGAAAGTTGGGTTGGGTATTGTTGGTTTTTTTGCGTTGGATTTTTTCCTTTGTGGGTTTTCTTTGCATTCATCTAATATGGCAAGAATGGCTGCCTAAAGTAGTGCTGTGCCGGAAAAAAATTCTGCGTTGTATCCCACCCCCACCCCCGTTCTTGATCAGTTAATAGGAAAAGAGGCTGCATCTGAAAAACATCAAAAGGGACAGGGGAAATTTGGTGAGAATCAGAGTTGGAAGGGACCCCCAGAGACATCTAGTCCAGCCCCTTGCAACTGCAGGAATCTCAACTAAAGCATCTATGACAAATTGCCATCCAACCTCTGCTTAAAAACCTCCCAGGAAGGAGAGTCCACAACCTCCCATAGGAACCTGTTCCACTGTGAGGTTCTCATGGATGAGAAATTTTGTTGTTGTCGTATGTAACTTTCATTTCACACGGGGGTGTTGATGTGAATCTTTCATTCTACAAATACTCTGCCGGCTTCTTGGATGCTCTGGCTTCCTGAAAGCCTAATGACCTCCTTGGCTGGACTTTGCAGTAACCGCTGGAATGCTGGGAGGCTCTTTGCCATGCACCTGACAGCTGCTGCTGTTTTTTGTTTTGAAGGAAAGTGCTTTTAGTTTTAAAGAAATTAGCGTGGGAAGGTTTTTTGTTTTGTTTTTAAGTGAAAGAACTTCCCTTGCTCAAGGTCAGTGAGCATGCTGATCTCAAAGGAAGCTGCCTTATGGTGAGCCAGACCATTAGTCCAGCTTGTTCAGTATGGTCTCTGACTGGCTCTTCCAGGGTTTCAGGTAGGGGTCCTCTCCCAGCCTTAGCAGGAGATAGTGGGATTTGAACCTGGGACCTTCTGCATGCAATGCCGTTCAGGAACTATGACGGTTCTCAGGAACTCAGTAGCCATTTTCATGAGCTTCAGATTGGAAACCAGAGAGATGCCATGAGACTACTCTTCTCCTGGGACTTTTCCAGATAAGGACGCATGGGCAGCTGGGGGAGAGTATGGGCAGAGGAGTGAGGAAGTGTTTAAAGGAAATAAAATTCTCACGTCACCCCCTGCCTCAACCCTGCACCCACTGAAATTCTGAAAGGTCCTGCAGTGAAACAGGAAAAATGGAAGCATCTTTTGGGGAGAGTTTCTTTTAAAAAAAAGAAATTGGAGGGAAAGTTTCCACACAACCTCAAAAGATGAACTATATTCGTATGCAACTATATTCGTATCCCAGTATAGCTTTAGGGGCTAATCCCATGAGTCAAAATCCTTGGGTTATAAAGCTCACCTGAGTTGCTGCATGGCCTTAAGACAAGTCACTATCTCTCGGTTTGATCCCACATTATGAGAATAATATTGACACATCTCGCAGCATCGAGGATGTAGAAAGTTATTTGAACACTTAGAATCATAGCTGTCAACGCTTTCCTTTTTTTAAGGGAAATTCCCTTATTCTGAATAGGATTCCTCATAAGAAAAGGGAAACGTTGACAGCTATGCTTAGAATGTGCTGCATAAGTGTTAAGCACTCCTTAGGTTTGGGGGTTTTGTGAATGAGTTGCTGTCATGTATATGTACTAGATGTGTCTTGCTGGGGAATAGGATTGGCGGCAGTGTCTCCCATAGCTGTATAATAGGATTAAGGAAAGCATAGCCAACAAGGGACCTCCAGAAGTTGCTGGACTACAACTCCCACCATCCCTGACCAAGCTGGCTGGGGCTGCTGGGAGTTGAAGTCCAAAAACTCTGGAGTCCACCATCTTGCTTATCCCTCGACTAAGGAATGTTTGCGATGCTTAAAGGTAAAGGGACGCCTGACCATTAGGTCCAGTCGTGGCTGACTCTGGGGTTGCGGTGCTCATCTCATTTTACTGGCCGAGGGAGCCGGCGTACAGCTTCCAGGTCATGTGGCCAGCATGACTAAGCCACTTCTGGTGAACCAGAGCAATGCACAGAAACATTGTTTGCCTTCCTGCCAGAGCGGTACCTATGTATCTACTTGCACTTTGATGTGCTTTCGAACTGCTAGGTTGGCAGGAGCAGGGACTGAGCAACAGGAGCTCACCCCGTCACAGGGATTCGAACCGCTGACCTTCTGATCGGCAAGTCCTAGGCTCTGTGATTTAACCCACAGTGCCACCCACATCCTTAGCAGGACTTAAAAGTTTGGGTGTGACACTTTTGCATCCCCATTTCCTGACACTCTGGCTTTTTGACTGAAGGGAATCCTTTTGTGCTTGCCTGGGCAGAACCCTACTTTATCCTTAACGCCTTTGTTGCATTTCTCCACAAAACGGCTGTTTTCTACCTGCGCTTCTGAGCCAAGCATTGCTTGTTCGGTCTTCAAGTTCCATACCTGCTTCTCTGATGATAGATGCTGCCTGCATCTGGCTGAGGCGATGCTTAAGGTAAAAAAAAAAATGCTTCTGCCATTGCCTGCTGCCGTTTGGTAAGACTATGGGAACCCTGCTGTCTAAAGAGGCACAATATGTAGAGGTTGGTGCTAATGAGGTGTTTCTCACCTCTTGCAAGCAAGCAGCAAATAGAGGTAAACCTCTTTATCACTTTTCCAGCCACCGCCTTCAATAGAAAGCAGCGTTTCAAATGCTGTGTAGCATGACCTCATCTGCAACGTGGATCTTGACTATTCTGCATCCGGCTCCACTTCTCCTTTTAAAAAAGGAGTTCCTTCAGCTGCAGGGTGTTTGCCAAATTGCTAGGCAGTTCTATTCCATAGGTTTGCTCCTCGAAAAGTACTCCCCAAGTCAGTGCCTTGGCTGGGGGGAAGGAGGTAGCCAAGACTTTTGCCCCAGGTGAAGCCTCCAGAGGGGCGCCATTGAGGCTCCCAGCCTGCCAGCTATTTACTCTCTGTGCTGGACACACAATTCTACTATTTAGAGAGACTCTTTTCTCCAGCCTCTTTTGAACAACAAACATGAGCAACCTTTCTTTTTCTCCTTTCTCAGAATTGGCCGTGTTTTAGGCTACTGAAGTCGGGCTGTTATTTTTAAGGCCAATTAAACATGGGGGAACTTGCTAAGCTTCAAAACTTTTGGCAAAACCGTTTCTCAACATTTCTAAACCTTCGAGTGCAAATCTTGAGTTCAGCTGAAGCCTCTGGAAGCTGCCCTGCTATAACAGAAACTTTGACAAATAATATCTTGCCTCCTTTTTATGCCTTTAAGAACAAATGTGCTGAGGTGTGCCTGTGTGCCGTGTGTGTGTGTGTGTGTGTGTGTGTGTGTGTGTGTGTGCCAAACCGAGTCTTTGACCCAGGTGAAAGAAAGCCCAATTTCACCCCTGTCCAATTTGCAGCTTTATTTATTTGTTTTTAAATTACAATTTTATTAGATATTGGCTCTTTTCCATCTTCCTTCAGGATTCTTTGCTCCGCTTTCTTTCAGAAAGGTGATGGGGTTAGAGGCTGTGTTGCAGAAATGTGAGAACGGGTGGCCTGATGTAGAAGGAACATTTGTTGTTTAGTCTTTTAGTCGTGTCCGACTCTTTGTGACCCCATGGACCAGAGCACACCAGGCACTCCTGTCTTCCACTGCCTACCGCAGTTTGGTCAAACTCATGTTGGTAGCTTCGAGAACACTGTCCAACCATCTCATCCTCTGTCATCCCCTTCTCCTTGTGCCCTCCATCTTTCCCAACATCAGGGTCTTTTCCAGGGAGTCTTCTCTTCTCATGAGGTGGCCAAAGTATTGGAGCCTCAGCTTCAGGATCTGTCCTTCCAGTGAGCACTCAGGGCTGATTTCCTACAGAATGGATAGGTTTGATCTTCTTGCAGTCCATGGGACTCTCAAGAGTCTCCTCCAGCACCATAATTCAAAAGGAATTCAGAAGGAACATAGGAACCTACTATATACAAGTCAGAGTGTTGGCCCACACAGCGCAGCACTGTCTCCACTGATTGGCAGCAGCTCTCCAGGGTTTCAAAGAGGGACTCTTGCCTAGCCCTATCTGGAGAGGCTAGGGTTTGAACCCGGGACCTTCTCCGTGCAAAGCAGATGTTCTGCCCTGAGGCTGTGTCCCTTCCCACAGACTTAGATTTTGTACACATGATACCTTTGAAGCACATTCTCTCAAAGACTTCTGGGCTTTCGCCACTCAGAGTTGCAGTTGCAGGGCCCACAATTCTTGAAAGGGAACAGATGTGCTTCCAATGTGCTTCAAAGTTATAGTGTGTACACAGCCTGGCTTAATTCTTGGACAACTGATGTTGAAGGCCATGTAAATACAGCAAGGCATATACCATATTTTTCGCTCCATAGGGCGCACCGGACCATAGGGCGCACCTAGTTTTTAGGCGGGCTTCAGGCTTCAGGCTGCTATCTGCTGCGCTGCCTGGGCTTCAGGCTGCAGGCTGCTATCCGCAAGCCTTCAGAGCCCAGCGGGAATTCCTGCCGCACTCAGAAGGCTTGTGGATAGCGGCCTGAAGCCTGCATTCGCTCCATAGGACGCACACACATTTCCCCTTCATTTTTGGAGGGGGAAAAGTATGTCCTATAGAGCGAAAAATACAGTATTTAAAACATTCCTCCTGCCACTGGGGGGGGGGGAATCATGGAAGCTGTAGTTCGTTGTTGTGTTCAGAATTGCAGTTTTGTGAGGAGTAGACTAATATTCCCAGGATGCTTTGGGTGAGAGAGTGGGCCTTCAATTGTGTTGTGTGCCTAGCCTGACTTAAGAACCTGAATTCTTTCCCAGCAGCTCTTCTTATGAATGAGGAGTGTATGCTAGGGGAAATGTCCTAGCTTCAGTTGTAGGGAAAATGCAAAGGGTCCCAAGTTAAATCCCTTGTGGCTCCAGGTGGGGCTGGAAAAGGCCTCTCCCTGAAACTCTGGAGAGCTGCTGCCAAACCGTGTTGACAATACTGAGCTAAATGGACCAGCTGCCTGAGTTGGAACAAGGCACTTTTCTATGTTCCTTTGTTGAAGGCTCTACCTATAGTGCTTGAAATAAGTTCATTGCTCTGAGGCCCCTTCCCAGCTGGGGAGAACTTCCTGGGCATAACGCATGCTGGTGGACCCCTATAAGCAGTTCTAGCCCAAGGCATTTTGCTACCTGAGGCAGGAGATCCTGTTGCCCCATCTCATCCCAACCTCATCTCAAGTGTCTCTTCCTGGGAGTAACAGTAATAATAAAAAATTAACCAACAGTGCTTTCCTTCCATGGAACCCAAAATCCCCTGCCTGGGGCAGCTGCTTCAGTCCGCCCAATGGTAGGGCCTGCCCCGTTGGGCTTATCTAATGGCAGCACTAGTGGTAGCTAGCTTGGAGCTGTCCTTTAAATTTCCTACAGTGTCCTAGAACACAGTCTCTAATCCACCTGCTGCTCAATGGATTGTTGCAAAAGGGAGGTCAGGGATGGATGGATTTTGCAACATGTCTAAATCTCTTGGTTGTAACAATATCTCAAAGCGGTTTGCAAGAAGAAGCAAACAATGACATTACTGAGTAGCAAAAAAAAAAAAAAGTTAAAAGCAACAATTCCAAAAAGATCGGTTCTTTACAAATGTGGAATGGGTTTTATGTGGCTCTTCCAACAGTGCCAGTTCTGTAGACTGATCAGTTGAGTGGGCACCTAGAGGGTAAGGCAATATCACAAGTAAATGGGTCAACAGTTAACCCTTCCAGAGCTCTGGCACCTTGGCAGTTGCCAAGAATGACTTGGTGTGTTTGCGGGCATGAGAGGGCCAGAGGAGAGCATAACAAACATGGGTAGAGCTGATATCTCCCCAGATCGCACCCCGTTCCTTCTAGCAGGGTTATGTTCTGGTGGGCAAGAGACTTGAGATCAGCCTTATCGTCATGTGGGACTCATATGAGTCTATACCTATGTACACACACTGCATGGCGATAGCACAAAGGAGAAATGACTTCTGTGCATGAGTGAAGAACTCTTTCTGGCAAGAATGCCTGTGTGCATTGAGTAAGTGGCCTGCCACCATTTCCCAAGCTCTTTGGCAAGAATGCCATGGAACAAATCCAAAATAGGAGAGTGTGCCACCACTCTAGTGCGCTTTGCGTGTTTGTGCCACCCCTCTGATAGATTGGAATAGTTTGGCATCATAGACAGGGAGTGGACTGAAGCCCTATCTGGCCAACGGCTCCTCAAATCTGCCTTCACATGGCAGTTTATTCCATTTCCCTGACCTATTTCCTAACTATTAATTTCTGCATTAGTTTTGAGCTTTCGCATGATGTGAAAGCCACTTCCAGGAAACTAATGGACTGTAGTACATGCTTAGTGCTCATTTCTGTGTTGTTTCATTCCAGAAAAAAATCCATTTGCAGCCCACTTAACCTGGAAAATGGCAAGAGTTAATATGGCAGAATTTGGGGTAGTATACTGCCGTACAGTTCTTCCCTGTTTTGTTTTTTAATGGGGGAATAGGTCTACAGTTCCCAGACTGTATTAACAGTCAGTCCCCTCTTCATAGGGAATTCTTGAGAATTGTAGCTCTGTGAAAGGAGTTGGGGACCTCCTAACAACTGTCAGTACCAGTAACAAACCACAACTCCCATAATTCTTCAGGAGATAGCCTGACTGTGCAAGCTGCTATTGTGGTGCTTTAAAGGTGAATGTGGCCTAAAATGGTTCTGGTTATCAGAATAGCGATGACTTCCCAGCGCTCTCAGAAGGATTAAGAGTTCTGTTAGCAAATTCATATTTTCCCAATCACTGGTCTCCTGGTCAATGTGGATGGAGCAAAGGAGATCGGGGGGCATCGATGCCATACTCCATGCCTGTGGATTCAGCCTTGCAATTACTTCTCATGCTGGTTTTAACCTTCAGCTGCTTCTAACCTCAGTCTGGACAAGGGACAAAATGGGTTGGGAGGCTGCACTCAAAGAGAAAAAGTACACACCCACACCCCACAGATTGTTTTTTCTTCCCCTTTAGAAATGCACGCTACCACCAATTTGGTGTTTACGTAGCTAAAGGAGGGTTGTCACACCCACCCACCCTCATAGCTGTCAACGTTTCCCTTTTTTAAAGGGAAATTCCTCATTCCAAATAGGATTCCTCGCAAGAAAAGGGAAAAGTTGACAGCTATGCCCACCCTACTTTCTTCAAAACGTGTAGCTCTGCTCTTAGGGACTCTTCTGCAAAATGGGGCTGCTAGTTCAGGTGGCAGCTTTTAGTTTGTACCATAGTAGAAAGAAAAGCCTTGCTACGTTGTTGCCCGTTTTCTACTGAACCGTTCAGCCAAATCTGTTCTTTGGAATATTGGAGAATTTTCTGCCTGTGCGACGGAACCAATATTGTTGAATGTGGGCAACTCTGCTAGGAAAGATGGGCAGCAAATTATTCTATATGTGAAATGGGCAGGGAGAATCCCTTCGTCCTTCACGAGCCTGTATTGAAAGACTACTCTTTAGTTACCTCCTTTAATCAGGATATTAGGAAAGGCTGAGTCCCTTTTGAATGAAGGGAATAACAACTGAACAGGGCTTTTGGAGCAAATTGCGCACAGAATGCGCCTTACCCTTAGAGCGGTTCTTTGCATCAGTTTAATTCAACTTCCTTATTATTTCATTATTATTATACATTTATTAATAGTTGCAGTTTTTCTTCACTTGCTTTCAAATCTGTGACTTTAAAATTCACCAGTTCATCTGTTATGGTGTCTGACTTTCTTGCTCTATAATGTTGACGTGTGCATTGCTTGTTGTATCCAGCGATTGTGTGAGCTGAAGGCAGTTCATGTGGTTGATCTTTCCATTCTGCACTCCTCCTCCTCCTCCTCCAGCATCCTCCCATAGGTTAGGGAGCCCTCCTACACAATGACGGCTGTTTTAATTCTTTAAACTGATTTAATCCTGTAATTATTATTATTATTATTATTATTATTATTATTATTATTTACAAATTGTCCTTTACGTATGTCTCAAGGAAATTAGCCATCATACGGTCATACCTCGGTTGAACAGAATCTGTTCCGGAAGTCCGTTTAACTTCCAAAATGTTCGGCTCCCAAAGCATGGCTTCTGATTGGCTGCAGAAAGCTCCTGCAGCCAATCGGAAGCCGCGGAAGCCCCATTGGACATTTGGCTTCTGAAAGAACATTCGAAAACCGGAACACTCACTTCCAGGTTTTGATCATTCAGGAGCCGAAACGTTGGACTTTCAAGGCGTTCGGGAGCCGAGGTATGACTGTACTCTAAAAATAGTTTTTAAAAACACTACAAAAACAACAACTGGAAACAGGTGTTCATTCTGTACTGTTTTTAAACCTAAGGCAAAGCCCTTTGCATTTAGCTGAAAAAGCTTTTTTTTTTTTTTTTTAAAGCATTCAGTTGTTTCCAGAAAGCACACATGGGGGGCTGTGATGTATCTCAACAATGATGCTGTTCCATAGGCCAGGGGCAGCCAGACTGAAAGCCCTGCTCCAAATTATCCCTAGGACCTTTATGGCAGAGGGCCAGTAAGAAATCATCATCATATGGGGCTGAAGTGGGAGGGCAGAATCATCCCAAAATGGGCAAGGGGATGTTGCACCAGCTAATATTTCCCCATTGCAGCTATTGCCTTCATTCCTTTCGTTGAACTTCTGTGTTAGCCCCAGTTATTGGCTGCCTTTGGGTTTCTGTTAGGGACAGAGGGGCAGGATATAAATGTATTTTGAACTGTGGAACAGCAGTGGGTCCCCTATAGGTTCCTCAGATCACCTGATCTAGCTGGGCTGCCAAGCGATGACACGCCTTCATTGCGACAAACGATCAAATTTGCAATGGGCAAATCTGTCAGTTTCATTTCCTCAGTTTCACATGTTTCCAGTCTTTAGTTCTCCACATCATTTCCAATTTATTTATTTTTTTTTTAAAAAAACAACCACCACAATTATAATGTGAGTTTCCCCTAATATACACATTTGGATGGAATATTGCTAAATATACATTTCTTTATTTTTTGCAAACCAGTCTCACCTGAAAAAAGCAGATAATGGGGTAAAGTGTCCATTAAATGCATATATTAAGTGAAAATGTGTGTTTTTATAGACACTTTGTCCCACTATGTGAATTTTTGTATATGTTTCTTGGCTGGAGAACTGCATTGCAAAATTCGGAGAAGTGTGAATTCGGACGGAAGCCTATGCTTTGGGTCTCCTGTTGTTTCAGAGAATTCAGATTAGGTAGGCTCACCTTTAAATGTGAACCGAATCCAATTATTCCTGCATCCCATAGTCTTTAGTCCCTCCTGCCTCTGTTGCAGCGGGGTGGATTGTATGGACGAAGACACCTGGGTGCAACCCAGCCAGATGGACAGGGTATAAATAATAAAATAATAAATAATTCCATATTGCCTATTCTGAGCCTACACTGGCACCTTACAGTCTATGTGGGTGTTTAGTTCATCTACAGCCATGTGTTTGCTGCAAGGAAAAATAAGCTCTCCAGTATTTTCCTCCGGTAATTGTGATGCTCGTAGGTTGCAATATTTATTAATTTCAGAAGATCTATATACCACTGGATTGTAATAAAACCTCAAAGCTATTTAGAAAATGGTCAGTAAGCCACACACCCCAGTTAAAACAATTACCTGAAACATTCAAAAAATAATAATTAAAATAAATGATAAGCTAAACAGATCTGGGTTAATTTTCCATGGAATGCACACTCGACAAATCCCAGCTAATCCTGGTCTTGAAAGCACATTTTATCTGTGGGTGCCTGTTTATTGCATTCACGTGGTGGGAGGGAATTATACGTACACCTAAAACTGCAGTGTGTGGAGAGGTCCTTTGGAGGCCAGTGAAAAGTTATGGGTTCTGCAGAACAGAGCAACTTTGAAACTTGATATTATTTACCAAAATGACACACCGCTATTAGGCAGCTACCTTTCTGTTCATAGCACTTAATATTTTAGACATCAGGTTCTAAATGCAGCTGACTCGCTTACTGCAACTGTTGAAAACGATAAATCTCGGCTGCCCCCAGATATAACAGTGGGCGGGTAAGCATTTATTTTGTAGAGAGCTCTTGGCTAGAGTTTTTCCCCTGCCTTGCACTGACAGATGCCAATCTGACCTTTTGCAAAGCTCATCTATTTTTCCAAGCCTCCCCCCACCCACCCACTGAGGAATGGGAAGAGTGGATGTGGATAACATTTGAAATCAGTGTATCCTATCCTATCTCTCATTTGCCTGTAACTAAATGGGGCACGTAGGCTGCTGTAGTATAGACAAGCTTTCCATTTACAATTAAACAAAGCCAGGTTTCGGTTTTATGTGTTTCACGTGTTTTCTTTGGAGAAAGTCCCACAGATTTCAGTGGAATTTTAATTTCAGTTAGTTCTCCCTGGAGCACAAGTTAAAGTTTCTGATAGAAGCAGTGATTACAAACCAAATTTCTTTTTTAACTTCTGAGAGTTGCATCATAATTCCCAATATTTGCTCACAATGTTTTTCTCCCTTTTGTCTTTACGCTGTTAAAACTTGACATGCAATCTCCTTGGGGCAGGGACCGCCACCTCGTTTAAATTGTAAAAGCAGCACGAGCACTGCCACAATATTAATAGGCTACACAGTGTGTAAGATTCAGATCCAGCTAATTGTTATATAAAGAATTAAAACATCAAGGAGTATTGTTGAAGAAAGTGAATTCTCCCCTTTGTGACTTGCAGAGAAACCTCCACCTGACATATTTCAGTCTCTGAATTTAAAAGGAAAGATGGTTTGCATCTGTGTGCTAATATTCAAAGATACAGGGCAAACGAGGTGGCGGTCCCTACCCCGTGTGTGCTGATGACAGGACAGCTCTAAATGCATTTGCTTTCTGACTTTGTGGCATTGACACATCTCGACACAATGCCTATATGCTGGAGAAGCGGAATAGGACTGAGGAAGCATGAGTTCTTTGAGCACTGCCATCAAAATTTGCTTGAAATGAAATTTTTTAGCCAGCTGGGAGAAGCAGCTGAGAAATCTTGAGGGAAGCAGTTGTTGTTATGGGGGAGCACACCAGCAGGTTGCAGGCCTAACTGGAAACCAAGTGTACATTATTGCAGCTGTTTAGTGGAGCTGGTATGTGGTGTGTGTTACCTGCCTCTCACCAGCATTTGCTCTTGTGTTTGGGGGAGTCCGCAGCCGGTGAGGAAATGGTGCTGTGGGCAAAGTAAATTGGAGAACCTAGGAAACTAGTATATACCAAATCGGTCTATTTCTCCACTTAGTTTGGTATTGTCTACACAAACGCGGGTGGCGCTGTGGGTTAAACCACAGAGCCTAGGGCTTGCCGATCTGAAGGTTGGCAGTTTGAATCCCCGCGACGGGGTGAGCTCCCGTTGCTCGGTCCCTGCTCCTGCCAACCTAGTAGTTCGAAAGCACGTCAAAGTGCAAGTAGATAAATAGGTACCACTCTGGTGGGAAGGTAAACGGCATTTCCGTGCGCTGCTCTGGTTCTACAGAAGTGGCTTAGTCATGCTGGCCACATGACTTGGAAGTTGTACACTGGCTCCCTCGGCCAATAAAGCGAGATGAGCGCTGCAACCCCAGAGTCGGCCACGACTGGACCTAATGGTCAGGGGTCCCTTTACCCTTTACCTTTTACACGGACTGGCAGAGACTCTCTCCAGGTTTTCAGGCTGGAAGCCTTTTCCAGCCCTTCCTGGAGACGGTGAGGATCAAATCTGGGACTTTTGGTGTGCAAAGTCAATGTTCTTCCCTTGAGCTGTGGAATGGTTAAAGTCTCTGAGCTGTTTTTCAGTTAAGCAAGAAAAGTTGACTAGGCAGTAGGGCTGGGCGATATATCGTCCAAAACCAGTTTTAAGTCCATCTCATGAAATCAGTTTCATAATTTTTGAATTGGCAATATATCATAAATCATGATGTGTGTGTGTATGTATGTGTGCTATGCAAAAATCACAATGCAGGAAAAACAATGAAGCCAGCCAGTGCCTCTACATAGCTCCATTTTTATTTCAGACATTCTGACATATCAGTATATTGTGATGTTTAGCTGGTGATATATCATGATGTTGAAAACCAGATATTGCCCAGCGCTACCTTTCATGAAGATTGTGGGAAAATGGATAGAGAGCCATTTTTTTCTCCCATTATCATAATGCTAGAACTCTGGGTCAGGCATTTATACTACTGGCTAGAAGTTTCAAGAGAGGAGCAAAAGAAGCATTTCTTCACACACAAGTAACTTGCAGGATTTATTCCCAAAAGATGTGGTGACTTTAAAAAGGGCTTAGCCATGATGGACATATCTATCAATGGTCCTTGGTCGTGATGGGTCTATGCAGTGCCGGATTTATGTATAAGCTAAACAAGCTATAGCTTAGAACCCCACTCTCTTGGGGGCCCCAAAAACTTAAAAGGGAAAAAACTGGATGTACATTTCCAAAATACAAGATAAAAAACAAATAAAATAAAACCTGCATACAGCAACAGTGTTTTGTGTTCTGTAGGCTCCTGTTTGTTATGTGCAAATGGCTTTAGATACCTATTAGGCCATAAATTACCATATAGCATATATTCAACACAAAAAACAGCGACAATTTGTTATTGACAAACGACAGCTGGACATATAAAGGGCCCCATTACCTTCAGTAGCTTAGGGCCTCATCAAACCTAAATCCGGCCCTGGGTCTATGAAACTTTTCAGTTCTGAAGCACTATGCCATTGGATAACAGTTACTAGGGGGTGACATTGGGGAAGGCCTGGTGCCTTCTTGCACCGTGTGGGTTTTTTTTGTAGGCACATGGAAAGCCACTCTCTGAACGACTAAGATGCTGGGCTAGAAAGACCTCCATTCTGATCCAGCAGGAATCTTCTTACACTCCGGCTATAGACAAGACCTGCCACTGCGCTTCATTCAAAACAACATTGGGAGATCCAAATAATGTTCATTCTACACTTGCGGAGAATCAATATTTGACTACTCTTTGGAACTCCCCACGCACTGATATTAAGCAGTTGCTTTTTCTGTATTGGTTTCGGTGGCTGCTAAAACCTTTGTTGTTTCCACAATCCTACACAGGCATGTAATATTATGATGCACAATAGTTTTAAGGTGGCTGATTCTATTTACATTTGAAAATGTTATCTTTAACAATGCTTTTGATACTAATTTATGTATATATATTTAAATGAGTATTTTAGACCATCCTTTTTGAACAGCATACAAGTTTTTAAAATTGAGTAAACACTACACAAATTTTGTTAAATGGGTAAAAATAAATAAACGTGATCTGGAGTGGGGCTTCCCAAACTTGGGTCTCCATCCACCTGTTTTTAGACTACAGTTCCCATCATTCCTGATGCTGCTCTTGCTAACTAGGGATGATGGGAGTTGTAGTCCAGAAAACAGATTGGGACCCAAGTCTGGGAAACCCTGGTCTGGAGAATTTCAAAGAAAGAGGAAAGCTCTGATAAGTTTCAGTTTGGGGGCAAAGGATCCTGTTCTGTGCATCCCTTGGCTGTGTCACCTGACATCTTCTTTCCCCTCTCTCCTTCTCTTCTCGTTTCAGGTATACAAATGCTCTCTGTCCAGCCAGACACCAAACCGAAAGGTTGTGCTGGCTGCAACCGTAAGATCAAAGACAGGTATCTCCTAAAGGCCCTGGACAAATACTGGCATGAGGACTGCCTGAAGTGTGCCTGCTGCGACTGCCGTTTGGGGGAGGTAGGCTCTACCTTGTACACCAAAGCCAACCTTATCCTGTGCCGCAGAGACTACCTGAGGTAGGACTTTGCTCTTTCTACACACCTTGTACATACGCCACACTTCCAACTCCTGCTAGGTCCTTTCCCCTTGCACTGTCTGCTGCACCACTGTCGCTACGGATACTTTGCCACCCGGCTGCACCACAACAAGCATGCAAATGGTGCTCAGAGTAGAAGAATGGTGTTGTGGGCTCATTTTCAGACCTTGTGCCCTCATAAGGAAGATGTTTTTCCTAAGTGCTATGCTGAGGGTTGTTTTTTTTTAGGAATGCGTCTTTGACTGTGCCCCCTTTCTACAAATGGTGGTGGTAGGCTGGGATCGTAAGTAGCTTTATTTAAAATGAAAGATCTGCAGAAATCCTGTTTCTATTTTTCTCTGGACAAGCAGCTTACCCACATGATAAAAATAGGCTTCGGTTTCTGGACTGTACCAGTTCTGATGGCTGAAGGATGTATCTGTTTGTGTATTTCCCCCTCAGTGAGTGGGAATCCAGAACGACGGAAACTTAGCATGTCTGGGAGAATCGGAGGCTAGAATATTTCTCTTGGACCAGTTGCAGAACTGTACTCAAGGTTATGCAGCTGTTAATATTCTTTAATACTGTTAATACTTATTAATAACTCTTTATAAAGCTTGGGTTCAAAAATTGCCTTCTCCTCCTAATTCCCTGTAATGAATGGTGGCACAATGTTGACCTTTCATCTTAAGCTGAACCACTTAATTTTTTACCCTGAGAGTATCTGGAGCTTATTTTACAGAGCATCCAACCCTAGTTTCACTTCATCTGCATTTGTTTCCAGTAAGTTCCCAGCAGCAGGTTATATACCATGCAGCAAGTACTATGTACATTTTGGAAGATGTCAAATCACTTGTTCCATCCTCACTCGCTCTCAAGGACCATAATTCCTATTCAAAACAGTTAATTAACTGCCACAAAGGATAGCTCTTTAACTCTCCACTGAACAGTGCACATTTAATTCCTAGCAGTCCCTACTAGGCTACAACTAGGCCTCTCATCTCTCTACGTTGGCGCAGAAGCCTTTTCAGTGTATTGTGGTGAGTTCAGTGGTCTGCTTAGGCTGTACTAGGTAAACTGCTATCTCTACAAATGCAGTTTTTTGGGTTACTGGGATATAGTTGTATTTGTAGACCCTGCAATCATCCTCTGAGACCCTTCTTCATGTGCCCTGTCCACAAGAAGTCCGGAGGGTGGCAACACGAGAACGGGCCTTTTCTGTGGTGGCTCCTCATTTGCAGAATGCTCTCCTTCATTACATATCTTTAGGTGGCAGGCAAAAATATCCATTTTCTCTCAGGCCTTTGGCTAATTAAACGGTCTAGGGTCTTTTAAACTGTGTGTGTTGCGGGTGGGGAGTATTTTGTTCATTGTTATGTCATGTATTTTTGAGTTTTTATACTTTAAACCACCCTTTGATCCTCTGATGAAGGGTAGCATATAAATTAAACCAACAAACAACCTCTTAATTTAATTCTGTAAGCAAGTAACACTTTGGGCTAAGTTAATTGTGTTCGCACATTATATATTTGGGGGGAAACTGTCCCTATGCAGTCTACGCCAGCCCACCCCCCATAAGTGATCTGAATGCATGAGCCAATCACTCATATATGTCAACCTTGGGAATTTTCTGTCTGTCTCAGGCTGAAAACAGATGTGGTGTGGTTGAAGAGGAATCAGAGAACTGATAGCAGCTTGAAAGAGGCTCAGCTGCATGCAGTATATACATTCACGTCACTTTTGGCAAATTGGTGTTACTGGTTTTTTGAAACCCCACAAAAACCTGCAACACCTATTTGTTAGAGGCAACAGGAAGGCAAAAAACTGAGGTCAAAACTAGAGAATTCACTCCCACAAGAAGTAGTGATGACTATCAAACATGCTCTACACCGAAACATATTTTCCTGTCCAGTCTTTGGGTAGGTTTTATGTGCCCCCACCCGCCACCCTGACAAATGTGGTGAAGAAAGTGTTGGCCCCGAACCCAGGCCTACTCCCAAGTGATGAAGCCTGACTGGAGTGGAATAAAGCTCCCAGCTTCACGTGAGAACTGGCACCTTTGGTCCAGCCCCCTTTCCTCGATCTAGCCTTGTCTCTTCCCCATCGTGATCACTTGCTTATACTTAAATGCGCTATTTATGTTAAACTTCAAGTTGATGCACTTAACGTAATTGCAGACAGTCATTTGCCTCATTGCGCCCGTATGTACTTAGCTATGCAGTGAACCTGTAAAAAGAAATCTCCATTTTTATGCTAATCCGGGAGGTAAAGTGTGCTCCCTTTTGTAGGCAAATAAGCTTTCATATTTAGTCACTGACTTGATAGGGATACGTGGAACGAATTGTCTATGCTAATGACTGCATTAGGGTTAGGTTGCAGCTTCGGTCTACCACCTTTAGAGGCTTTTAAAAAATCCTTTCCTGTATTTTAAGCATCTCTGAACAGGGTGTTACACACACCTGTGTACTTCTAATTCGTGGCGCCCTCTAGAGGCATGCAGGTTCTGTACCAAATGCCTTCCTCTTTCCCTTAATCATAACACTCAAGAGAGTTTGCAGAGAAGGAGGTGAAATTTCAGGTACTTGGGTTCTAAGTCGTTCAGGGCTTTAAACCCTTGAATTTGGCCTGGAAATAAACTGGCAATCAGTGCAGCTGTTTTAAAACCCCAGCCAGTGATCCGGCTGCTGTCTCTGGGAAGTTGACAAACAAAGCATGAGGGCATTAATCCTCTCTCAAGCTTGTTCTTCAGCAATGCCATCTTTGAACCTAGAGGTGAGATAAAGCTATTGATGACTTCTAGCTACCAGTAGCCGCATCCTTCATGATTTTTCTCCATTTCCCTTGTAAAGCCACATAGTTTTGGTTGCAGTCACTACGTCTTGTGGTAACAAAACTATAACAACCTAATTCCTCATTTACCTCAGGGGGACTGTACAATCCAACCTCTATTAATATTATGCCAACTAGTCAAATATTGGGATTCTCCTTGTGACTTTCATTGACTTCTCTTCCATACATGAGGATGCAACTAGTAATGTTCCTTGGACCATGTCAGATTCTTTGTTGTTGTTTTTTTTAAAAATAGTGTTCATTAGCATTTCCGGTTCGGGAAATATGAATGAGGTTAGCACTAGTTTGTGGTGCCTTTTGAGGAGAGAGTGAGCCAGTGAGATAATTGCTTTCTGTTGAAGTGGTTTGTTTGTTTTCAAATGGTTAACACTGATGTGTGGGTCACCTTTCATGGAACACTTAGAGACGTCCATCCAAAGTCTGAAACAACATTTTGAATGGAAGTCTAAAATGGCCTCCACCCTCTTTAATTTGAGTGCTTTGTTTTAGGAATGTGGGTTCATCTATCTTTCCGGTGCACTTCTGTGGTGCCCTTTTTAAGTTGGACAGGTAAATGTTGGGTGTTTCTGTTGAGCTTTAACAGTGGGCTTTATTATTGGGATTTTGCCAAGGTGTCTGAAGAACAGTCCATGACAACAAATGTAATTCCTAGAGTTGTGGAACTGAATTACCCTCTCTTCCCCCATTATTGTTTCTCTTCAATTTAGGAATAGTTTTTAAGCTAGTTGATGAGTATCAAAATTTCCAGAATCAAAGCTTAATAAATACAATTTACAAAGTGTAGTTGGATACAGATTAGCCGAAGGTCTCCTATTTAAATTCTCAGTATGATGGACGTATTGATACTTTGTGATATTTTTCTCTCAAGCAGTAATTCTAAATTTTCTGTGTCCAGGGATACTGTTCCTGCTGAAGAACTTCCACATACCCACCACTGAGTGCAATGCAGTGGTTTTGGGAGTGTATTTTAGAGCAGCCTGTCCCAAACTTGGGTCCTCAGGTGTTGTTGGACTGCAACTCCCATCATCCCTAGTCAGCAAGGGGTGGACAAGTGTGGCTTATAGATTCCACAAGTTGGGTGCAAACTTTCCTGTTTTGTATCAACAGTCTTGCATTCCTCCAAGAAATCTTGAAGACCCTAGTATAGTTCAGGTACAGAGACCTTTCCTCTGAGTGCGCTGTTGACCACTGCAAAAGTTCCAGGGTTCTCTGGGAGAGAGGGGTGTAAGCTTTAAGTATGTGGTGTGGAGATGAGAATTGCTAGCCCAGAGTCCATGTTACTTGTTTTTCACAATTCCTTCCCCTAGAAGAGGGGAAGGCTCTACATGGAAACAAAGCATAATCTCTAGGGATGCCTGAGGAATTCAATTTTCTTGTGAATTCCAATGTGAATTGGCCTGATTTGGGCCTTCTGGGCTTATACGTGGATTGGATTGTACTTACTCTTCAGATTTTGCACTTCTCCTAAATTTGCAATACTGTACATTACAACTGTCTTCAGCTAAGAACTTGTAACATGTTGTACAATGCATAATTTAGTATCAAGTATGAGTTAGACGTACATTGAGATAAAAACATAATTATGTGCAGTGCTATTTTTCTAGAAAAGAGGTGCCGTAACTTGCCATGAACACCTTCCTTGTTCTCTTAGAATGGCAATGGCACCCGCTTAAGAGGTGCTGGAACTGAGTTCTGGCAAGTTCCAGCTGAAAGACAGCCCTGATTATGTGTTTACATATGGATTTTTATGTGGATTTAAGACACAAATTAAAAACAGGATGGGATGGGTTTAGGAATAAGTGCTTGCAAAGTGACACAAACTAGAAATAGGCTTATCCCTCCAGCTCTGCTCATGACAGACAGATCCCTTTCTCCCCCTTCAAATTTGGCATATGGCCTATCAAGATCAAATTTGCCATTTAGCCCACCTTTGCATGCAAAAAGTTGCACTTTCAGCCTCCAGCATGTTCGGGTAGGGTGAGACCTTGGAGAGCTGTTGCCAGAGTGTGGTGGTTGCTCCATTAGGGTGAATGGGGCACTGCCCCACCATAGAATCATAGAATCATAGAGTTGGAAGAGACCACAAGGGCCATCGAGTCCAACCCCCTGCCAAGCAGGAAACACCATCAGAGCACTCCTGACATATGGTTGTCAAGCCTCTGCTTAAAGACCTCCAAAGAAGGAGACTCCACCACACTCCTTGGCAGCAAATTCCACTGTCGAACAGCTCTTACTGTCAGGAAGTTCTTCCTAATGTTTAGGTGGAATCTTCTTTCTTGTAGTTTGGATCCATTGCTCCGTGTCCGCTTCTCTGGAGCAGCAGAAAACAACCTTTCTCCCTCCTCTATGTGACATCCTTTTATATATTTGAACATGGCTATCATATCACCCCTTAACCTCCTCTTCTCCAGGCTAAACATGCCCAGCTCCCTTAGCCGTTCCTCATAAGGCATCGGACCAACCTTTTATCTAAGGACCAACCTGAGTCTGCCCTCAGCCAGCCCCCCAACTGCCTCCCTCCTTACTGAACAACAAGTCCAGAGGGTTCTTCCTCTGTCTCCATCTCACCTTTGCAGAACTCGGTAACAGGAAGGAGAAAACCGGAATTATTTGCCCTACAAATCCCATTGGTCACTCGTCTCCACTGTGCTTTGATGGCCAAGTGGTCTACCTGGGTATAGAGCAGTTCTCTATGTCCTAGCTCCACTCCTGTGGCGTCCTGGGCCAGTTCCTTTTGTCCCTACGTGTTAGAGGAGCAGATAAGATTTCCAGGCAGCTGCATGGCAGGGCGCTGTGCAGCTCTGCTGCTGAAGTTAGTATCTGGCCATGTGGTATGAAATAGATGAATGCCTGGCAAGTATAGGTAATTCAGTTGCATTAACTAATGAGCTTCATCAGATGCAATGGAAATAACGAAAGTGCAGCTGCACGGAGCTGGTAGCAATGTAGGTCAATCACCCTTTTCACTTTGGGTTTTTAACTAGGCGTATCCTGCTGAGCAGCCAATGACTACAAAGTGCCGTTTCATTTCCAATTTAATTTTGGCAGCATTTTACCAAAGAGCTGCTATTCTCCCACATGCACACGCACACACACATACACGGCTTAAATTATCTTTGCACTCTGAGACTTTAACTCCAATTTGGAGATGCTGAATGTCTCTCTCTGTGTGTGTGTCTTAGCAAAGATTATGGTGCCTTTCTAAAACGTGTTTCCCCCCCCCCTTAAAAAAAAAACCCCCTTCTGCATAGAAATTGAATTACTGCACTTTATACAACTGTCATGTTAAATATTCCAGCCATGCACAGGGCTCCTGTAAAGAGGATTATCAAGCTTGAATATGGGGGGAGTTTTCCCCCCTGCCCCTTTTGAAAAATACATCTTGAAGCTTAGTGGTCTCTTCCTTCCCCACCCTCTTCTCATGGCCTGTTTAATTAGACTTGTAAATGTACTGCAGGGTTCCTCCAAAAGGAAGCTGCTCTCATGACTGATGCAGCGCTAACCTGAAAGTTTGGTGGAGGAAGAAATGAGCAAGGCCCTGGCAATTTTTTGAGTATTGAAGGCAGAGCAGACCCCAACAACACGCTGTCTCCTAATAGTTGCAATGAAGCACAGTTCGCTGATAGGGAGAAGGAGGCAGTGCATGTGGAGTGTGAGTTGTATGTTTGGCAGCAGCAGTGGCAGCCATCATCTCTTCTCCTCCTGAGCCCTCTCCCCAGCGGTTCCCCTCTGCTGGAAGACAATACAGTGGTACCTCGGGTTACAGACGCTTCAGGTTACAGACTCCGCTAACCCAGAAATAGTACCTCGGGTTAAGAACTTTGCTTCAGGATGAGAACAGAAATCGTGCTCCGGTGGCGGCGCAGCAGCAGCAGCAGCAGCAGCGGGAGGCCCCATTAGCTAAAGTGGGGCTTCAGGTTAAGAATGGTTTCAGGTTAAGAACGGCCCTCCGGAACAAATTAAGTTCTTAACCCGAGGTACCACTGTACTGTGAGCGCCATGTAATCTGCTCCGTGCTCCTGGAACTATCTTGCTGGTGGAGTTGAGGGCCTCATCAAGGCCAGATTTAGGTTTGATGAGGCCCTAAGCTACTGAAGGTAATGGGGCCCTTTATATGTCCAGCTGTCTTTTGTCAATAACAAATTGTTGCAGTTTTTTGTGTTGAATATATGCTATATGGTAATTTATGGACCTAATAGGTATCTCAAGCCATTTGCACATGTTGCCATGCAACCAATCCATGCAGAATGTAGGCACCCTATATATAGAAAGGAGCAAACCAGTGATATTTTAGGTAGCAGGCGAGCAGGTGGGGCCCATTGCTTACATCATAGGAGCCTACACAACACAAATCACATATGTTTTATTTGTTTTTTATCTTATATTTTGGAAATGTACGTCCAGTTTTTCCCCCTTTACATTTTTGGGCCCCCCTCCAAGAGAGTGGGGCCCTAAGCTATAGCTTGTTTAGCTTATACATAAATCCGGCACTGGGTCTCATCACCAAACACCAGTCTAGTTATCTTCTGCAAAGGGCACCACCTTGTCCTTTGCCTCAGGTGCCAAAAGCTCTTGGCCTTGCCGCATCTCTTTGACATGGATGGAAGTTGCACTTCCTTTCAGTGGAGAACCACCTGGGCGTTTGTGGCCTGTGGGTCAAGTCTCTCTGTGCTCCATTCTGTTGTCCTTAATCCACCCCCACATGCACACAGTCGGCTACTTGAGGTAGGTGCTAGGGCTGCATGATATATTGATATAGCATCCCAAACCCGATTTGAAGTCCATAGTGTGATACTGGTTTCATAATTTTTGACCTGGCAGCATATCACAAATCGTGATGTGTGTGTGCTTGTATGCTATGCAAAATTACAATTCATGGGGAAAACCCATGAAGCCAGCCATTGCTCCTCTAGATTCCTGCAGCCCCTGTTTATTCTGCTGGCTCAGCTGTCCCCTGCCTCCTGCAGGGGCAAGCGAATCGCAAGAGCAGGTGCTGGCAAAAGCCACAAAGTGGGAAAAATCATGAAGCCAGCCAGTGCCTCTATATAGCTCCATCCTTATTTCAGACACCATGATATATTGGTATATTCCTGCTTTCTGAAACAGTATCCAGACTGAAGCACAGCCATCGTTTGAAATTTGCACTTCTCTGAAGTTTGCAGGGCAGTTCTCCAGCCAAGTAAAATGTGCAAAAGTGCACATACTAGGGTAAATGTTCATATAAATGTATGTATTAGTGGAAATAACAACAATGCATTGCTGTAGAGAAAACTGTTTTGTAAAAATGTGTGTATTAGCAAAAATGCATACAAAAATATCCACTAAAATGCTGATGAATTTTCACGTTTGTTTTTTAAGTTAGCAAACTGGTGTGGAGAACTGAATATACGATTGGGGAAAAATAATTATCTTTATTTCACCAAGTTTATATACTGCAGTTGACAGATATGCCCATTCCTTGCTGTGATCAATGCAATGTTTTGGGTGGGCTTTGGGAAACTCCCCTCCATCCTGTGTCTGTGCCGAAATTCAGGTTCTTAGAAAATTCAGTACAGGACTGCATGCTACTAGAATCTATGAGAATTATTTACTTGGTACTGTACAATTTTCTTTATTTGGCAATTAATCCATCAATTTTGAGAGTGGGTAATAAAACACATCAAAATCTGGCCTCAGGAATAATTTGACTGGGTGTCAATTTGGGCTATGGGTGAAAGCGTTTTGCTATAGAATACCAAGTGATGTAAGGAGGATTCTTTCTAAGTTCACAAGCACAGTTAAGGCTTGAGTCTACTTATGTGCCCAATTATACACCAAAAATGTATTTGTGCAGCATAATTTTGTAAATATTTGTATGCACATACAAATGTGTATGGGTAGTTTAGGAAACCTGGATTGTATACATAGATGATATTATGCGGATGATGCGTGGGAATTGCTTGCATTTTTTTATGCAAACTGTTTTTTAAAAAAGTATTCTCATCAAAATCAAGGAATGTGATGGGAATTAGAAAAAAAATGTGCAGATAACGCTGACATTGAGGTTTTCAGAATATTCCAACCAAAGATACAGCTATCATAACAGCAAGTCTTATCTTCCATTAATTTTTCTAATCATGTTTAATGTCATCCTAGCCATGATGACTCACTCCCTCTTGTGGCACTGAATTCCATAGTTTAACTATGTGCTGTGTTAAGAAAGACTTCCTTTTCTTCTGCCCGGAAAGTCGTGGCTTTGTTGGAGAGGGAGGAACTTATCACTATCCTCTGTCTCCATGCTGTTCATAATCCTACACACACCTCTCATTTCCTCCTCCTCCTTTTGCTTGCTTTCCTCCCCCTAAACTAAATAGTCCACTATTTACAAAAGTTACAAAAGGTTGTTAACTAAATGTTACAACCTTTTCTCATAGGTACATGGCCCCAAAACAATTTTGCCTGCCCTCTTCTGTACCTTTCCAACACTTTCTCCAGCTTTCCCCAGCATGAATGCAGAGGCTCTCGGATTTGTGTAGTAGAACGATCTTGCAGAGTGTAGAGAGATGCGTGTCAGAAGAGAACAAGGAGCTGGGAGTTCCTCCCTCCCCAGTGATTACCGTTTCTCTGTGGAAATGACCAAACAGTTTCTTTCTCCAGCTTCTGATTCTGTTGCATCCTTATCTGATTTCTAGAGCAGCCAGGGAGTCCCCATTGTGTGTGAGCAGAACTAAAAATGTGTTCGCATGTAGGGCTGGCTCCAGGTTTGAGGGGCTTCGGGCACTGGTGGGCCCCCTTCAGGGCCGTCTTTACCCGGGGATGCGGGGCACCTGGGTGTTGGATTCTGGGGGGCACTCGGCGCTGAAGCAGCCTAAGTGTATTGTATTGAGCTGCTATGCGGCAGAGGGGCCAGCGGCACCTTTGACACGACTGATCTCACGCCGCCTACCTGCGAATGCTGCTGCAGGGAGAGCTCTCTGGAAAGTCTCGCTCACCAAAGCCAGGAGGAGGGGGAGTGACAGGAAAGAGGGAGAGATAGGCAGAAAGAGAACACGCCTATCTAGCCACGGGAGCATGCACAGGCTCCAGAAGAAGAACTCGTATATGCATGCTCTCAAGGGCCCTCCCAGCTGTGTGGTGAGCCAGTGTGGTGTAGTGGTAAAGAGCGGTGGACTCGTAATCTGGTAAACCTGGTTCATGTCTCCGCTCCTCCACATGCAGCTGCTGGGTGACCTTGGGCTAGTCACACTTCTCTGAAGTCTCTCAGCCTCACTCACCTCACAGAGTGTTTGTTGTGGGGGAGGAAGGGAAAGGAGAATGTTAGCCGCTTTGAGACTCCTTTGGGTAGTGATAAAGCGGGATATCAAATCCAAATTCTTCTTCTTCTTCTTCTTCTTCTTCTTCTTCTTCTCCTTCTCCTTCTCCTTCTCCTTCTCCTTCTCCTCCTCCTCCTCCTCCTCCTCCTCTAGAAATAAGGTTGCTCCCAGAATGAAAGGCTGCCTGAGATGGCTCTCCCACGCATGCGCACAATGCCTGCCCGTCTCATCTTTCAGACACATTGAAGGCAATGTGAGGTCTTCACCTCAGGTGGCAGGATCCACAGGGGCAACAGATCCCAACATAGATTTTTATTCCTCCCTTGCTGTAGATCTTCACTCAGCCCTTCTTTCCTGGCGGGGAGGGAGGCACCATTTTGTGATTTGCCTCAGGTGCCAAAATTTCTCAGGCTGGCCCTGAGCAGCATCAAAGTCCCCTGAGGTGCTCAGTGTAGCATTATTCTGGAGCACTGTAGGAAAGTAAAATGGAGGCTCATAGACTGAGTTCTAGGGCCAGGGCAGATGTAAGCACTGGTGGACCTTACTGGAGTCCTAGCAGCTGCCTTCGGATGCAAGTCACCGATCCTATGCCTATGTACAAGAATCTTGTACAGTCGGCAAAGGTCTGAGAGTATCCCCAAAGATACTGTCAGCTTTGAAGGGGGCTGTGTTAATGGGTCCTTCAGAGGCACTTTAAGCATAGAACGAATCTTTGGTTTGAGTGCTGCTTCCTTGTTGACATTATGGGCAGTTTTCCTGACTTCGGTGTCTCATTATTTATGTGAAAATATTGTTAATAATGTGCCAGGGCTGGTATTTGACGACTTCCTGTAAGAACTGTGGGGGTAAAATACTACCTATTTCACACCATTGTGAGTGCGCATGTAAATAAAATTCCCACAATGGTGCTATCTGTGGCATCTGACGTTGTTCTGGCTCTACAATTCTCGTATCATTTTATCAAAATTAGTGCTTGGGATTATGTGTGGGTTTTATTCTCTCATGATTGATGAGATAATCCGTGTAGGGGATAAGCTCATTTTTGATGCATGCCAAAACTGGTAACGAAGGAATGTTTTATATAATAAAATATTGCTGAGCTAGACTGATTCATGTATTCTCATTTGCACAGTTTTCTGAGGGGCATATTCAATTATGTTATTACACTTCGTGTTTAATGCTTAACAGCAAATTTCTTCCAGCTTACGACAAATTAAATAAATTGCTACAAGTGTTCTTGCTGGTGGTCTGTCTCTTCTCTTAAAGCACAGCACAGATTAACTTATTTGTTTATACTGAATTGTTGTATAGGCTTGTTGACTTCCAAAATCAAAGATTCTGCAACCTGGAGGTGGCAGCTCTATAAAGGTAGTGGATAGCTCAAAAATACCTTCTTGCTTTTTTTATAATTATAATTACTTTATAATTTAAAAACCCTGGGGGACTAGGGAAGCATTGGCACCCCTGTCGGTGTAAGGTTGCAAAACGGATTCAGCATGCATACTTGAAGAGACTAATGCGATATCGAGTCCTAATGTTTTTATTTTATTTAAATGGAACTGCTTTTCAGGATCTTGGGTCCTCCCAAAATCTCTTCCCCCCTCAACCCCCCCCATGAATCTCTGAAAAAAGCAAACACACAGTAGGAATAGCATTGTAGGAATAACATTTCCACAGTTAAAATCAACATACAGTTGAAAATTCTTTACATATATAAAAAAACAGAGAATCAAATAGCAATAATGACATAAGCTACAATCTCTTGCAAAACCCCCATGAATCCCCAACATATAACCAAAGCATTCCTCATTCCTCAAATCCAAGCTATCCTGGCTTGCCTTAGCCCAGCCAGATGGGGGGGGGGATTAATAAAAAAAAATTATTACTATTAATTATTATAAAAGCAGATTGAAAAAGATTTTTAAAAGGAATTGTTTGTTTGTTTGTTTGTTTGTTTGTTTATATGCTGCCCACCTCACTGCCCAGAAATCAAGGAGGGAGACACCTTTATCTTGGGCAAGTGAGTTCAATAGACAAAATACGTTGGTTGGTGCCTCCACTCCCCACTTCCTATCCCTAGCCTGGTCATATTCAGTGATATCACAGGGTACCTCTGTGGCTGCTTGAAGGCCCAGGTAGCGTCATATGTGCATAAGCAGTCCTTCAGGTAACTTGGGCTTTAAATGTCATGAAACAATTTAGAAATCTTCCTTAGAACCGCCCCGAATATTCTCAAGTTCACAGCTTCAGTTAGAAACCGATGGGATAGAAAATATGATTGTACATAACATTTGCCCATTTGTAGAATCCTGCTGGTCATTGTTTCCATAGCATTCCCACCACCACCTTTCGCCACATGAGTGATGGCACCATCTCTATGGTGTCTAGAGTGGCAGCTCCTTCAATAATGCCACCATGGTTATGAAAAGCCTCCCTCGCCCCCTGCTGGTATTCAGCCGTGTTTTTCTAAACTTCCTAACAGGTCACCAGCTTACTGTTTTAGGCAGTGCCATATTTACATATAAGCTAAACAAGCTATAGCTTAGGGCCACACTCTCTTGGGAGCCCCAAAAACAAACCTGGATGTACATTTCCAAAATATAAGATAAAAAACAAATAAAATAAAACCTACATACAGTTAGAGCTTAATAATTATTTCACAATTAAAATACTTCTTCTTAATTGTATTTCACTATTAATATACAGTACTACTTCTTAAATGTATTTCAGTTCAACAATTACTTTGATAAAATACATATTTTGTTATGTGCAAATAGCTTTAGATACCTATTAGGTCCATAAATTACCACATAGCATATATTCAACACACACAAAAAACAGTGACAATTTGTTGTTGACAAAGGACAGCTGGACATACAAAGGGCCCCATTACCTTCAGTAGCTTAGGGCCTCATCAAACCTAAATCTGGCCCTGGTTTTAAGCAGTACTTGCTATGATTAGAATTGTACACTTCCTTGCGTGTCTGGCCCTAGATGTGAGGATCTTCTCAGTCATGTGGACCACCCTCATACTTCATGGTGGTCTTATCTTGTTACACCACGAGGGTGCCGGACTTTACTTTAACAGCAAATAGCAGACAAGACAAAAAGTCGAGCCTTCTGAATCAGGTCCATGGCACATTTAGTCCCAACATCTCGTTCTCTAGGTGGTTTTATTTGTATTCTCAAATTTTTTTTTGGAAATTTTTGTTGTTACTTGTTACTTTTTGAAAATTTAATAAATATCAATTTAAAAAAAAAAAAAAAAACCCGATGTCGGCAAGCACCACCCAAGCACAAGAGCACTGTCTCCTCATGTGTTTCCCATCCAATGGTCTTCAGAAGTGTTACTGCCTCTGAACGTTATTCTCTCCAACTCCTATGAACTAGGGTTGCCATATCTTGAGCCACTGCCAGCCCAAGCTGGGGAAAGAAGCATGCAGGCGAGCGGGACCGCCACTGCACCCGCACGCCTCTTTCCCTGACTCGGGCTGGCAGCAGCCACGGCGTGCAGAGCCGCCCAAGTCAAAAACCCCCCCAATAGAAATTTTAAAAGACATAAGACAATTGTTCATGTATCCTACCACAGCAGCAAGAATTATTGTAGTGAGGAAGTGGGAAAACAAAACAATACCGACAATTACAGATTGGCAGATACTCATGTTAGAATATTTACAGCTAGAAAACTGACGGGAAGAGTTAGAGGAGTATTGAACCAGAAAATATTTGGAGAATATTTAAGGATATATAAGATCATATTGTACCAACCACACCATATTAGCAGAACTTGAGTGATACTTGTAAACACAACAAATACTGTCTGTGGAGTAGACGGGAACAATATTAAAGAATATATAACTGTGCAAAAAACCAGATAGTATAAACAGTACAATGAGAATGATTGGAAGACTCATTTTGCCAGACGTCTTTTTTATTTAAGTGTTTATTTAACTATTAATTAGGAAGATTAAGTTTTTTATGCACGTAAATCTGCTTTTTCTTCTTTCTTCTTTGTTTTTTCTTCTTTTCTCTTTTCATAATTGTTTTTCTCTTTAATTTTCTTTTTGTAGTATGAGATTGTAAATTCTTTGTAAATTCTTTGTATATGTGTGTAATTTAAATTAATAAAGATTATTTAAAACAAAACACCCCCCCCCCAAAATCCCCCCCAACCCAGACATCTCCTTTAAAAATGTAAATATCTGCCAGGATCAATATGTTGCCCCACCACCACCAAAGAGGACATGTCCGGGTTTTCTTGGACATATGGCAACCGTATATGAAAGGTTGCTTCTCAGCACCCACCATTTTGTTTTTCCGCACAATGGCCTGAATACTTGCATCGTCCAGGATATTGTGAGGGGGAAATAAACTCACAACTGACAGACAAATGGTCCCTGCTGGAGTTTAGCGCTTCTTGGTGCAGTGAGGGCAGACAGCAGCATGGCTAAGCCTACAGATGCTGTGTGTTGGCGCCAGGCCTGTTAACTTGTATATGGCAAAAAATAAATGTTTGAAATGGGGCTGCTTGAAACCTGCCCTTCTTGCTGCTTATCTCTCAACATGCCGATTCTGAAGCTCTCTCAGCAAAGGTCTATTGATTGTGTTCCTTTGAACGCTGGACATGCTTCTGAATTTTGCCGAAAGTGAGATTCCAGGCAAATTTGGAGTTTCCTGCTAGCAGGAGCCCTCATGCCAGTGCTTACACTAGGGTACAACGCCTGAGGAATTTTGAGAGCGCCAGTATTTTGCTAAGAGTAGTGAAACTTCTCCACACCTCCCCGGAGAAGGGAAGAGTGCTTCATCTTTGCATTGTTTTATAGACTTTTTTTTCCTAAAGCCCAACTGCTCGGAATGAAGAAATAGAAAAAAAATCCGCTGTATGAATTGCTGAAGACCAAAGACAAAACAATGACCGAGGATTGGTGCAGATCTGGTGAGAAGAAAGCGTTGGGCCCAATTTCTGCACACTTCAGTCAAACAGCCCAATAAAGTCACCAGGAGGGCTGGAAAAGTCCTCTGTTGAGTACATGGATAAGTTTTAAAGTTCAGTGAGGGGGGATGGGGACCAGGAAACTTTCTTTAACAAAAAAAATCAAGTGGCTGGAATAATTTTCTTCATTTATTATGAAATCTAGGAAGTGAAAAACTAGGCTGCTCCTATGGTCTGGTAAAAAACCCAATAATTATGTGTGACTATAAAATTAAGCACATAGTTACTTGGTAAGTAAACAATTGGTGATGCAATAGTATTTAAATAGTGGATCAGGCCAGGGAGATTGTACAGCTATTAAAGGTAAGGGGACCCCTGACCATTAGGTCCAGTCGTGACCGACTCTGGGGTTGCAACGCTCATCTCACTTTATTGGCTGAGGGAGCCGGCGTACAGCTTCCGGGTCATGTGGCCAGCATGACTAAGCTGCTTCTGGCGAACCAGAGCAGCGCATGGAAACGCCGTTTACCTTCCCGCCGGAGTGGTACCTATTTATCTACTTGCACTTTGAGGTTCTTTTGAACTGCTAGGTTGGCAGGAGCAGGGACCAAGCAACGGGAGCTCACCCCGTCGTGGGGATTCAAACCGCCAACCTTCAGATCGGCAAGCCCTAGGCTCTGTGGTTTAACCCACAGCGCCACCCGCGTCCCACTGTACAGCTATTAGGACTGTCCATATTCAGCACTGATGCAATTGTAACCATGAGATCCTTGAGTTCAAGATAACCCCGGAATCTCATGTGGACATCTCTCTCATTTTAAGTCTCTCTCTGTCTGTTACAGCGAAAGCCCAGCTGCCTTTGTGCATTTGTGCAACAACCAGCTGTTTGTGGAATGTTAAAGTCGGCCTGTGCAGGATATGCTTGAATGAAAGAAACCCAAGGTTTGCACTTAACAAAGTCGCCGTGCTTGCACAACGATTTTTGCTCATGCATTGTAACATCTCCTCCCCTGTCTGCTCCCCCCCTGGATTTTGCTCTTGGTTTTTCCCCAACCCCCAGAACAGATCTGAGTTCATGGGGGAGAAGGAGGCAAGAATCCCTGCTGCATACGCAGAAGTTGTCGGAGAGGTGAAAGGACTTTGCTGAACGCAACCCATAATTTCTACCTGAGCTTTGAAGCCTGATCTGTAGGAGATCTCTTAGAATGCTGAGAGGGCTATTGATTCAGTGCTGTTAAACCTTCCTAGGCAAGAAAGAAAGGAAAAATGAGATGGTCTTGTTGCTGCCTTGGTGTAGCTTTTCCAGGAGAAGGTGCTGAATGTGAATTAAGGGAAGGAGCTCGAGTCCAAGTACTGGCAATAGAACCATGATAGGAAGGGATTTAACTTTTTAAAGTCTTGTACTACATAGGGTTTACCCAATGTCTTACTACTGTCTTCCCCTCCTCTGTCAACTTTTCAGAAATGAAGACTGCATCATTTCAATTTAGTTGATAGTTTTGATGGATGAGTTGCTCCTGAACATTGGATTTGTGGGAATGTTCAGGGAGGCAGGAGAGGGTATATTGTTTAATGATATCCTTCCTAACTTGCGCTAGCAAGTTCTATGTCTTAGCAGAGTTTAAACATTCCCCTTTAAACGCACAGTGGTTTGCTTGTTGCAGGCTCGTCTGACCCTCTTTATATAAGATTCCTGGTAAGATCCCTTCTTGTCCCTCTTAAAAGGAATATACACGACAATCTTATTAAAGTGAATATAAAAGTAGTTTACTCACATTCATTCAGTTCACAGTTAGACCCCTGAAGGCGGACTTAGGTTACAAAAGTATATATATACATGTGGAACTATCCCATAAGGGAGTTAGTCCCAAGTGACTGCAGACAGGCAGTCACTTCTGCTCACACACAGAGAAAAACAAAATGGAGAAGAGAGGAGCAAAAGAAGATGGTGTTCTCCTCTTCCCCAGATTAGGCCACACACACACTCTAGACACATGCAGAGGATGTTTGTCCCAGATCAGGAGGAAACAGGAAATTTTCTCCTGGCTGGTACAAAGCATCTCCTAGCATGTCCATTCTACGAACGTTGTACTTGACTGCTATGTGTTTCATATCCCACAGGATTATTACTGTTTTTTATATTTTTTAAAAAACCTTAAACTATAGGTTGCAAATGTGCCATTAAGGGGCATTCATTCCCATGCATGAGGCAGGGTAAGTAATGCTTCTTCTGAGGTGATGCCTGCTGTAACACATGTACCTCCCCTCCATGAATATGCATGCAACCAATTAAAAACCTGTACAATTTATTTTTATTATGGTGACAGTCCTCCTTAAGATGTTTTACTTATTTCCCAGGTCCCAGTACTAAAAGCTTACCTACCTTTTTTATTTGGGAAAACCTTTGGCCCAAACTCCTAGTCACTATTGCCCACTGCAATGGACTCTTAAATATGTTTGACTGCAATATTCTTCCCAGTTTTCCCCCTCTCTTCATTTCCTCTCCTCCTCCTCTTCTACTTTGGAAGCCTCTTGAGGCAGAGACTTGATCCCCACCCATTCTTTTGTAACTAGCACTGTCTCAATAGCTAAGCCGTGCACACGAAAACAAGAGGCCTCTCTTTACGAATTCTAAACTAAATAACAGGGCATTGCAAAATTCTGTAATTCTGGATCTACTAGTTGTGTGTGTGCGTGCGTGTGCGCCAACGAACCCATTTCCTCGAAATGTATGCTCTTCCTTCTGCATGGAAAACTGTGTCCGAACCCCTCCAGTTTCAAAAGACATTTGTGATATGGCAAGGAAGACGTGACTGTCGTCCCAAGCAAAAAGGCGTAAAAATGCATAGTGTCCTCCCCGAAAAAAAATTCCTGACCCAAGTATTGAGTGTTTCTGTGCTCTGTTTCTATTTTGGACTTGCTGTTATGGAATGCCTGGAGAAATGCTGTAATTAAGTGAGGTCTCCAATCCCAGGATTTTGTTGCCTGTCATATATGAAATACTTAAAAGTGGTTTTTTAGCTCCAAGTGACTGAGCAAAAGAAGCCAGGCTTAAAGAAAATTAAGCTTTGGTATGCAACCTGACAATCACGTAATACTTGGGTATTGCTGCTCTCCGTTTCCCTAAATTGCAAATCAGCTGGTGGGATAGGAGTGGAGTTTTTCCACCCCACCACCAAGTTGTGAGAGAGCCTTAAAAATCAGTGAATGTGTTGCTTTCAAGACAGGCATATTATATGGGGTGGGACGATGACCCCGGTGTGCTGTATGGGCAAAATCCCAAGCTCACTTTGTTTGTGTTTTTTTTTGTTTTTTTTAAATAATATTTATTAGAGTTTCAAAGAAGTTACAAAAAAGAGAAGAAGAAAAGGAAAAAGAAAAGAGAAAAAAAAGAGAGCAGAAAATACAAGAAAATATAAACAATTAAAAACATTTCCATATTTCCATGTCTTATCTTTCATTTACTTGTTTCCCTGACCACCTCACACCTCCCTTTTTTGTATTCTAGTTCAGTTAAATATTTCAGCAAATCCTTTCCACTTGGATTTTATCCTAATAAATTATCTTAGTGTACTATAATTTTACATTCTCGTTTCACCACTTAAAAAATCAATTTTTACCTAATCTTTTATATCATTTCTGCTAAAACCACATTGCTTCATTCCAACATCCTTCTAGCATTCCTGGATCTTGCAATGTTTCTGTAAATAAATTTTAAATTTTTTCCAATCTTCTTCCACCAACTCTTCACCTTGGTCTCGGATTCTGCCAGTCATCTCCGCCAGTTCCATATAGTCCATTACTTTCATCTGCCATTCTTCCCGAGTGAGTAAATCTTGTGTCTTCCAGTATTTTGTGATGAGTATTCTTGCTGCTGTTGTTGCATACATAAAAAAAATTCTATCCTTCTTTGGCACCAATTGGCCGACCATGCCCAGGAGAAAGGCCTCTGGTTTCTTCTGGAAGGTATATTTCAGTACCTTTTTCATTTCATTATAGATCATCTCCCAGAAAGCCTTAATCCTTGGGCACGTCCACCAAAGGTGAAAGAATGTACCTTCAGTCTCTTTACATTTCCAACATTTATTATCGGGCAGATGATAGATTTTTGCAAGCTTGACTGGTGTTATGTACCACCTATATATCATTTTCATTATATTCTCTCTTAAGGCATTACATGCCGTAAACTTAATACCTGTGGTCCACAACTGTTCCCAGTCAGCCATCATGATGTTATGTCCAACATCTTGAGCCCATTTAATCATAACTGATTTCACCGTTTCATCCTGAGTATTCCATTTCAACAGCAAGTTATACATTCTCGACAGATTCTTAGTTTTTGGATCTAACAATTCTGTTTCCAATTTTGATTTCTCCACCTGAAATTCCAAGCTCACTTTGTGACCTCTCTAGTTAAAAGTGATGCAGGAAAGTTTTCTGCCTAAGACCCTGGAGAGTCTCACTGTCATTGTAGAAATTTCTGGGCTAGGTGGGCGAACAGCTTGACTTGGCATAAGGTACCTTTCTGTGTTGCATTTGAGAGGGAAGGACCATGGCTTCGGGCTTAACCACACTTACCATTCCTCCATGCTTTCCAGGCACGGCTTGCACTTTAACATTTCTTACCCAAGCATCCTTTGTTTTTGCTCTAGGGCTTTCCCTGTGAAAATCTACTCTTTAAAGCTGAATCAGAGCAAACAGGAATCTGCAAAAACCCCAAATAGCCATTTGCTTCAATTCAGCTTTAAAGAGTGGGTTTTTTGTGGGGAAAGCTCTGGAGCAAAAACCAAGTGACATGGAACTTTAAAGTTTAGACCTCTGCCTGGAAAGAGCAGGGGAAAAGGCAAGTGTGGATAAGCCTTTAGTGGCAGAACACATGACTTGCATGCGAAACATCTCAGGTTCAAGCCCTGGTAGTGCTGGGAAATATTCCCTCTCCGAAACCTTGGAGAGTTATTGGCAGACCAGTGGTAGGAAATCTCAGGTGGAGGGCTGAACGCCACCCTCCAGACCTCATGAGTGTTTTTCCCCCGGTTGAAATATATCCTTGAAATTCCTCTTACTTGTTGGGTGGGGAGGGGTGTATGTATGCATGTGTGTGAAACCACACTGGCTGTTGTGTGGCTGGAATGTAGCATACAGGTAAAGGTAAAGGACCCCTGGACACTTAAGTCCAGGCGACTATGGAGTTGTGGTGCTCATTTCGCTTTCAAGCTGAGGGAACCGACGTTTGTCCACAGACAGCTTTCCGGGTCATGTGGCCAGCATGACTAAACCATTACTGGTGCATGGAACCGTGACGGGTGCCAGAATGCACAGAAATGCCATTTTAGCTTCCCGCCACAGCGGCACCTATTTATCTACTTGCACTGGTGTGCTTTTGAACTGCTAGGTTGGCAGAAGCTGGTACAGAGCAACGGGAGCTCACCCCGTCACATGGATTTGAAACGGCGATCTGCTGATCGGCAAGTCCATGTGGTTTGGACCAGAGTGCCACCCATGTCCTTTTGTAGCATGCAATGAAAAGCTAAGCGTTGCAATTCCCCCCTCCCCCACCAGCTTTGCCCTTGGCCCCGTCCACCATTGTCCTGTGGCCTGTGGAAGACTACTCATGAGGAAACACAGCTCTCAGGCCAAAAATGGCTCCTGAACCGCATTTGTAGATAGTCCTGAGCTAGGTGGACTTGAAGCTTTTGAGAACATAAGAAGCATCTGCTTTGTTAGACCAGTAGAAGGTCTCATCCAACATCTTGTTCTCACAATGGCCAAACAGATTGATGCCATGGGGAAACCCGCAAGCAGGCCCTCAAGAGCACTCTCTTCTCTTACTTGATGTAAGACACCTTTCTAGACTTCTAAGCAGTTTTGGGACTGAATCTGTCAAGGAAATTGGGCACTGCAGAAGACCTAGCTGACTTTGCAGGGGGAAAGTGCATTCTGCTCTTTAGGTCACCAGTGAGCTTTCCTTGCGCTGCTGAGATTGCACATTTTGAAAATGTAGCAAAAACCGGGGGCTGGATTGGGGCAAGTAGGAGTTGCCAAACAAGTGAAAAGTCCCGGCCAGTGTGTGTGTGTGCGCGCGCCTGTATGTGTGTGCCCAAATATCCCTGCCTGTATAATAAAAATGAAGCAATCTTGTCTCCTTTATTACAGGAACAGCTTTCACGTTTTGTAAATGGGGATATTGTTTCACTTAAAGGGCATCAGATGGAATTTGTGCCTTAAAGCAAGTTATACCATATTATAAAATCTTGGTAGTAATCTTTTATGGCTTAAGCAGCAAGGTAAATCATCGGTTGCCGAGGAGGCCGACTGAACTGGAGAGGCATTGAACATCACAGAAGTGCTTAGTGAATTGAATTCTTGGCTTTGGTATTGGGTGGGGGCAGAGAGGAAAACTCCTTGCTTTGACAGATTAGCCACCTTAGTCAGTAGAAGTGTGTGTGGCTGGGTGGTGGGTGGGTAGTTCTGTACTAAAATATGCCTGGCAATTTTTCAGAACTTTTCTTCCCCCATAGCAGAGGCTTCCATTTTTCCACCTCTTTTGCATGATGCTTGGGAACTTGGGTGGGTGCATCTGAGCTTACCTTATCCTTGAGAGGTGGCCAAGAGCAATGCATGTGTTCACCCTTCTATGAAATATTTCTCCACTGCTCTGCTGCCTGCCTGTGGTTCCTGATGTGAAAAAGCTCTGTGGGAGGCTGGCTACTGAGGGCAGGAGAATGGTAGCCTCATTTATTTCATTTGATCATAGAATTGTGAAGTTGGAAGGTACCACGAGGGTCATCTAGTCCAACCCCCTGCAATACAGGAATCTTTTTATCCAACGTGGGGCTCGAACCGACAATCCTATGATTAAGAGTCTTATGCTCTAGAGCGCTAAAATCGAGATGTGGAAATATGGAAATAACGGCGAGAGGCAGGATTGAGATTTGGAGATACAGTGGTACCTCGGGTTAACTACTTAATTCGTTCCGGAGGTCCGTACATAACCTGAAACTGTTCTTAACCTGAAGCACCACTTTAGCTAATGGGGCCTCCTGCTGCTGCCGCACCATCGGAGCACAATTTCTGTTCTCATCCTGAAGCAAAGTTCTTAACCTGAAGCACTATTTCTGGGTTAGCGGAGTATGTAACCTGAAACATATGTAACCTGAAGCATTTGTAACCTGAGGTACCACTGTATGCTTCAAGGTCCAGACTATGGGAAGTCCCCAAATTTAATAATTATAACTTGTAAGATAATTTGATCTTCTAAATTTTTTATTGGATTATGATTTGATATGTTAATTGGATGTTTTTTATTGGAAAATTAATAAAAATGATTTAACAAAAAAAGAGTCTTATGCTCTGCTGACTGAACTATCCCACAGGAAACTCCTCGTTTTTCCTTTTTAAAAAAAATTCTGCACAGATTTGTTGAAATGTAAAAAAAAGGAACACATTCGCTTAAATGTTGTTTGAGGCATGCTGGGTACAGTGGCTGAGTAAGCCGCTTGGGCACCTGGGAGGGTGCCCAGGGGCGGGGCGAGCTGCCCATAGGGACAGGGTGCACTGTGGGGCCTCTGGAGTCTGCCTGCCTCCTCCCAATCAGCCGCCCCACAGCTGGGGGGGAGGCAGCGGGTGGACTGTTTGGGCAGCGTGGAGAGATGCGTGGCTCAGGCGCGCTGCATTTTGTCACCCCCAGAATTTTGTCACCCCCCCCTCAGTGGTAACACCCAGGTCAGCCTGCACCCACCGCACCCCCCTTTCTCCACCCCTGGCTGGGTAGCACTGATAGGGTAGACCAGCTGAGGATGTCACATGTTTTTCCAGAGGCACAGTCATCTAGGGTGGTTGTGGAATACAGATCGCTGGGGATTTGCAAAATGCAAGAAAAGACACTCAGAAATGCTCCTTGGCAATGCCAAAATTAAGGTGAAAGGCGAAAGAAACTCTGCATCCCACCCATGAGAATTTCATTATTTCACTGCTGCTGACAAGGGATTGGAAAGGTACAGGAGAAATTCCATTTTTAACAGATGCTGTGGGTTAAACCACAGAGCCTAGGACTTGCCAATCAATCAGAAGGTCGGTGGTTCAAATCCCCACAATGGGGTGAGCTCCCGTTGCTCGGTCCCTGCTCCTGCCAACCTAGCAGTTCGAAAGCATGTCAAAGTCCAAGTAGATAAATAGGTACTGCTCCGGTGGAAAGGTAAACGGCGTTTCTGTGCGCTGCGCTGATTCACCAGAAGCAGCTTAGTCATGCTGGCCACATGACCCGGAAGCTGTACGCCGGCTCCCTCAGCCAATAAAGCAAGATGAGCACCGCAACCCCAGAGTCAGCCACGACTGGACCTAATGGTCAGGGGTCCCTTTACCTTTACCTTTATGCCGAACCTTCCCATCCCCATTCTCTTAGCCAGCTGCAATCTCACTGGCTCACCAGCACCTACTGATCTTCATCGCTGAAACCCACTCTGAGAAGAAGGTGCGCAATAATAAAATGAACCTTCCTTGTGGCCCAAATGTGGCCCTCTGCAGTCTCTAGCTGCACATGCCCAGAGGCATGTGTGATGAGGCTAAGTGAGGCTTGCAATGGAGCCTGGGATGCAAATGTTCTTGCAAAACAGGACTGGCATGATTTTTCTAGGATCCAAAATCCTAGATGTGCTGAAGGAGCAAAGAAAAGCACTAAAGCAAGAACAGACAACAGATCCTATGGTCAGCAACGTACACAAGAGCTGGAAAGTGTGTGCTCCTTCAGCATCTTAAGACTTGGGATTGGCTAGTTTTCTGTATATCCAGTTAAATATCTTTTACCACCAGGAGCTGCAGTTTTACACCCCTCAGTGGGTTTTGCTTTACGCTTACAGTGTGCATGAATGAGCATGGGTGGGGCTTGTACCCAGGAAGGGGTGAGCTTCAAGGATCTGGTGACAGATGTAGGTAGAAAATGAAGGAATATCTGAGGAAAGCAGATAGGTGTGTGGATCCTGGTTTGATAGCTAAAGTATTGACCCTAAAGGCAGAAAATGGGCAACTCCTTCACTCTCTAGCCTGTTCTGTTCTGTTCTAACAACTTAATCAGAGCTGACCTATTTGTAAAATTCACTAGAGTTTAGCGGATTTCTTGTGCATTTGCAGGAGGCAAAGAAAGTTGAATCAACTACACTCTGCTTTTGAGCCTGGGTACATCTTGCTATCTTAGCACATGAAAACATTTGGAGGCAATAAAGACATGGAATTCTCTTCCTTCCCCCCAATGTCATCTTTAAAAGGTCCTTTATAAAATTCTAAGGGTTACACACACGCACAAACCTCAGGTGCACACTGCTGGTTGGCTTAATTCTTTGGCGAGCTGTGTCTTAACCACCTGAATTCCTGTAGAGCAAAGTCAGATTCCTTCCTATTAAGAGTGATGCCATTCCCAAGGTAGCAATTTGTGACCAATTAGACTGGCTAATGCGAGGCGCAAGCAATACAAGCACTGGGTATCTTTGTAGATGGTTAAAAAGACTTGTGCTATCAAGTCTCTGCCTCCTACCTCGTTTTCCTTTTAGGCTCGATGGATTGAGAATCTTTTGTTCAAAATCTTTCCTTTCTTAGGTGAAGGGATTTGTCTAGATGGAAGAATTTCAGTCTTGCGGGGGAGACTACTTGATCTGCAGTGCTTGAAATCTCAGAGAGTTTCCCCTAAACCCTCTCTAGCAGACCCCTAAACCCAAGCCAATGCCTTCTAGATGTTGTAGGATTTCAACTCCTATTATTGCCAGTCAGCTTGGCTAATAGTCAGGGGTGATGTGTTGAGGGGCTGTAGTCCAGCAACATTTGGAAGGTGCTTGGTTCAGAAAGCTGGTACGCAGAGCTGCTACTGCTTCTGGCAAGGCTCTGACTTTTCCTTAAATCGACTTCTAAACTGGAAAGTTATCCAGTGTTTTTGCCCTTGCCTTACCTCGTCTTGATGATGAAAAATGCCACGTCTCACCATACTTTGCATTTAAGAGTAAGTCCAGCACACTATGGCTGGGTGATATCTGGTTTTCAACATCGTGGTATATCACCAGCTAAACATCATGATATACTGATATATCACAATGTCTAAAATAAAGATGCAGCTATGGGCTGGCCTCATGGTCCCCCCCCCCCCACATTGTGATTTTTGCATAGCGCACACACACACACAGAGAGAGATTCGCAATATATAGCCAGGTCAAAAATGATGAAATTGACATTACAATGTGGACTTCAAACCAGTTTTGGACGATATATATTGATATATTGCCCAGTCCTAGTGAACACTCGACAAGAAAAAGCAGGAGTTGGAAATCTGTAGGTTTGCAAAACTACTAAATACATACATAAGCAAAAGTATCCCTAATTCAGGATGAGAGAAGGAGAACTTCATGAGGACCATGTGTGCTCAGTAGGCACCAAAATGTGATTGGCTGTTTCAGGGTAGGGGAATGTAAAACCAGGATGGAGGGAGAATGGAACGGTATGCCCTGGAAAGGGCATGGCTGGCTGGCTGGCTGGAACTGTGAGCTGGAGCATTCTTGCCACATCTTGCTTGCTTAGTCTGAACAATGTTGATAGATTGACCCCTTAAGACCGAGGTTTAGGGGCAAGCTGCCCTGTGCAGTTCCTCTTTAATGCTTCCACTGCAGCCATGCTGTCCACCCTTTTAGATAAAGGGGAGATGGAAGGAACAGGAAGACACTCAAAAGTACAGAGAAGAGGAAGTGATGTAAAAGATTCAGGTCTGCATCAAGAATACAAGAAAATTGTAGAAGAAGTTTGTGAAAAGAAGGGTCACTTGCCATGTGAGGCCAGGAATGAAAAATAGAACAATGATTTAGGGATTTAGGGTAGTGCAGGCATGCCACCTCTTTATCAATTAATGCCTTGAGATGGATTGCAATGGACTGTATGTAAATGCTTGTATAATGATAATAAATACTCTCCCCCACTGCCCCCTTTATTTTAGAGTGACATTCCCTTTGTGAGTATATTAGAAGGTTTGATGACTTGAATGGTAGATGATCCCAAGGCCATGACCAGTAACACGTCCAGGTGAGAAGTTGATTGTGCCACAATCCATTTGAGCGTCGAAAGTGCCTTGTACGTGCTACTACAATCTATTCCCTTTCATCATTTTTGATGTTGTTTGCTAGTCCCCAAGGACTAATAAAAACCCACATTTGCATAATGTGTTCTTCATGATCAATGCAGCCGTAGAATTTGAAGTGGCATGTTGGTTTGGTATTAAAATTCTGTACAAGTGTGCACAGCCCTGTTGAAAAGTTTGCAGGGGTGATTTTTGGATTTCTTGCCCGTGTGAATGTTGGCCATGGAAGCACTAGGCCAATGTGATTCCTCTTTCAAGGAAGCTACAAGAATGGATTCGGGTGGCGCTGTGGTCTAAACCACTAAGCCTCTAGGGCTTGCCGATCAGAAGTTCAGTGGTTCGAATCCCCGCAACGTGGTGAGCTCCTTGGTCCCAGCTCCTGCCACCCAGCAGTTTGAAAGCATGCCAAAAAGTGCAAGTAGATAAATAGGTACTGCTCCGGCAGGAAGGTAAACGGCATTTCCATGCGCTGCTCTGGTTTCGGTGTTCTGTTGTGCCAGAAGCGGCTTAGTCATGCTGGCCACATGACCCAGAAAAACTGTCTGTGAACAAACACCGGCTCCCTCAGCCTGTAAAACTAGATGTAAAACTGTGACTGGACTCAACTGTAGGGTCCTTTACCTTTACCTTTACCTTTTACAAGAATGGCAGAGAAAAGGGAGCTGGAAAAGAACATCTTGCTCTCTTGGCAAAAGGTGTTAATAGAAATTTTTGTACTACTAGCATTTAGTACTTCCACCAGCCCCAGTAAGCATGGCCAATAGGCAGGAATGATAGGGGTGGTAGACTTTAGACATCTCAGGGGCATTAGCTACTAGTTCTATAAGAGTATAAAAGAGTATAGCAAGAGTTTTGTTGGGTTGGGTGGTTCCACCTAATCAGGCATCCTGGTTTGCATAATGGTAGACCTGACATCTTTGTTCCTCGCTGATGGGCTTCCTTGGGACAATAGCCCTCTCATGCTATTGTTCCCCAGCATCTAGAAATCATAGACTGAGTCGGAAGGGACCTTGGAGGTCATTAGCCCCAACCCTTTGGTCGGTGCAAGATCTCCAATGCAGGATGCAGCTAAGCCACCCAGAGAGATAACTGAGCCCCACAACTTTCCAGGGCAGAGTGTTTGACTGTACTTACCATGAGAAAGTTTCTCTTAGCGTTCTGTCAAGATCTGCTTCCTTGCAATTTCCACCCACCGGTTCTAGTCCTTCCCTCTGGAGCAGCGGAGAACAAGTCTGCTCCATCTTCTCTTTGAAGGCTGCTCTCATCATGTCTCCCATTAATCTTCTCTTCCCCAGGCTAAACATATCCAGCTCTTTCAACCATCCCTCCTAGGACTTGGCATTCATAGGCATACAGTGCCTCTGAAGACAGAAGAGCCATGTATCCATCATAATTAATAGCTATTGATAGAGCTATCTGCCATGAATCTGCCTAATTGGCTTTTTATATTTGACTATGTTCTTGCAATGAAGGTGGCTGCGTGGTTTTGAACTCAAGCAAAACATACAGTATTTGGAAAGGGCTCGGAAGATGGAACTCATCTCATGGTTTACTGCTATTAGTAGTATTTCATTTAATTTTTATAAGGTGTCCAGCCTGCCCATCATCATATGGCAGGCCACCATAGAACAAAACAGTAAAAAGAAAGAAAAAAAAGATTCACATACGGTTAAAAGAGAAAAATAAAAATGGGCAGTAGCCAACTAACTGGTTCTGTTGGTGTGAGGATTTCTGCTTGCACAATAGGTTTTTCTCCCTTTTCTTCCCTCTAAATTTGTTCTGGGTCCCTCCCTCCCCAACCCTCTGGAGCAGATTTGAGGAGAAAAGAAGGTGAGTCAGGTAAGTTCCATCACACAAGCAGAAATCCTTGCCTTGATGGAACAAGTTGGATGTCACCCTATATAGCTGGAAAATAAACAGCAGCAAGAATACTTATTGGAAAGTATTGGAAGACACAAGATTTACCCACTCTGGAAGAATGGCAGATGAAGGTGATGGACTACATGGAACTGGCGGAAATGACTGGCAGAATCCGAGACCAGGGAGAAGAGTCGGTGGAAGAAGATTGGAAGAAATTTAAAGACTATTTACAGAAATACTGCAAAATTAATGAATGTTAGAATGATGTCAGAATGAAGTTAAGTGGTTTTAGTAGCAATGTTATAAAGGTGTATGTAAAAATGGATTGTTAACAGTTGAGAATCTAAAGCTATAATATATTAAGTTAAAGGATTAAGATAAAAATAAAGAGGGAAAGGAATTGCTGAATTAATCAATTGAACTGGAATACAAAAAGGGAGGCGAGAGGAGGTCAGGGAAACAACTAAATGAAATGTAAGGTATGGAAAGATTGATTTGTTTTTTAAGTTTCTTTTATTTTTTATGTATTTTGTATTTTCTCTTTTTTATTTTTATTTTTTTATATATATGTAACCTTTTTTTGGGAAACCTTAATAAATATCATATATATATATATATATATATATATATATATATATATATAGCTGGAAAATAAGGGAAGCCACAGCATGGGTCCACACTAGGGCTGGGCAAAACTGGTTTTCAACAGCGTGATATATCACCAGCTAAACATTGTGATATATAACAATGCCTGAAATAAGGATGGAGCTATGTAGAGGCATTGGCTGGCTTCACGGTTTTCCCCTACATTGCAATTTTTGCATAGAACCACCCACTCACATCATGATTCATGATATAATGCCGGGTCAGAAACTATGAAACTGATATCACGAAATGGACTGCAAACTGGTTTGGGACGTTGTATCACCCAGTCCTATTCCACTCTTTGCAGCAGCAACAGTAGTGCAAAGAACTTGCAAACACCAGCACATAAAGCACCAGTACTGTATTTCACCACACAATAGTCACATTTTTAAACCCGATTTTTGTTTTCAAAAAAGGGGGGGGGGTGCGACTATTGTGCAGTGAAAAACCTGAGGCGCGACCAATATGTGAGGAAACAATTTTTATAAATGAACATACTTATGTTAATGTTGATGCTTTTGAACTATGGTGCTGGAGGAGACTCTTGAGAGTCCCATGGACTGCAAGAAGATCAAACGCATCCATTCTTAAGGAAATTAGCCCTGAGTGCTCACTGGAAGGACAGATCCTGAAGCTGAGGCTCCAATACTTTGGCCACCTCATGAGAAGAGAAGACTCCCTGGAAAAGACCCTGATGTTGGGAAAGATGGAGGGCACAAGGAGAAGAGGATGACAGAGGACGAGATGGTTGGACAGTGGTCTCGAAGCTACCAGCATGAGTTTGACCAAACTGCGGGAGGCAGTGGAAGACAGGAGTGCCTGGCGTGCTCTGGTCCATGGGGCCACGAAGAGTCGGACACGACTAAACGACTAAACAACAACAATGTTAATGTTGCTTCTTATTTGTTACTGACTGTTTTCGGTGCAATCCAAGTCTCTCGTGCCTCTCTCATGGCAGTTTCATCCACCAGCCCACTCCCTTTGCACCTTTGGCTGGTACTGAGAACGCGCGCTGAGAATGCCCTGTGACTATTATACAATGAATGCTTTGAGACCAATTTTAGCCCCCATCTCCCCCAAAGGGTGCAACTATTATGTGGTAAAATACAGTATGTTGAACTGGACCGTTGGTTCATCTAGTTCAATATTGTCAACACTGACTGGCAGCTGCTCTCCGGGCCTTCAGCTGGGTCTACATTCCCAGCCCTGCCTGCAGATGCCAAGGGTTGAATATGGAACCTTTGCATGCAAAACTACAGTCAAGGTGCCTTCTCTTTGAATCACTACACTTTTTAAACAAGAACTGCAGAAGCCTATTTCTAGGAATTACTTGGTATGTTTATCAGTGAGAAGAAGATATAAAGGATTTATTTGTGTCCTCCTGCTCTCTTCTTGCCCCCTGCTTCCCCCCCAACATTTTTAACATACCCTAATCCACCTTTCTTGGGTTTTCTTCCGCCTCACATAATAGTCTATCAGGCTCTTGTTTTGTGAAAAATGTGACAGTGTGTTGTTGGCAGTTTACAAAGCTGCAGCCTTCGGCAATTGTTAATGAGGCAAGGTTCCCCCCCCCCCCGCCCCGTCCAGGACGCAATGAGATTTTTTAGACAGATGAATGCTAGGCGAAGCCTGTCTACCAAAGGCAATGTTTACTGCATGTAATACATATCATTGTTTGTGTCTCCTGTAGTGAAAAATACTTGTGTCGTGCTGTTAAAATGTACTCCTGACAGAACAGTTCTTGCTGTGCTAGGGTCTACTGCTTTAAAAAAAGGGGGGGAAATGATATACTGTCAGAAAATACAATTTAAGAAAATTTAACACCAAGGGTAGTCAACCATGTAGGCTACTATTAAGGGGCCAAAAACTCAAGGCCGTAGTTTTTATTGAAAAGGATAGTGTGTGTACATTTGCTGCTAGCTAGTGGGAGGGAGGCTTTTTTTAAAAAAAAAATACATAGAGAGAGAAAGAGAAAGGTTCTGAGGGACTCGCAACTTTCACCTGTAAGAAATGAGGGGGAAACAGGAATTCAGCCAGGATTTATTGCAGAAATCTTTCATGGAAATGTGCAGGATTTCTTTTTAAAATGGCTGTGGTTCAGAGGTTTTGGATCGTTTGCTTTCATAAATTGGTATTACTGAATGCCAGGCGTGTGGGCCATGTATAGCTTCGATTCGGATGGGGAGGTGGAATTGGGAACAAAACCGCAGAGTCTGCTCTTGTAACATTCCAGGTCCCGTGTTTCTGTTGTGCCATTGGAAACTTCTGCATTCACACGCCAGTTTGTTCCATTTCCCTATCAACGTCCGCATTGTGTTTGAGCTTTCACGCAAATTAAATGCCAGTTCTGGAATGCTAGTGGAAGTTCGGCTCTCCTTTCAGTGTTAATTGCATGCAGGGGGGTGTCCATTTTTTGAAGCTTATTGCGACAGTGCGACATGCCGGCATATTGGTCGTAGTATCATAGAACCGTAATAATAATAATAATAATTAATACTAAAATTTTATTTATATCCCACCCTCCCCAGCCGAAGCCGTGCTCAGAGCGGCTAACAACAATAAAAGTAACACAGCATTCTAAAATCAATTCATTTAAAAATCAGTTCAGTAGTGTTGGAAGGGACCTCGAGAGTAATCTAGTCCAACCCCATGTAATGCAGGAAGCACAACTAAAGAATCCCTGGCAGATGGCTACAGAATAACAGAAAATATATTGGTCCTATGGGACCAGAAATGCACAACAAATGGAACTACAGCTTTTGGTGAGAACCAACCAGAAAAGAATCACTGGCAGGGGAAGGAGAGGGAGAACTCTTGATTCTTGAACTTAGGCTGGGCTGCAATGGAAAATGCCTGCAGCAGATCCTAGCAGTTGTGGTGGAAATGGGGTGCGGGTTGTGTGGTCCGCCGCAGGTGTCATCACTGAGGGAGGGGTGACAAAATGACAAAAATACAGTGGTACATCTGGTTGCGAATGGGATCCGTTCTGGAGGCCCGTTGGCAACCTGAAAGGAACACAATCCGCGTCTGCGCGTGCGCGCGTTGCAATTCGCCGCTTCTGTGCATGTGCGCAATGTAATTTTGTGCGCATGCCCGAGCGGCGAAACCCAGAAGTAACCCTTTCCGGTACTTCTGGGTCACCGTGGAATGCAACCTGAAAATGCTCAACCTGAAGCAAATGTAACACGAGGTACGACTGTATTAGTTTTTTTAAAAACGGGCTCACGAAACTTTTTAGTTCAGTCAACAAATGTAACAAAACGCGGCTAGCACTGGGCGCCACACCGCAGGGGCCTACAGTGTGCCTGAGCCACGTGCCTCTCCTGGGAGTGACGTGGTGGCTTGGGCACCTTCAGGCTCTGTGCTGCCTGAAACGGCAGTGTGGGGATTGCGCCTGCCCACTGCCTCTCCCTCAATGCCCTTACGGCTGCAGGATGTGCGTGCCGCACCAGGCACCTGAGCGGCTAGCTACGCTGGATCCTAGTGGGGATCACTGGCAGCAACAATCAGCTGATCAGTGCTGACTTCAACCCCTGCTTTTGTCATAGACCAGCCTTTCTTGGAAGCTCCAGTTATGAACTCCCAAGTGGAGCTGACCCCATTTAGAGCTTGCATTTGGTGCCAGATTTAAAGGGCATTGTTGAATGATGGGGAAACACTTCAAGGCTCCTGACCATTCTTTTGCAGGTACATATTTAGGTGTCCCACACCAGATGTTGTGTATGATGTCAGGTATGGGGCAGGTGGGCATGGTTTGGAGGGAATTGTGTTGCAGGGCAAATGAGGATCCCTGTCGCGTTTAATTCAGCTTGAGGATCAGAAATTCCTCCCTGCTGATGTAAAACAATCTTCTTCTGGGTGGCAAAACCTGAGGAAGAGTTTTGGTCGTCTCAATCCCACCTCCCAAAATTTAGATCAATGTGATGTGCATATATCATGCGCTCTTGTGTCCTGTGTTTGAATGGCCATTGGTAAACAGGGATATGTACCAATTTCATAGCACTGTTTATAGCTCCAATAGACCTTTTCTACATGCTACAACCTTGGGCTTCAGTGTGTATGGGAATGTAGAAGTGTTTTGAGGGCTGGTTTATAAATAATGTGCCTGCCATGTTTTCCATCCACTCGGTAGATCTGCTGAAGCAGACTGCTGGCTCTGAAAACTTGTGCTGTAATAAACCACTTAGTCTTTAAGGCGTCCCGATGCTCTTTGTCCTTGCGACCCTATCAAAAGGGTGCTGCTCCATATCCTTCTGACAATCCGTATTAAAGTAATGGAGGTTGCCTCTTGACACGGCAAGTGCTGGCTACTCGAGCTTTCTCCCGGCACATGAGCAATGTAATACAAGCGGCATTTCTGACCCGCGGCCGATGCACGTCAAGGGAAATGCACTGCTGGTAATCATGTTGCACTTCCCCTGAACTGCGCAAGTTGGATTATATTGCCGACGCACATGAGAGCAAACTTGTGTGAACAACTCCTCTGCATTTTGGCATGTTAGGTGGGAACCCGTGTTCACGCAGGGTTGCTGGCAGACTTGGGAAGGCAAGCCAATAAGATTTGTTTATTTGCAAAGCGTTGGTATTTGCCGTTTCCCCCTGCTAGATTGGCCTGTGCAAGAATACCTTCATTTGCCTTCATTGTTGTCTCTTAAATGGCAGGCTGTCAATTCTGCAACACCTTCAAGCCACTGCATGACTGTGTGGCTTCCTTTTCCAAATATTCAGAATTGGTTATTTTACTTTTGGCTTGAAGGTTTATACATTTAAGTTTTCCCAGTAGTTAAAGAGGGGGAAGAAAATCCTTTAGTTCCCATTTTAATGCTGACCTACCTAATTCACACTTCCTAAAACAAATCAACCAAACATCAATCAACTAAAACATCAACCAAAACTCAGATAACATTGGAAAAGGATGCTTCTCTGAATGTCTTGATACAGTTTTCCACCACACCCACCCAAAATATCGTGTGCAGACAAGTTCATATTAAGGAAAAGTGCACACACAAATATTAGACCGAGTGAAAATGAAGGACAGAAATGGCATTGTATTAGGGGAGATTGTTTGTGAAAATGCAGACATTGGGTATAACTACAAAAATGCTTATCTGGACTTTTTTTAAAAAAAGAAATAAAAATAAAAATTTGCAAATGGGGATAGAAATGGGAAGATGGGGAAGAAAGAGAAATTGAGAGAATCTGAGGCTGACATATGCATCCATCCCTACCAGAGGATATTTTAATCAGTTGTCTAATTTCTCAATAAAATTACTTGATAATTGCTCAAAACTGGGTCCCCTCCTTTGTTTTGTTTGCTTACCTTTGAAAACTACTTGGGTTGCCCCCCCGCCCCCGGTTTGGATAAGTGGATAGAGGGGTGACTTTTTCTACAGGCTTAATTTATCCCATTTCCTTAACTTTGTGGATATGTAAAGGACCTTTCTCCCCAAGTCAAACTGTCTAGCAACCCACCTGTTTCTTCTTCCATTTTGCCCCATTTGCCCCCTACAGCAACAGTTGGGAACCTTTGGCTTGCAGGCCTAATTAGGCCTACCCATTTGGCCCACAATGTGATTTGGCCCCAAACCATGCCCTCCTGCCTGTCATGCAACATAATAATGATGTCAGGCATGGAACAGGTAAACCCGTGGGCTCTGGTTGAAAAGGAAGGAGCTCTGTATTTATTTTCAGGCATTCCTACAATTGAAATATTGAAGTAGCCTGTGGTGGGTTTTAGGCAAAATGGCATAGCGATGAGGACTATGGATTTTTCAAGGATTTGAGCAGAGACACTAGCAAAAGCAATATTCCTTCAACATTTGTTCCAAGCAGAGCCCTGATGTACCCACCCCTGTGAGTGTCCTCTCTCCCTGCCTCAAATGTCCCAGGGTAAGGGGATGGGCAGCAGTGAGTGCTCCAAAGGCCTTTTGTCAAGCTTGATCCCCTGCTGAAAACTAACATTTTTGTTGTTTCTGCCAGGGCTAATGGGACTGGGAGTCTCTGTTCCATTTCCACCTGAGGAATGAATTCTACTTGGGCCTCTGTGTGGAGCCAGTGTGGTGTATTGGTTAGGAGCGGTAGACTCCTAATCTGGGGAACCAGGTTCGCATCTCCGCTCCTCCACATGCAGCTGCTGGGTGACCTTGGGCCAGTCACACTTCTTGAAGTCTCTCAGCCCCACTCACCTCACAGAGTGTTTGTTGTGGGGGAGGAAGGGAAAGGAGAACGTTAGCCTCTTTGAGACTCCTTCGAGTAGTGATAAAGCGGGATATCAAATCCAAACTCTTCTTCTCTGATGGAAGATGGAAGGGAAATGGGACAAATCCTGGAGATCTGCTGCCAGTCAGGGTAATAATAATAATAATAATAATAATAATAATAATAATAATAATTTATTTATATCCCACCCATCTGCCTGGGTTTCCCCAGCCACTCTGAGCAGCTCCCAATAGAATATTAAAAACATGATAAAACATCAAAGATTAAAAACTTCCCTAAACAGGGCTGCCTTCAGATGTTTTCTAAAAGTCAGGTAGTTGTTTATTTCCTGGGCATCTGATGGGAGGGCGTTCCACAGGGCGGGCGCCGCTACCAAGAAGGCCCTCTGTCTGCACTCAGTACTGAGCTAGATGGACCAGTAGACTAAGTATAAGGTAACTTCCTGTTTGGGGCAAGGGAGAGAAGGGTCATAGTTCCGTAGCAGAACATCTGTTTGCATGCAGAAGGTCTCAGGTTCAATCCTAGGCATCTCCAAATAGAATTGAGAATGTTCCTGGCTGAGCTGCCGCCAGTCAGTTTAGATAAAGCAGAGCTTGATGGACCCAATTGTCTTGATTGAGAACAAAGCTGCTTCTTCCTGTGTTCCTATGAGGTAGCAAAGCCTGGTGCTTTCTGAGCTCTTGAACCAAGTGCTTGCAGGAGCATTTGGTGCGGGTGCTGGGATGCTCCTGCCTTCCTAAAATGGATAAAGTTGTTGGAGCAAAAAAAATGGATAGCCATGTGCCTAACCTTCTTTTCAGTAAGCTGGGAAGTGCTGAAGTCTGTAGAAAAATGTACAGCGAGGCGCCCGTGTGCTGGTCCTCCTGAAGGCGACATGCTTTTCAAGCCTGAAGCATTTGCTCCATTGCAATTGGCTTGAGCACTTTGGAGCATCATGGGTTTGAATGGTAGTTGATTGTCTGCCCCCTGATTAGAGCCTCTTGAGTGTCAATTAAAGCCTAGTGTGAGCGGATTCTGCATCTCTCTTCTCCCTTTATGTGTCTGCCTATGATGAACGTGACTCTCCTTTTCATCTCCAAAATCAGACCCAATCTAGGCACTAAAATTAACTGTGCTTTTAATAAGAGCCAAATTTTAAGGGTGGGGTGGGGAGGGGGAGGCAAACTTGGTAGGTTTCTCTTCCATCCATCTCTTCCTCCCCCCTACCCCACCCACCCCAAAACATCTCAAATCTTGGGAAATAATTAGGACTGCATCTGTGAAGTGCTCTCAGATAAATGGTTGATCTCTCCCCATTTTGGCAAGGAAGTTTGTGCGAATTGTTCTTCTGTAATGCTTTGAGAAGGGGACACATCGTCATCCTAAACTGGGCGGGGACACAAGCTGTAGGCTTAACAAGCAAGAACTTTCAACAGACAGGAAAGTCTCTCCAAGTGAGAAGGCTGCGTATTTTTCTCTGCCTGAGTTCATATTGTATTTGCAAACTAAAATGGGCTGGCAAAATTTTGTGTCAGCTAGTAAGCTATGTAGATTTGTATATATATAAAAAACCTCTAAATGTCATGTGACCCTTCAGCCCTATGGATCACCACTAATTGTCAAGAATGCTGAGTGTTTTAGTCCCAACAAACAAAACTGGTGTAAAAGAATGGAGCTGAGGGTCAGGATCAGAACTTCAAAACTCTTCTTCTATTTGTCTGCATTGTCTTATCAAGTGGGGGGGGGACTTGACCAGTTTCCCTGCTTTTCTTTCCAGATTTCAGATCTAATCAGTTTTAGCCAGGTTTTGATGCATATAAAACTAGCTGACTAGCCTAACACAAGCAAAATGGACAGGGGACGCCACTCTTACCTATAAGGTTGTAGCCTGCAGGAAGTCAACTGGGGGCAAACCTATGATGATTTTCATATTGCCATTATGTAGCGTTGTCAACCAAACTAGGTTTGACTATAGCCCAAAATTATCTGTTTCCTTTTTCTTTTATTTTGTTCACACTTGGAAACTATAGTTCTGTGAGTAGGAAGGGCTAGGGATCTCCAAAAGGGAATCATTAATACCCTGCTCAGCACATAGATTATTTTGGGGAAACCATGGTAGTTCTATTGGTTTATATTAGTTTTAAGTTTGCGGTATTGGGAATGTCTGATAGAGACTCTCCTCCTGCAAGAGAGGGGAGTGGTTGTGGTCGGAAGCCGGACTCCGCCTCAAGCAGGGGGCGTTAGCCCCCTGCCTCCCACTCACCTGGCTGGCGCCCACACCCACGGGCAGGCACCCAACCAGGTGCCTGCGAGGGGGCGTGTTTAGCAGCCTAAATTGCTGCGGCACCAGCCTTCCGGCCTCACTTTTCATCGTCCCGTCACGAGTCACCCACCCTCCACTCCCTTAGAGCTCAGGGTCTCAGTTTTCTTTTGGCCTTGCTATGGACCTTAGGCTGGTCGCCCTGGTTGTCCGGGGGGTCTGGTAGGAATTTTTCCATTTGGCATTAGGCTTTTTGGTTTTTTCGCCTACCTCGTAGCAATCGTCACAACTTTCGTGGTATTGGTGGGTAGGTTAGGCATTGGAATAATGTGTTGTGGTGTGTGGAAGGGATAGGTGTGGCCATCGCCTGCGCCTTCAATTTTGGGTATTCCGTTAAAGGAATCCGGCGGTCGTGTATTCTGTCCGATGCCTGCGTGGCGGGAGGCCATGGCACGACCCTCGGTGACATCAGGGGAGAGCTTATAGTTGGATTAGCATCAACAGGCTCCACCTACTGGTGAATAAACCCCCTGTTTTAGACTCACCCCTCTCTGAGGGGGTGGAGTCAGCTGACGTAATCCAATGCCTAAGCCAATACCTTTTCACTTGCTGTAATCAATAAAGTTGTGGCCTTTTCTTGCCCATTAACTTTATATCATGTGTCCTTGTGTTTTCATTCCACTATGCGGGGATCTGGTCCTCGAACCACAATTGCTGATACCCAAACATGATGTGTCTACATTATTCATTTTCAGGGTCTTAGCATGCCTTACTTCGTTTCATTTTACCTGCAGAGGTACAATGATTTTGCAATGGTTTCACACAGTGGCGTAGCATGGGGGGGCACAGGGGCAGTTGCTAGGGGGCGCAAAATTTCAGCATCCAATGCTGCCTCAACACTTTGTGCTTCCACTGAAAACAGCTTCTCCATGTAAACCAGGAAGTGATCTCTCCTTAGCCGGGAATAGGCAATGTTTAGATCAGGCATCCCCAACCTTCGGCCCTCCAGATGTTTTGGACTACAATTCCCATCATCCCTGACCACTGGTCCTGTTAGCAAAGGATCATGGGAGTTGTAAGACAAAACATCTGGAGGCCCGCAGGTTGGGAATGCCTGCTTTAGATGTTGCTAGACTACAGTTCCCATCAGCGACCTCAAGCTAAGGGCCCTGTACCTTCCAGATTACAACTGTAATGCTACAACAATTTCAGTATTATTTCTGTCATTGATGGTTAGGGGTATGGAAAACAAGGCCTATGAGGAAACATTGAAGGAATTGGGGGTAATTATCCTGGAGAAAAGATCAGGGTGGAGTGAAAATAATAGAACCATTCCAAACACCTGAAAGACTGCCGTTTAGAAGAGGACAAGGGTTTGTTCTCTGCTGTCCCAGAAATAGGGCAAGACCTAACAGGCTTAAGTTATAGAAAGAAGTTCTAAAATGGAATCATTTTATCTAGAGGGTGATGAATCCTTCAAACAGAGATTGAAGGATGCTATGACTCTAGATATCAGGCATCTAGTTGGAGACTGGTCAAATTACCCTTCCAACTCTTGAGTTTTTATTATACTTTTCTGGGATTGTAATTGGTTTTGCAGGCTGCCTGGAAGGCTTTAGGCTGTCTGCACACTATACCTTTAAAGCAAAATCAAAGCACATTTCCCCCCTCAAAGAATTCTGGGCCCCGTAGATTACCCCCCACAGAGCTACAATTCCTAGCAATGCTCAACAAACTACAGTGCCCAGAATTCTTTGAGGGAAAGAATGTGCTCCAAGTGTGTTTTAAAGGTATAGTGTGTACAAAGAACAAGAGTGGGAAGCCAGCATAGAAATGCTTTCAAATAAATTCTGAACGCCTTTCAGTCTTTCAGCTGCAGCTATCCTTGTAACAAGCCAAAGCAGATCCGCTGGAAGACTTAGGATTCTATTTATCATTGAGGTTTGGGGACAAAGGAAACTGTTAAAATCTTTGCTCAGGGGTGCAAGAATCTATTTTGGGGAGGGAAAAGAACTGAAGGAGCTGTAAGGGGGATCATAGTTCAGTGCCAAAGACCACGCTTTCATGCCAAAAGTCACAGGTTCTGTTTGAGTGGTGAGCAAAACCTTTTTGTGGGATAGGATTCCTCTTTGTTATTCTTGCTGGTGAATGGACATTTGTGTTGCTCATATGTTTTGTTCCAAAGTTTGGCATTTTAACATTTTGCAAGTCACTTTTAAACATTTTGTAAAAAGTGGTGAACAAACATAAGGTAAAGGTAAAGGGACCCCTGACCATTTGGTCCAGTCGTGGCTGACTCTGGGGTTGTGGCGCTCATCTTGCTTTACTGGCTGAGGGAGCCGGCGTACAGCTTCTGGGTCATGTGGCCAGCATGACTAAGCCGCTTCTGGCGAACCAGAGCAGCGCACGGAAACACCGTTTACCTTCCCGCTGGAGCGGTACCTATTTATCTACTTGCACTTTGACGTGCTTTCAAACTGCTAGGTTGGCAGGAGCTGGGACTGAGCAACGGGAGCTCACCCCATCACGGGGATTCGAACCGCTGACCTGATCAGCAAGTCCTAGGCTCTGTGGTTTAACCTACAGCACCATCCACGTCCCATGGTGAACAAACATAACCAATGATAATAATAATAAACCTCTCCATTTCTGAGACAGTAGACAGGGACAATTGCCAGGGACAGTAGGCAATACTAGGTTAGATGGACACATCATCTTATCTGCTGCAAGACAGCTTCCAACATATGCTCCTTGGTTTTTTTGGAGTCAGCTTGGATAGAAAGAAAAATGGAGACACAAGCATCCCCAGTGGGAGAGCCTCATCTTCTTGGAGTGCTCTGGTTTCTTCCTTTCCCCCTTATCTCCACAGCAGAGGTTTAACTGTGAGGAGGCAGCATTCAAACACACCCAGAAAGCTGATTCAGCAGCTCATCCAGCGGCTGCTGGTTGCAACTGAGAATAAAGGAAAATAAGGATGTTACAAAGCAACGCACCAGCAAAGGAGGAGGAGCAACCACCAGTTCCTTCCTCTCTTCAGCTACTCAGGTGCACACCTAGATTTTAGCGCCAGTGATCCTGCATTAGAAGCCTGTGCAAGGCAAGCTCTTAAAAAAGGTTAAGGGAACATATTGGATAAAACGCAAAACAAACACCACCCCAACAGCCTTGAGTAGTTTGGAGTGTGCAAAGTAGGTGGCTGATTGATTGATAAAGCATAGTTTCTAGATTAGGAAAATCTGGTTAATTTGTATTCTGCTCACAGTGATGACAACAAATAAAATGGAATGATAATTTGGACATAGAACAGCAGCGAGAACAGCCAAGTCAGTGACAAAGCACAATAAAACCAAGTGGGAGCCAAGTGGGATGCAGCAGACATCCTAAAAGGATGGGGGGGGGACTAAATATATTTTCCGAGCACTGAAAGGATGCTAAAGTCTGCACTGGGTGATCTGCTCTGGAGATAAGACCAGGAGCCACCACTGAAATGACTCTGTCTTGGTTGCTACTGACCCCTAAAAGCAGGGTGATGTTAAGAAAGGCCATGAAAGGGTGTGGGTGTCAACATCCAGGCAAGTTCATGGGAGATCAAGAAGTCCTTGAAGTACTCTGCATAGGCCTTTAAATCTCAAATTTAGCTCTGTTTGGACTTGATATCCCACCTTTCGCTCCCCTTAAGGAGTCTCAAAACAGCTAACAATCTCCTTTCCCTTCCTCCCCCACAACAAACACTCTGTGAGGTGAGTGAGGCTGAGAGACTTCAGAGAAGTGTGACTAGCGCAAGGTCACCCAGCAGCTGCATGTGGAGGAGCAGAGACGCGAACCTGGTTCCCCAGATTACGAGTCCACCGCTCTTAACCACTACACCATGCTGGCTTTGTAAATTGTGTCTGGAAATGGGGCTGGTGTCAGTGTAGCTTCTGTAAAATTGGCATTGTATATTAGCAGCAACCATTCCCAATCTTGTCTGGTCTGTTTTGTACAGCGTCACATGTCACCAGACATGTGTTTTTTTGTAGATTTAGAATTATGGACCACTGGACCTCTGAGTCCATGTTCAGCCTGGGAATTTGTCTTCAAGACCACAACTATTGACTTCTGGGCTAGCACTGATCCTGCAGGCCTTTCACTTACAAATACACTCCTTCTTTTCTCCCACATTTCCTTTGTTTCAGCAACCTAATTTGGGGGAGTGGGGTGCGGAGAGTTGCTGTTGCTAAACTGTCAGGAGTAAAAAGCTAATCAGATCACCCCAATACTTACTATCCCTGGTTTGGGCAAGAGAATAAGAAGAATGCAAAATTGTTCCTGGCTTCAGCTGTGAAATGTTAAAGGGTGGGTTAAGTCCGAATGACTCTCGATTATTGTTGGAAGTTAATTACAGTGGTACCTCGGGTTAAGAACTTAATTCTTTCTGGAGGTCTGTTCTTGACCTGAAACTGTTCTTAACCTGAGATACCACTTTAGCTAATGGGGCCTCCTGCTGCTGCCGTGCTGCCGGAGCACGATTTCTGTTCTCATCCTGAAGCAAAGTTCTTAACCCGAGGTACTATTTCTGGGTTAGCGGAGTCTGTAACCTGAAGCATCTGTAACCCGAGGTACCACTGTATTATTATTATTATTAATAATAATAGAGTGTTTGAGTTGTGTGTGTTTTTCTACCATGTTTCTACTCTTTGAAATGTGAAGTTCTCCTTGCTAGGGGCAAAGGAGTGGAACAGATAATGGCACTGCTCTGACGCTTGAGTAGGATTTGCTACTTCTAAGGGACTTCAAGGAGCAGCAATTAAGTCTGTCCAACGAAGGCTCTTAAGGGGCAAGGGCTCCAATTCGCCAATCCATTCCTTTCTTAATGCGACTTGATGTAGATGGAGTGAGGGCCTATCAGGTGTGAAAAGCCCGGCTGCTCCTGGCTTGGAATGGCCTCCAGACAGCGATTTGGCGACATCAATCCAGTCATGCTTGATTTCGATGCTTAACGTGGTAAGGCAGGATCTCTCTACCCCTGATCAGCTTCTCAATTAGCAAGCTGCCTTCTGTAAAGACCCTTGTTCCGCAATCCCTCTGGGCTGTTTGTGTCTGTGGCGGGGGACGTTGGGGAGAGAAAACTCCCTAATACCAGAAGAAGAAATGAAACAAGGGAGGGAGGAATAAAAGATTTTCTAATAGCCTACTTTTCTTTCAAATTGTTTGCTTTCCTGCGTTTCATTCATTAGAAAGCATGAGATATAGGTGTCTTTTAAAACATTCATCATCTTGGTACCTGACAGCTTTCTCCTTTTTCACTTTGGATATATGCAAAGTTATGAAGTCAGGACTTGTCTTTTGTTCTGTGTGTGTCTTCTGTGCTTTGCTTGTGTTGCGCTAAAGAATCACCCCACATACATTGCATGAATTATATGGTATCGTTTGCTCTTTTCAGGGGGCATTAGAAAGTAGGATCTGCTACCTTGTAGTCCATGCTAGCTGTTTTTATTCTTTTTCAAACATGCTGGGGTGTCACGATGTAGGCAGCATAAAAGATGAAAAGCAGACAAGCAAAGATAGGTGTGTGGTGCATATATCTCGTGCTTCCAAATTTCCTTTCTCCTGTTAGGAATCCAACTATTGTTGCATTAAATATTCAAACTGTGCTAAATCTCCAGGGCTTTTTCCTTCCTGCAACGTGTTGCTAATATTCATACATGGGAAGAGTTGTGACCCAAATACAAACAGCACCTTTATCTAATGAGCAATAGGCGTCAACATGACACCTGCCTTTCCATTTTAAGGTGTTGCCTTTATGGAAGTAGTAATTGAAATGTTTACTAATGTAACATTTCATTAGTAAGTGTTGTGGTGCTGTGCCTGTTTTAAAGATTTAAAGATAAAACAGGTGATGTGCCTGTTTTAAAGATTTCATTTGCCTTAGCTTACTCAACATATCAAACTTCCAGAACAACCCCTGACGTCTGTTTCTATATAGCTGTTTCATTGAAGTTGGTCGCCATTATATTAGGAAGCCAAGTCTCCTAAAGAATTCTTCTCTCGTTCTGTGTTTTCCCACCTAAGCAGGGGACGAAAGGCAAAGCCTTATACCTATAGGAAAATGTGTCTGTGGGTCTGTATTGGATCTGCAGCTTCATTAACCTGCAAAATAAAGATTGTAAGCCATATTTTAATGGAATTGGTGGCGACAATCTTAATTTTTTGAGTCATTAAAATCTCAAAAAGCACAAAGGCTTAAAAATCTGATAAGAAATATCAAGTCCATATAAAATATTATGGTTGATAGCTTGAGCTAAATGTAAAAAGAGCCTTTGCTGAATCATGCCAGTGACCCATCTAGTCCAGCAATCCTGTTCTCACAGTGGCCTATACAAAACCCACAAGTGGGACGCAACAATCATCACATGTTTTCTCCCCACTTGCAATTCCCAGCAGCTTGCATTTTTAAAAAACCGCATAAAGGATTAAGTTGTGTGTTCCAGATTGGTTTACCAATAAGCAACATTCCATTGGGCAAATATGGCTGCCGGCCTGTATTCACTTTCCTAGAATAAGTCACGCTGAATGCACTGAGTGAAAATGCATAGGGTTGTGTAGTAAGCTGCACGTTCATGTCTAGTTAATTTCAACACTTGTTGAAACAGCTCTATAACTTTTTCCCCCCTCTGTCCCAAATTCCATCTCATAGCATCTTGGTTTGTTTGCTTGTTTCCCCCTTGGAATTACCAGACTCCAAGGTTAGCATCCATGCATATGTACTTCACAGCAATGATACTGTCTAGGCGCATGCAGGATCTATCGATAGGCAGTCTGTGTGCTATTTGTACAGTGGGTGCACGTCTTTGGAATAGCCGGCTTTGATTTCCGTAACTGTTTTAAGGTTTTGCTTAAAATTCTGAACACTCTGTGTACTGTAGCCCTTGCAACGTGGTACTTCAAACAGCAAGTCCTAAAGGTGACACAACAAAGCCCAATGCCTTGGATACGCGTGCCTTTTATAAATAAAAGGAAGAATATGCGCACAGTCCAAATACAGGGAAAACTTAACCCATTTCTTTTTCCCCCTATGAAAAGAGTCAGATGCATTATTAAGAAATAGATTTTCTGGGAGAAAATTTGCAAAGCAGTCGAAAGAGACTTAGCATTTCCCCACGTTTTGCTACGTGGAAGGCTTTTTTTAGAACCTTGTTTGTGTTAACATTACTGTACGGCGGCATTCTAAATTGTGTCAAGTGTAATTATAGGGTGCAGTAACTTGCATCTCTTTCTTCTGTCTTAAACCTTTTTTTCTTTTTCTTTTTAATTTGAAGAAAGACACCCCCTCATCTCTGCGCACAAAGCATTGGCCGCGTTTCTCTACCGCTTCTGCAAATCCCATCTACAAAGTGAATATTTTGGATCTTTAGCACTGTGTGCTTGCAAGCAGATCTGACAACAATTTCACACGCATATGCCCTAAAGAACTGCGAATGCTTCCAAAGCATCTCTCTCTTGGCATGCTCTGTTAAAAAGCTTAACCTTTCAGTGTGCTTATAAGGCAGTTTAAAATGCTCCCATTTATTGAGAGGTAAACTGAGGGTCACACCATAAGCTGCTAGAGGGAACTTCTTCTTGATATATGGTATTTTATTATTGTGACTGTGTTGGATTTTTTTTTTAAAAATGTACAAAAATATAATAAACCCAGAACACAAAATAAAATTTAATTAAGGTGCAGTTAGGAATTTTAGATGTCATCAGGGGCCTCATCTTTTGTTCCTCTGTGTTTTGGATGATGGCTGTGATTATTGCTTGAGAGCGCCTGTATTTCTGGCAAGTTCTCTGCTTCAGCACATTAACTATTGTTATAAGCAACAAAGTTGACCTATAAGGCTAAAAGCAGGTATGAAAGGCATAAATCCATTTGCTTTAATAATAAGATGTGTGGCCATGTTGCTGTAGCTTTGTATGTATGAGGGAGGATGTAATTTCAGTCCAGATTTAAAGGTGAACTGATTTAAAGGTGAACCCACCCCCCAAAAAGAGTAGGCAAATCAAAACACAACCACCATTTGAAATTCGCATTCTCTGAATTCTCTCCAGCCAAGTAAGGTATACAAAAGATGCATGTGCTAGCACAAAGCATGTATAAAAGAAGCATAGATAAAATAATATACACAAATGAATTTTATTAGGGGAAATGTGAATACTGGGCAGATTTGGGTACAAAAGTGCATTAGGAGAAATTTGCGCTGAAATGCTGGTGAATTTTCATAAGGACGTTGAAAAAAAAAATAATAATTGCAAAATGATGTGGAAATGTAAAAGAACTAAACTGAAGAGTGGGGAAATGAGAAACTGAAGTGGTCAGATTGACCAATCCTACTTGTCATCACACTAAATGTTTCTTTAAATGTTCAATGATGCCCTGTATTAATTCTGAACAGAACGAAGATCAGACTATTAAATCCAGGGGTTATTGCTGAGAATGCTATTCCTGAAATGGTGGCCCTGCATGCCTTAAATGCAAAGCTGAATTATTATTGTTATTATTATTATTATTATTATTATTATTTATACCCCGCCCTCCCCAGCCAAGACCGGGCTCAGAGCGGCTTACAAGAAATAATAAAAACAACTTGATTATTGCCATTTTGACTTCTGCGCCTCCTTTGGCTGCTGTCAATATCGTACTTTTGGACATGAATGGTGACATGTGACTCTATGATTATGGGTGTTGCATGATTATTGTGCATCATTGGAGCCAGACAATTGAAAAAACAATAACATTGTGCCAAAGGAATCCAATGTCATGTAAAATAATTAATGCAAAAAAGCACTCAAAATCTAGTAGCTTGCTTTAGGAAAATGCAAAGTTTAGCATTCAGTACCAGAAATATTAAAGGGTGTGTTTGCTTGGGGGCTTGAGGTATATAGTGACTACTCTAGAAATACTGAATCGTGCTGTTTCATAGTTGGGCATTTAATCAGATCTTCTGTTTCTCTGCCTGCCTTGCATTATGTAGTGTAAATTGGAAGACAGACAGACTGACTACTTGTTTGTTTTAAGATCTGGCCACTAATTTTCTTCACTCAGTGCTATACACAATGCGGTTTGCTAAATGAAGAAAATGCCTCGCCAGATCCTATATTTATGTGTAATGCCCCAGTTCTTTTATTTATAAGAACAGGATAAGGGAAAAATTCAGTCCACTTTACATTTAATGGCAAAGCTACTTTTATTCAAACTTTCTGAAACAATATGCAAATCAAAACACAGCTACCCTTTGAAATTTGCACTTTTCCAAATTTTGTAATGCAGTTCTCTAGCTTCATAATGTGTACTCAAAATGCATATATTTGGTAAAGTGTGCATAGAAATGCATGTGTTAGTAAAAATAGCATCAAAATGTGATCGTTAAAGGAAACTGTGTTGCAAAAATGCATATGTTAGGCAAAGTAGAATACACAAATGCAGTGCAAAAGGCTTTTAATGAAAAGGCTGGTACTGTGCTGTTTTTATGGTAATTATCTTACATTTTAATAGATTGGATATATAGAAAGAGGGAGTTTTAATGTTTAATTCTTTTTAAATAATTAGGTATATGTTTTTACCTGTTCTTATTTTATCTGTAAGCTGCCTTGAGTCTCTGTCAGAGAAAAAGGTGGGGTATAAATAAATAACCTGTCCTTTGTTTTTTTGACACGCAACCTGAGGAAGAGCCCTAAGGAAGCTCGAAAGAAATGCTTCCCAAAGTGCTTCCCAAAGTGGTCAGTAGCGCCCCCTGGAGGGAGCAAAGAAGCAAGGGGGTCTGGGGGTCTTAATGACAATCAGACTTTGAAAAGCTGGTATCAATGGATCAAGTTCATCAATTGGGTTGAATTGATTAAACTAAATAGTTTTTACTGAATTTGGAATAAACGTGCAACTAATTATTATCCAGAGTCGTCCGCAACTGGACCTAAAGGTCAGGGGTCCCTTTACCCTTTACCTTTACTTATTACTGTACAGTGGTACCTCAGGTTACAGGAGCTTCAGGTTACAGACTCTGCTAACCCAGAAATAGTACCTCGGGTTAAGAACTTTGCTTCAGGATGAGAACAGAAATCGTGCGGCGGCAGTGCGGTGGCGGCAGCGGGAGGCCCCATTAGCTAAAGTGGTACCTCAGGTTAAGAACAGTTTCAGGTTAAGAACAGACCTCCGGAACAAATTAAGTTCTTAATCCTAGGTACCACTGTATTGAATTTTATTGTGCTATATCTTTCTTAGTGGGCCATGCAAACCACTATTCTGGACATTGCCTTTTGTATGGTAGGTTTGGGTTGGGTAGGATGAGTTTTTGAAATCAAGCGCATGGTATCCCGAGAAAGTTTGGGAACCACTGGCCTATTTGGCCCTCCTAAAGATACATTGACACAACTTCTACCTTGCAGCTTTGTTGGGATAGACCGAGGGTGTTATGAGATCCTTGGAGGAAGAGGCGGGATGCAAAATGTGAGGGAGATAAACAGGTAGAATTCTCCCCCTTGTGGCTTCTCACAATTTTTGTGTGTAAGGGAATTTTCCAGCCCCCAGGAAGCACTGTGCCCATGACCTTTACCAGCTCCAGTGGCTCTGCTTAGCATCGCGTCCTTAATTCAGTTTCCTTGGGCAACATCTCTGGCGTGTTTCCTAGGAGCAAGTCGGAAGTGTGTCACCTGACGCTTCACAGGTTCCGCCTTGACGTCTCTCCCAGCAGCCCTGAGTCTCGGAAGCCTGACAAGGAGCTGAGTTCTGCCTTCATTCTTCCTCCTGCCTTCTTTACCCACGACACCGTGAGCCTCGAGCAAAGCCACTAATGATTATTGAATATTCATTCCCACGCGTTGCCTCTCAGAGTGTGCTTCTCACCTGGAATGACCCGCGTGCCTGAATTTGAAAGGAAGGGCACCTATGAAAGTAATTTTGTACGTGGTACATATTTTCTCCCCCTCAGTCCCCTGTCTCCTAAAAGCCCTTTATTAGTGGAGAAGTGCTTACGGCATTCTTCAATTAGCATGTGCCGTATTGTGACTGAAACAGCTGCTTACCGTTTAATAAAGCATGGCATACTTTCTTTCGCAGCCTATCAGCCTTCCTGGCTGCTATACCAAGGGGAGAGATTCAGCGGCGGCCCGGTTTCTAGTTGCAACCAAAGAGAAACTTTGAAAAAGTTTGACCTAGGGATGTAGGGAGCTGCCTTAAACTGGCCTCAACCAGGGCCAAGGCCTTTTCGGCTTTGGCCCCAGCCTGGTGGAACACTCTATCGCAGGAGACCAGGGCCCTGTGGGACTTGACATCTTTCCCCAGGGCCTGCAAGACAGAGTTGTTCCACCTGACCTTCGGTCTGGGCCCAGTTTGACCCCCCCCCCCCTCTATGGGCCCTGTTAGTTACCTCTTTGGCCCTTTTACCTGAAGGAGCATCTCCACCTGCATCATTCTGCCTGGACAATGAGGTCCAGTGCCGAGGGCCTTCTGGCAGTTCCCAGTTACAGGGAACCAGGCAGAGGGCCTTCTCGGTAGTGGCACCCGTCCTGTGGAATGCCCTCCCACCAGATGTCAAAGAGAAAGACAACTACCAGACGTTTAGAAGACATCTGAAGGCAGCCCTGTTTAGGGAAGCTTTTAATGTTTAATAGATTATTGTATTTTGGTGTTCTGTTGGAAGCTGCCCAGAGTGGCTGGGGAAACCCAGCCAGATGGTCGGAGTATAAATAATAAATTATTATTATTATTATTATTATTATTATTATTATTGGCTCATGTGGGACCAGCGTGATGAATACTGGCCCTGATGAATACTTGAGGTTCCCGACCCCTATGGTTGTAATTCATGGGCAATCATTTAATTTTATCCTGATTATAATTTTTAAGCTGTATTTTAATCAATTGTTTGTTTGTGTTTTGATGTATTTGATATTTGATGTTAGCTGCCCTGAGCCCGGTCTTGGCCAGAGAGGGCGGGGTATAAATAAAAATTTATTTACTTACTTACTTAGGTGGACACTGGGCCATTGAACCACTAAGTCAGTAGTGGACAGTGTGGTGGTACCGAGATGCTTACCTGACCTCCCAGCAGGTAAGTCACTGCTGCTTGCTTGGACGAAGAGAGGCGAGGTTGTGGCAATGTCAATGTAGTGCAAATACACCGCTGGAGCTAATCCAAAACTCCCGCAGATGCATTTGCACCATCTCTCTTTCCCAGTAAGCAACAGTGACTCACCAGCTGGGAAGTCTTATGAAAGTCTCTGCACCATCACACCATCAGCTGCTGCATCTACTTCAATATTGTCTTCACAGACCGGCAGCACCTCTCCAGGGTTTCTCAAAAAGTCTCTCGCCAACCATATCTGGAGGTACTAGGGATTGAACCCAGGGCCTTCTGTGGAGCAGGTGCTTTTCCACTGAGCTATCCCCCTTGACCTCCTCTGTTTTAATAGAGGTTATTTTATAGCAGCCCACTTGACTGCTTTGATTGGCGGAATTGGCACTTTGACAGGTGCCACATGGTACCTGACATCGGTAAGAATTTGATAGTTCAGTGTGGCAGCACCGACACTTTGGAACTCCCTGCTTATTGATATCAGGCCTCCGCTGTATTCTTTTCGGCTCCTCCTGAAGACATTCTTGTTTAGACAAGCCTGCCCAGATGTTTGGAAAGTTTGTGTGAGTTTTAATTTGATTTAGTCTATTGAGTTTATAACTTGCTGTACATTTTAAATTATATTTGTAATTTTTTATCGATCGTTTTATTGTTTTATATTTTTCTGAAGTCAAGTGGTATAATTTTTTTTAGTGAAATAAATAAAATAAAATAAAAATTCTAGATGTCTGAAATCCTCCCCCCTCCCCCTCCCCCCTTGAGTTTTGGGACAGCATAAAAAATGTGCCTTTAGTCTCCTCTTTACCAGACTAAACATAGCAAACTGCCTCAATTGTTCCTCATAAGGCTTGGTTTCCATACTCTCCTCTGCACACGTTCCAGCTTGCCAGTATGCTTCTTAAATTATGGCACCTAGGACTGGAAACAGTATTCCAAGTGTGGTCTGACCAAGGCAGAATAAATCAGTGCTATTACTTTCCTAAGTTGGGACACTATACTTCTGTTGATGCAGCCTAGAATAGCATTAGCTTTTTTTGCTGCTGCATCACACTTTTGACTCATGTTAAACTTAAGATCTACCAAGACCTCTAGATCCCTTTCACATGTACTGCTAGTAAACCAGGTGTCCCCATTCTATATTTGTGCATCTGGTTCTTCCTGCCTAAGTGCAGAACCTTACATTTGTCCCTGTTGAAATGCCATTTATTGCATTTGTTCCTTTTAGTATATCAAAGAAGCTCAATGTGTGGCATACATGGGCTATTAGGGCATGTTGAATTTTTCAACTTACAGTGGTGCCTCGCAGGACGAAATTAATCCGTTCCGCGAGTCTCTTCATCTTGCGGTTTTTTCGTCTTGCGAAGCACGGCTATTAGCGGCTTAGCGGCTATTAGCGGCTTAGCGGCTTTGAGAAAAAGGAAACAAACTCGCAAGAACTCACAAGACGTTTCGTCTTGCGAAGCAAGCCGTAGGGAAATTCGTCTTGCGGAACGACTCAAGAAACGGAAAACTCTTTCGTCTTGCGCGTTTTTCGTCTTGCGAGGCATTCGTCTTGCGAGGTACCACTGTACAACTTTTTAGCCCCCTTCATTTGAAACACAACCACTGGTTGAATGTCTTCAGCTCCTGACAGTCCTTCACTTTACACAGACAGATGGATGTGAATGATCTGCTGAACTGCCTACTTTTGTCTGCATGAGTATGGAAGGAATGGTAATATTCACTAGAGGTACTAAACGTTTAGGTCAGGCATAGGCAAACTCGGCCCTCCAGATGTTTTGGGACTACAATTCCCATCACCCCTAGCTAACAGGACCAGTGGTCAGGGATGATGGGAATTGTAGTCTCAAAACATCTGGAGGGCCAAGTTTGCCTATGCCTGATTTAGGTGAATGAACAGTGAACCTTGAAATGATTCGTAACTGGGTGTGTTGGATTTTTGGTACGGTCTAGGTGTTTTGTAGTATTCTATAAACAAACAAAAAGCTTGCGAATTACTTGATATGAACTGTATAACTTCTCTCCTCACCCATCCCCAAAACCATTGGTATGGTCTTTGTGTTGCTTCTTTATTTTGCCTAAAGTGAAGTTTTCAGGTGCAGTTCTTTGCTTCAGTAAAATATCATTCGAGTTCTGCAGAAGGAAAAAATAATTTTGAATAAAGGCACCACTTAGGCTAGTGAAGTTTTCCAGGGAGGTTCCACATGGTCCTACGAGGGGGTCACACAAAATAGTAATGCAACATGGTTGAGCTGCAGCAGGGAAGGGTTTGCATCCTGTGCACTGAGCTCACTGCAGGGGAATCAATAGTTGAGGTAGACACAAAGGAGACTGGGGGTTCTTGAGGAATTGGTTCTGTGCAAATTCTCATATGAACTTACCCCAATCTGCACTTTCTGAGACTAATGTATGAATCAGAACACGGTTATCCTCTGGGATTTGCCCCTCTCTGAATTTTGAGATATAGTCCTTGGCTTTTTTAAAAAACACAAAAATGTGTATTTTAAGATAAAGTACACTTAAAAATGCAAAAGTTTTGTGCGGATTTTCAAATCTGTATTTTTATGTTGTGAACCGCCCTGAGATCTATGGATGAAGGGCAGTGCACAAATTTAATAACTAAATAAAAATTGGATTAATACTGAAATGTGATGGAACAGCCTTATGAATGAATATATGTTGAAATAGATAGTTCTGCCCATCCCTACTGGAGATTTTGCCATACCTTTTTGCTATGGCAGTGTCAAACTGATATCGACTCCTCAACCCTTTTCCTTCCAGCCTTCCTCCCTTGCATATCTAGTTCCTTAGAGTATCTGTGTACACCTTAACTGTTTGTAGCACAAAAAATGTGGCTTTTCTCAATCTGGAAATGTTCTGGCTCGTCTTCAACATGCTGCTTTCATTCTAGATTGATTCTAGATCCTGTCATCAGTGAGGGTGGGTGTTGGTACTAGATACGCTTTTAAATACTCTCCCCTTGATTAGGTTATCAACATCTTTTCCCTTCTGAACATGCCCAGATGAATGAAGAGGTAATTTCAGCCTTGTTATATTATACACCTATCCTTGACAACCTCATTCAGCAGATGTGGATATGTTCCCAATCTCTGGGACCACCCATGTTTCTTCTCATCCATTTTCAAATGGACACACTGTGGGGCAAAATAAAATTAACCTGCCATGAGCTTTTATTTTCCAAATGAAACCAGTTTCCCAAGAAGCACTTTTCAGGGGCCAAAAAAATATACAATAGGTCTGGATTGTGTGTAGACTAGGTAAAAAAACACACACCAAGAACTCAGTATTTACTGG